GAACCTCGGACCAGTATTTCAGGTGTAAATCATTTTAAAATGAAAAACAAAACCAATTAATCATCAAAAAGTTGTCTATGACTCAATTAGGAATACAGGGAAATTATTCTTGATTTATATTTGTTAGAAGCTGGTTATAATAAAACGAGCTTTTTCCATAAGTGCCATTTTGATGAAGATGAAATCTGCGGATTGCAAATTGGGAATTTCGTCAAAGGAATAATGACAACAATTAACGGCGCATTAGGGGCTGGTGCCCCCTCCACTACATACGAAAAATATACTATTTTTCTGTGACGGGAAAAAAGTTTGGCATTTCATCTCTGTTGGCAGGTTATAAAATGTCACTTTTCATAAATTCTATGATAGCTAGAAACCTGATTCAAAAACGGATCTGAATGAGATAACATGGTCCATAACTAGAAAATTATTGCCGCATATACAGGGCGCACCGAAAATAATATAGAGGGTCGGGATTCATTTTATTAATTGGAATGTCCAGTATATTTGCATATTTTTTTAAGCATCCCTGTGATCTTCATCCACTGCTATAATATCGTTGACTTTATCTCTTTCGTATCAAAGTTATGAATTTTTTGGTCGAAATAATGTCATCTGCAGATGCCTACCGAAAATATCACTGTTGTCACAATTATAAACTTCAAGAAAAAATAATCTCAATATCATTTATTGAAAAGATGAGTGACATTTCTGAAAATGTTTCAGGCTCTCAAAGGATACAGGGTGGCTGAAAATGATTTTTCAATTCGGAACTTTTCGAAGTGATTTTTCTCGAGTTTTTCAAATGGAACACCCCATATATTATTTGACCATTTGAACGTAAAATCGAAACACGAACATATTTATTCGAACATCCATATCGATATTCGCAAGCATTTTTGAATTTTTGAACTTTGAAAATTTTATATGAACGAGATATAGTCAACGATATCATAGGAGTGGATGAGGGTCACAGGGATGCTTGAAAAAATATGCAAATATACAGGGCATTCCATTTAAAAAAAATTATTCCGACCCTCTAGATTATTTTTGGTGCGCCCTGTATATGCGGCAATAATTTCTAGTTATGGACCTTGTTGTCTCATTCACATTCGTTTTTGAATCAGGTTTCTAGCTATCATAGATGTCGAGCAATCGAGCTCCGACGCACTAATGCCCCACCCTGTATATACACTGTTGATGGCATTTGTTGTGCTATAGTTCCAAAAAATGAGTCAATAATACCGTCTCCGAGAGAGAACTGCAAGTCCTTTTATCTTCCATTCGACTTCGCGGTTACGTATATTACTTAACAATCACTAAATTCGCAACTTTTTGAAATCAAATCACAGAATTAGACTGACAGAAGTGACATCAGATATTTGATTACTTCAAAAGAATGATAAAGATGCCTACAACGCAGGTGTCCCTACTGTTAAAAACTTTGAATTTCACGACTCAATCTCATCTTCTCAATATTGATTCGTCCTTTCTTCTGTCACAGAAAAAAAATAGTGAACACGGGAAAAATATTAGATTTTAGCTCACGGTTTTTGTCTCCCTCCGCAACCTGGAATAAAATCTACTACTTTTTTCCCTTGTATAATAAATAACTATTATTCAAATGGTGTTTTTTTGCATTGATTTTAATGGCCCTGCCAAGTTTTTTGATCTATACTGTCGCCACCTCTGATGCTAATGACAGTGTTTTGAGGCTTGGGAACAAATGCATAATGTTACACAATGGAAGAAATTGTACCTATGCTTTCGGATTATAATGTTGTTACATTGATTTTGAGTCGTATTTGAGGACATGCGAAGATTGCATACACCAAGTTTGCAAATATCTACACTCGAGTTCAACTATGAATGCGGCTTACTCTCTATAACTGTTCATTCCGTTCTTGTATGATATGATCTCGGAAGTGAAACGTGAAACAAAGTAGTGTTGTGTATTCATTATCAAAACTATGTAAGGGATGTCAAATATAAGCCACCCATAGTATCTGAACACCGAAAAAATTTCAGGAAATAAAGTTCATATGAACATGTGTCCTAACTTGCTTCGTTTTCGAGATACAGGGTATCAATATTTCCATGAAAAACCGTTTTTTTATTTATTACTCAATTGTCTCTCCATCAATTTCAATAAAACGTTGTGGTTTTGTTACTAGTAATATGGAGCTTCTTCTGGTGCCATTAGATGCGAAATAATATTTCCAGTGGCGTCACAGTGGGTGAATTTATCGATATTTATGATGAATGTTATTGTACGCCACTGATTTTTCTGAGCTTCATATTTTTATTAGATCGAACTAATGAAATAACAACTTTTTCATCCCTTGTGTGATTTTAGTATCTACCTTATTTTTTGAGGAAACTCAATAACCCCAATCACAATCATTTTGAAATTTTAGGGCTTTCTCAGTCTCCAACCATACCGAATTTTGGCACCTTGTAAGCTTATACAGGGAGGTTATTAATAAAAACAATTGATACTTCCAACTTCAACATCCTGTACCTCAAAAACGGCCCCCAAGTAGCACACATATATTGGGACAATATCGGTGCAATATTACGAAAATATCGGCAAAATATTGTGAAAGTAATATTGGCGAAAAAAAAAATGTGAACATTCGGCGATATTGGTACAATATCAGTTTCCAAATGTGGGTAGAATATTCTCATATTAATATTGGTTGAATATTCGTAGAGTTATATCGGACACAAAATGTAATATCAATATTGGCGAGAAATTAATGGTGAACATTCGACAATATTGGTGTAATATATAGAAATATCGGTGAATCATTGAAAATCATCATGAAGGTATGTTGTCTCAGAATTATTGGTAGAATATTCTCATACCAATATTGCTGGAATATTCGTGAAGTTATATTGGTCACAAAATGTGATATCAATATTGCTGATAAATGGACAGTGAACATTTGACAATACTGGTGCAATATTGGTTGGAAATATTGGTACATTATTGAGAATCATTATGTAGCTATGTTGTCTTCAAAATATTGGTGGAATATTTTCATACCAATATTTGCGAGTTATTCGCATCAGGAATAATCACAAAGGTCAGCCCAGCCGGAGTGCAATGGGAGGGCCTTGCCCTGGGGAAGCCGCCTTGTTGATCACGGTTAACCCCTACTCCAGGTTATAATACTTTACAATCGTCTAGAGCCAATATTTATATTCTCTCGTCTGATCGGCAATGGGAGTACGTTACCAATCATTCATAGCGCCATCTATCGACATCGGTTTGGGAGTGCGTAATATGGAATGAATATCGAAATTTCGATATCGATATGTATTCTCAAAACAATATGTGAACAATATTGCTCACATGATATAGTGAATTACATATCAGCCAATATAAGATGATATTATTTTCTGAATATGGCTAGAAAACTATTCACCCGATATGCAATTGAACTTGAAAATACAATATTGTTTTTCTCTTCTATGTCCGATATAAGATATATATTGAATTGCCGTTATTGATATTCATATTTGAATCATTGAAAATCCCTTCAGAATCGACATGGGGAGAATGTTCAAATTGCGATATTGGTTATGATTGTTGGAAATAATATGTATACGATATTTTCCGCATGATATCAATCAATATAGGTAAATTCGATGCCGTCGAATCCGATTACACAATATTGTATATCCTCTTCAGAATCGACATGGGGAGAATGTTTGAATTGCGATATTGGTTATAGCTGTTGGAAACAATATGTGTGCGATATCTTCCGCATGATATAGTTGGAATGATATCTGTCAATATAGGTGAATTCTATGTTCCAAATATTGTTGAAACAATATTCTACCAATATGCCGTCGAACTCGAACATACAATATTTCATAACCACTTCAGAATTGACATGGGGAGAATGTTCAAATTGCTATATTGGTTATAATTGTTGGAAACAATATGTATACGATATCTTCCGTATGATATGGATAGAATGATATTAATCAAGATAGGTGGATATGATATTTCGAATATTGTTGAAACAATATTCAACCAATATGCCGTCGAACTCAAATATACAATATTGCACAACCGCTTCAGAATCAACATGGGGAAAGTATTCGAATCGCGATATTGGTTATAAATGAAAGAAGCAAATTGTATACGATATCTTCCGCATGATATAGATGAAATGATATCAATCAAGATGGGTGGATATAATGTCTCAAATATTGTTAAAACAATATCCAACCGATATGCCGTTTAACTTGAATATACAATATTGCATAACCGCTTCAGAATCGACATGGGGAGAATGTTCAAATTGCAATATTGGTTGTAAATGTCGGAAACAATATGTATACGATGTTGTTGAATCGACATTCGTGAAACAATATTATATAACATTCTTAGATATGTTTTTCAACACATTGTTAACGAATTTTACAACCAATATTGCTCCAATATTGTAGCTGACAATCTATATTCAGCTCAGGTTGAACCAATATTCCACCAATATTATCATTCCAATATTGTTTGTCCAATATACTCTCATATTGGACCTATATTATTTTTCACATGTACGATATATCTATATCGGCCCAATATGAAATCGGGTTCCAGCCAATATGATGTGCTACCTGGGGGAGCAAGTTAGGATACATGTTTATATGAACTTTATTCGCTAGAATATCCCCTTGATTTTTTTCGGTGTTATTTAGATACACCCTGTATATAATGTTTGAAATACGTTTGTTTATATTTGTATTGTCAGATCAGTTATCAGTTGATTCAGAAAGAAATTTCTAATAGTGATATTGAAATTAACAAATTGATTCAATGGCGAGTACCATAAATTGAAGGGCTTGTAGACGAAGCTAAATCATGAAAAAAGTTTGATTTCATTCTTTCCTGAGAATGTAATTTCATTGTCGTCGGATAGAATTTTCTTCTTTCTTCTTTTTTTTTTCGTATGTTGTTTTTAAAATGAGAAGGCATGTGGAAAATGCCTGATACAACAAAGCACTCAATAGCTTAGATTCCGAGCTCACATGCCACCTTTTGTCCTACAAAGAATTCTGAATAGGTGAACAGTAGTGATTGATATAAGGTACCTATAGACTTATTACAATGATAAGAGATAAAACACGATCTATAACAATATAAATTTTTTGTTTGATGTTTTTATCTGTCATAATCCATATTTATATTTCTATCGCATGTTTAGATAAATGCTCGGATAAATGGTTGGAATTTTGCCATCATTATCGTTGACATATTGGACATTTTCTAACATTCACTCTTTGGTAAGGTCACGTTTCGATAGATAATGAAATGAGGAACAAGAATTATGTTGAAAAATACCAAATTAGTGTTACCATAGTCAGGGCCACCATAATATACGATAACAATTTCAATTTCCCTTTACCATTTGTCACTTATTAATTTTTTATGTAAACTATAATTTTTTAATATAATTTGGAAAGACGATTCGACCATTTTTCTCAACAGTTGGAAGTGTTCTTCATATTGTTTAGGGTTTTATTTGTTTTTTCAGTAACGATACCTTAACTATGGTTCCGGAAAATCAGTGAGTAAATAAATTAGACTGCATGAGTTACTGCTTGCTATCTTACTGTCAACACTCAATTTCGCGGGCCTACAATATTTTCAAAATCATTTATGATATTTTATTCATTCTATTATATTCTCCTTATAATCCAGTCTGCTGCCTTCTTATAATACTACAACTATTCAAATGTGTTTATGCATGAAGTAGGTAATTGCAAAATGATCGAAAAAAAAAACTGTCCGGTAGAATAAATAAATTATAACGCGCACTACATTATTAACATTGCTTTGCAAGTTCTCTTTGGATCCAGTTGATTTTATCGTTCTACGAACAATGACGGAATAATAGTATAGATTTCAATACCGATATCGATATCAACTTTTATCGGTACTTTACTTTCCACCTGCAACTTAAACTTTATTCTATGATGTTGGAGTTTTTCAATCAACAAGTTCATTCTTTCTGCCGGTCCACTAGCGGCTACATCTGAGTGTTTGGTGATTTTTCTTCTGTTCTGGTAGTTTGTGCTATTAATTTTTTAGGTTTTGATATATTTTATTGTATTGGCCAGGAGGAAATCAAAATGGCAATGTATATGGGGTATGTAATAGTTTATTTTCAATTGTGCCTTTTGAAGAAATTATTTGAACTTGCAAGAAAGTAATCTGAAAATACATCGACAATAATAATCTTAATCTAATTCTCCCTCTGATAAAACATGGTAGATACTTGCCTTTCGTTGACTTTATATTGAATACAATAAGGATATAATTCAGTTCGGTTTATTATAAACGAGTAGTGTCAAAGGGCCCCAACAATGCATTTGAAAATAAATTGAATAGATGATAAAAAATAGAAAACATTATAAGAACATTGTTCTCTCTCTATTTCACACCAGAGCATGGTTTGCTTGTCACTATGGAAGCACTTCTTTTCACTTCTAATTAATATCATCATCAGAACAGTGAATTCGGGTTGATTAAAACAGAGGTGGCTATGTTTTTATTGGCTAGTGGTTCATAAGATGATGAAAACTACCTTGGTAGTAAAACACGCCATGAAAAGGTCGCTGGTTCAGATCCGGCTCGAAGGACCAATTGTTGAAGCCTCCCGAGGTATTTATTATGAAATTCAACAAGTTTTTACCGTGTCAAATCATTCCCTTGAATTCAAAATTCAACTATTTCATGGCATCATATATGAAATGAAAAATCTTTATGCAAGTATCTTTAACAGTTGGTGCTATAGCTAGTGGTGGAAAAAATATTATATATACCTCGGGTGAACTCACTTCTCACCCTATGTGTATAATATACTATTGTAACGAGGAACTCGACATTATGTAGTATTAATATAATTCATATCCATAACATTGATAGGTGAAATAAAACAAAATTAACTTACTTTAGTTACACAAAATAATAAAAAATACGTCGATATTAGCTCAATTTTTCAGTGTTTGCAAATTCATTTTAGTAGGTAGAAATATAATATTTTCTCACCAGAAACTCGAAGTACTATTCAATATCAATGAAATCTGGTCACATAAGGTTACATAAAATCTGATTAAACGACTTTATTACTTGAATGAAATAAAAAAAAGAGTCGATCGTAGCTCAATATCTCAGTTTTTCACAAATTCATTCAGCTAAAGTTGGTAGAAATATATTTTCTTACAAGGAACTTTTATCAACTTATTGAGTTAATTTTACGTAATCTGAAGTTGAATGTCAATGTCATTTTACCTATAAACGTCGAAAAATTTCCAGTGTAATTGCATGCTCCTTCCAAGAAGGAGGAAAAAATTTCCGGAAATTTGTTTAGTTGCTATGTCAACGATACAAAATACAGGCTTTCAATTGGTCTAAAATGATAGGTGTGAAATTTTCGGTTATAATTGTACGAGTTTTTTTTATCGCTTAGAGCGCACGAAAGGGAATCCCTATAATGTTCAAAGAACATCGTGCGTTCCTAGGGAGAATTGGGACAGGAGGTAGGTATTGGAATTTTTTTTGAACTTTTGGAGATTATATGTTGTTGGGAATACTTCCACAGGCAATGAATTCCAGAGCCTAGCCGTTCTATGGATGAAAGAGTCTTGATAAAGTGCTGTTCGACATCTTTCGAGGTTGACAACGAAAGGATGTACTGACTGGGCTTGTCTAGTTCGCCTGATTGGTATTGCTAGTGAAGGGATGATAGCAGAGATTTCCGAAGAACATTTCCCGTGAAAGTATCGATAGAAAAGTGAAAGGTCGCCGACCTTTCTACGGTGTTCCAATGATGTCAAAGAGTGAGTGAGTGTGGCGTCACCCACCAGGCGGATGGCCCTTCTCTGGATGGAATCTAAGAGCATCAGCGTATGTTTTGATGCTGAACCCCATATGTGGGAACAGTATTCTAGAACAGGCCGTATCTGCGCTTTGTAGATCATGAGAAGCTGTTGAGGAGTAAAGTAGCTTTTCGCACGGAACAAGAATCCGAGTTTTTGTGAAGCAGCTTTTGCGATGGATCTGACATGATTATCCCATGAAAGAGTGTTGCTGATGGAAATACCGAGCATAGATATGGTGGACTTGGTGGGGATGGTGGAGCCAGACATTACAATATCGGGCATACTGAGTTCTGCCTTTCTAGAGAAAATGCAGGCTTGAGTTTTGGTGGCGTTGAATTCAACTAGGTTGTTTGTTCCCCAGGCTGTGATTTCAGCAAGATCTTCATTGACAGCATTGACCTGCCTGCGCCGTGAGTTCTTAGTTTCCTGGGAAGAAATGGGAATTCTGGAAGAGAACGCAGTATGGAGGGTACTATCATCTGCAAAGCTGTGCATAAAAATCACCGATAATTTCGCAAGAAAGCGTGTTATCTAAAAATTGCGAGAGTTTATTTTCATATTTTGAAGAATGAGCTCGAGTCCGATTCAATTTTATTTTCTATAATTGCATTGCTCTTATGGGAAATTTTATATACGAGGGAAATATTCCTCATAATTTTTGATCGATAATTTTTTTTTTTTTTTTTTCAGGGATATGGATGGCGTCGGTTTCAGTTTGGCCATAGGCACACTAAGGGCCTTGGCCTTCGTCTACGACGTCCTCACATTCCCCGTTTATATGATCCTCCAGAGGCCATGGCGTTTACGTCAACTGTCCAGAAAATCTAGGGTCAGTATTAACCATGACAGCTTCGAAAAGCTCAGATTTTCCAATGTGATGCATGCTTCGAAAAAATAAATTATGAATGAAAACCAACCTATACATGATTATGTATCAATACTGTATACTGTGGTATTAACTGAAGGAAAAAGTGCCAAATCATTCAAACATCCATGTTGTTTCAATTATCATCATCGCATATTCTAGAAAAATGGTTCTTTCGGGTTAGGAATAACTGATAGAACTACAGTTTTATGTATTTCTGTACATTTTTGTAACTTTCTCTTGTTTCTGAGAATGAAATTATCAGTAGGAGACAATTTGCAAAGAATAATTTCCATTTTCATGTTGAAAACGGCAGCAAAACATCGTGAATATTTTAAATTTTTCTCAATTATACTTATGTTCTTGTTCAAACATTTTTCAAATAACGTGTCACTCACTGATTATCGATTGAATTTTTCGTTTAGGCTCTATAATAGGTAGTGAAATTTTCAAACGCAGTGACATTTTGTTTTGTTGTTGAAACCAAATTGATCTAAATATTCAAAAATAAAATACTTGACAAACTTTTCAATGTCTGACAGTGTGATGCTGACGGCACCTTATATTCAACAATTGAATCAATTCTACTTCTGATGGTTTGTTTTCATTTGCCAATTGATCTGTTTTATATGATTTGTAACCTCAACCTTCTACTCAGTAACACAGCATTCTTTCATGTTATCCATTCATTCAATAATTCTTTAATCTCAGCATGAAATCAAATAATCTAGGTACTAGGTGAAAGGGTATTTATTTATTCGTATTATTGCGCAAATACGCCAGGTGATGAATATACAATAAACATTAATATTTTTAATTACATAATTTTATTTTAATTGAAATATTTTTTCATTGTTAGCCATTCAAGGTTACCTCATTTTTATTTGCAATATATATATACAATTAGTCAAGTTATTCTCTGATTTATCTTCAGGAAATTCAAGAATTGATTTGTAAATATCTAGCAATGTAATGCAAATGTTCATCATTTTAATAACTTTGATGAAATGGTTTTATCTAATGAAATCAGTTCCAAACTAAGTTGAGATTGCAATTTTATTTTCCATGTACCAATTTCATTAGAAAAAAATTACCTTGTACAGTTTCCATTCCATTCATTAGTGTTGATCTCTATTTAATCCATTGGTATCAAACAATGAACCAATTAGATAAAGAGTCTTCAAGATATAGATCAGTTTATTATCAAAAATGTTATCTCTCATTTTGTCTTGGACTCTGATGTCATCCGAATATAATCAATGACATGGTCTATACAGTGTGTAGGTTGAACAAGGACTTTTTGCCAAAATATCTACACACTGTGTGCCTGGTGGTGGTATATGTTTTGGGAAAGTGTATTGTAATATATATTGCTTAAAATTCTCGTTTATAGGGCATATTAGTGGACATCGAAAGAGAACAGTCTAATGATGTAAGCGTTGATATCAAGGAAAATGATTTCAATAAAACTAACCAATTTAGAGATCCACCATATAAATTCGATAAGGTACTATGATTGTGGTTAATTGACTTTTGTATATTATTGGGTTTCGGGAACTTGATGTTTATTGGTTTTATGAAGAAGGTATAGCCATCGCATTCTATAAAAAAATGTTGCTTTCTAAGAAAGTAATATGGACCTAGACAAACTAAATCCCATGTATAGTAGTGATAAATAATGTAACCTACTTTATCTTGAGTTCCATTTCGATTTTTGATTGCTTTAAGTACATGCAATGGGGCAGTTTTCTCCAGATAAATTTTCATAAAATAAGTTCGGAACTCTCCAGTTTTATGTCCACACTGTACAGAATGGCGACCGATAAAGTCCCAGTCGTTTTCATTTACAAATTAAAGCAATTCTGAATCAAGTCTGAAAATTGCTTATGGTGAAGAATATTGCTAGCGAATAGCTATCAAATGAAAAACGAATGAAAAAAATGGAAGAAGAAGGATTCAGGAATGCATAAGTTAGTTGGCTTCATTCTGAGAGGTTATGGTTTTGTTATTTATGCATTGAAATATCTCGAATAAAGCTCGATCCTTGACGAAAATTTCATTTAATCAATGAATCACTATCGGCTACATTCAATGATACTATCCTTCCTAATTTACTGTCATCGGTCAGAATAGAATGAAGCCGACACCCATGGCTTCTTCCTCTTGGTGCACCTGTCAGTATTTTGAGTGGTGTGGACGGACTCGAAGTATTAGGCGCTGTTGCAAGATATAATCTACAACTTTCCTAAAAAATAGATCCGTTTTATCAAGGAACGAATTCATTAGCCAAAAAATGACTGACAAGTTATGAATAATTATCGCAAAATATAAAAATTTATCTTTATTAGTGATCAACTTCATTCAGCCAATGAGAGATTTATGGAAATTATTCATAATACTTGAAAAAGTAGGATTGAAGAACCTATTATATCCCATTGCTGTTATGATATAGTTATTATGCATTCAAAGAACAATTTCAGGAAATTTAAACATATTGATGATGTCGGCAACGTCGTACTGGCACAGGGAATTCTATTTTAACTCTGTGTGAATGTGCTTTTCAGAAAAAAAGTCATAGGAATGGTGCAGGAGCCAAGTTCCTCTTGTATTCATTTTTTTTCTGAAGTAAAATTTGATCTTACGAAAAAAGAAAAAATACGTATATATTAATTTTTTACAAACTTCACTCAATATGGGAAACTTCCCCATTTAAAATTTAGCTAGTTGATACATTTCCTGAACTACATGCTCATATTATCTCAATTAATTTGAAAGAAGGAAAAAAGGAAGCGAAACTATATACTTCTCATTGAAAGACTATTGATAAATTTATAGTTTCATGTTTGTAATTGCAAGTTAGTTAATATTTATCGAAGATGTTCAATCGTATTTCGGTCCATGATCTGCCACAACATTTTATGAGTTGATTTTATTTGGAATGAATCATTCGTAACCGAAAATAAATAAGCTGTTAGTGTATACTTGTATCATTGATTGCGTAATAATATTATCTTGATTTACATTTCCAATTAGAAAACAATGCCTAAGTAGCAATTATAAATATTAGAAAACGACGAAATATTTTTACATAAATCGATGACATTCACATGCTAATTGTAAACAATTCTTTAATTTGGTTAGTCATGCATGATTTGGTGATAAAAAACCAAGTGAAAATGTGAATTGGGCTGTTTGGAACACATTTGGTTCTATTAATTTTTTAAATTAGATAATATACATTTTATACGCAGATGCAAGGTCACGGCTTTGCTTGAATGATTTGATTTTTGTGAAGTTTCAATGAATTTGTTGGTTCAATAACGAGATTTGTTTTTATTCAAATTATCAATTTCAATAGGTGTTTACATTTCAAGGCTTATCTATAATACGTATGGATTATAAAAACAATATTGATGATATTTCTGATAATTTACTGCATAATTCGTTTCATTCTTCTGATAATGGAACAGTGTAGTTATCTCTTTGAGAAATAAATTATCAAGGATTCCAAAAATAATATATATTTTAAAATACCACTTTCAGCAATAGATACCCAATTTCATATCAAAGGTATAGTAATAAGTTGCAATCAATTCAAAAACAAGTCTGTAAAAATCGGATGATGAATAATAATTTTAGGGGTGTGTAAAATGTTATTCATATAAAATATAAACCGAAGGCGATAAATAAATATTTGCATAGCAGTCGATTCCTCAAGTGATTCCAAGAAGAAATGTTCATTGCTCCGGAAATGCCTAGGTTTCAAGATAACAGAGTGTCAAGCTTTCAGAAAGTCACCTCAGACAAATTACAATTTTGATTTGATTGTCCAATTTCAATTTTGTTGTTGGTTTGTTATTTGTTTGGTTTTGGTGTTCCATTTGCACTTCTAAAATAGGTCATGAATTCTTCATTAACAATCCTTTTTTAACGATGACATGAATTTGAGGCAATAACTTCCAACAACAAGTAAGCGTTTCTCCTTAAGCCACATAGTTATCAGTTATTTCATAATTTTTCCTGCTATAAACATATATGTTTCTTGGGAATAATAAAGATTATTATTATATTCCAGGAATGAAGATAATGTAACTTTTTATCAACAATAATATACAGGGTGTTTCAAAAAAACCTAACCCCCTTGCTAGGGTAGGTAGAACATTGCAAAATGAGTTGGGTTTGCTCAGTAAAAAAATGTCGTAACGCCATCCGTTTTCAAGATACAAGGTGTTGAAACAATATTTTTTTTACACATTTTTTACGATTATGTTGAAACTACTGGCAACATTGTGATGAAATTTTGTATGGATGTTTTTTGGAATCTGACACATCGCATGCATTCGTTTTTATATCTGACTCTCATAGAGGGCGCTAGTTACACGGTTCGTACCGAGTAGTTTTGAATATAACTTTTTTGAGGTTAGATTTTTCAATCCAAATTTGATGTGAACTTGAACATCATTCAATTTCACACCAAAAAGGTACTCTTGGTAGAACTTGATACTGTGTTCCGTTTTCGGAATATTTCGATTTGAAAATGATGAAGTGGTAACTGCTCCAGTTATATTTGATCAGATCATTCCCCTACAATTATTATAATCAACTCCCGAATCCACCAAAACCAATTTATGATTCTACATAATTGAATGGGGAAGTTTCCTTCAGATGAATTTTCATAAAATAAGTTCGGAACTCTCCAGTTTTATGTACACGCTGTACAGAATGGCGACCGATAAAGTCCAAGTCGTTTGCAATTTCAAATTGAAGCAATTCCTAATTCTCGGGACGGCAAACTGTGATGTACATTCTGAATCAAGTCTGAAAATAGCTTATGGTGAAGAATATAGCTAGCGAATAGCTAACGAATAGCTATCAAATGAAAAACGAATGAAAAAAATAGAAGAAGAAGGATTCAGGAATGCAGAAGGTAGTTGGCTTCATTTTGACAGGTTATGGTTTTGTTATTTATGCATTTAAATATCTCGATTAAAGCTCGATCCTTGACGAAAATATCATTTAATCAATGAATCACTATCGGCTACATTCAATGATACTAACCTTCCTAATTTACTGTCATCGGTCAGAACAGAATGAAGCCGACACCCATGGCTTCTTGCTCTTGTCCTGTCAGTATTTTGAGTGGTGTGGATGGACTCGAAGTATTAGGCGCTGTTGCAAGATATAATCTGCAATTTTCCTAGGAAATAGATCCGTTTTATTAATGAACGAATTCATTAGCAACAAAATTTCTGACAAATTATGAATAGTAGTAGTATTATAACGATAGTGAAAAATTATAGATAGTATCGCAAAATATCATAATTTATCTTCATTAGCAATCAACTTCATTCAGCCAACGAGAGATTTATGGGAATTTGGGAATTATTCACAATACTCGACAAAGTAGGAATGAAGAACATATTATATCACATGGCTGTTATGATATAGTTATAGTTATTATGCATTCAAAGAACAATTTCCGGAAATCTAGACATATTGATGATGTCGGCAACGTCGTACCGGCACAGGGAATCGTATTTTAACTCTGTGTGAATGTGGATTTTCAGAAAGTACGTCATATGAATGGTGGAGGTGCCATGTTCCTCTTATTTATTTTTTCTTATAAGTGAAATTTGATCTTACGAAAAAAAGAAAAAATACGTATATATTAATTTTTTACAAACTTCGCGGTGAGATAAAAACCTCAATATAGGAAACTTCCCCATTATTGAAAACGATATGGATGAGACTGATGAGAGCCTTGTTTGTGAAATGTTTCTCATACATTTTAGGCGACTCTCAAGTAGGAAGTGGTCTATTCCTCAAAGGAAAACCCTTCCTTCTCGTTTTTCGACAGCATTTCTTGTTACTTTAGGCTAAAGCTATCCAAGAAGATGCCAAGTCCGTCACGTACCGATCCGTCGTCGAGCCTTCCGAATTTCACGTCGCCTTGGCCAAGGAGAACATCGACACCATGGCCAAGATGTTCGAGTATTGCAGCAAAAAGTATCCCAACAGGAAGTGCCTCGGCACCAGAGAGATTTTGGCTGAGGAGGACGAGGTGCAGCCGAACGGGAGGGTATTCAAGAAGGTAAGACGCAAAAGTCAACGCTGCGAGGATTCTTATTGTTTCTGTTCAGATTAAATCGTTTATTTGTGCCAATCAATAATATTATTCAACAAGCAGATACATACATATAGGGGGGATATTTATCTTCTCTTTGAAATGTACACCGTGATTTATTGGATTTAACAGCTGTTGTAATTTTAAGAAACAATTACTGTTTTACCATCTGAGTTTAACTTTCATGGTCATTTGCATTTTCAAATAAAACAACAGTATAGTAATAGTATATTATATAACAAGTGTTATAAACGTTCCTTTAGTAACGAGTATTTTAAGCAGGAGCGGAGCAGAGCGGAGCGAGTGTTTAATAGACGAGTGTCTAGAAGAGTTCATAAACGCGTTACATACCATGTATGCTTTTTCTACGAAATCCGAAAATTACATCAACATACCTGCTATTCCTGCTAACCTACAAAATAATGCTAAAGGAATGGGAATTGAGAACACAATACATGCAAATGCATGCAACCAGCGAGACACGTATAAGTGATATTGGTTGTAGATGTGTCCAGTCCATTGCTTACTAACCTATGTTTTACGTTTATTGTCAGGCTTAGCGCAGAATAAATTAATTGTTCTCAAAGATGGATGCTTCATTTTTATACTTCTTGGAGATATGCAAGTACCAGAACATTCTCTTCGATTTCACTTTCGTCTACATTCCGCATATATTTTTAATAGAGAACTCTGATACAAACGAATATTGTTCGAATAATTCTGATACAAAATTTGAAAATAACAGTCGACAGTTAATAGGTACAATTGACAGGCCAGGCATGTCTCAAATTACTGAAGCTGTATTTTGCTGTATTTAATGAACTGTGTTTCCATGGTGATGTGTTTAAGAAATCGTGTTGCCATGGTAACATGTTTTATATTTTGAATGAATCACAGATCGTCAATCAGTGATTAATCGATCATTTAGCGTGGTACATATCCGTACGCCAGATGCCATTTTAGTGAGTTATTGTAAGCAAACTTACGGGGACATGTTTCGAAGCTTTAAAGCTTCATCGTCAGCGTTTTTGTTACATAGGAGCACTTAAGTGAGAGAAAAACAAAGAACAATGTCAGACAAACCCCTCAACAACGATAGGTCAAAACTCACCTGTTCTGGAGGAAAAAAGTTATGTTATTCCAATTTTTTTGGGATTTTCTCTCCTCGTTTCTATAAAATAAAAATATGAATATTATTTCAATATATAATGTTCATCACTCGAGCTTGAAGCGTCATCGTCAACAACGTAGAAACTATGGAGGCTTCAAGAATATATTGATCTTCCATGTTGAATATTGAATTTCCAAAATATATATCAAGCAGGAGGCTAAAGAGACTGACAAATTTCATCTACAGCTGATCAACTGCTGCTGGTTACTGATGAAAACCATGAAGACGTGTTCCGAATTACAGCACTGTATGTTTGATTTTATATTTCGGAACACAGATTTTCAGCAGATTCAGAAAATCTACTGACAGTACTGACCAGTTGAATTCGGAATATTCGCGGGAATCAATGTTACCAGGTGGTGCTCGGTTTTCATCGTTCCATGTAAATGCTACGTCAAAACTGGGGGAAAACAAACTCAATCCTTACTCAATCCAATTAGTGCCATGAGCTTGTGTACTGTGTACTGATAAGAGTGATAAGTTTTTACATTTCTTGACATTAATTGTCAATATTCGATCGAAAACGCCTATTGTAGATGTTCTTTTGGCAGATATTTTGCTCTATTTAGATGGAAAAAGCCGACCAGTAGTGGAAGGAGAAGCAGTTCTCCGTGCTAATCATGTGATTTTGTGTGAGGCAGAAGACTTCAACAAAAGGCACATTTTTGCACTTTGTCTACAAACTTCGGCGATGAAATCTTCCCCACATGAAGTAAAATTGAAGTTGGGGTCCAGAGGAACTCCTGTAGAACAATGGATTTGTATTTGTTTCTGCAAAGCAGGACAATCTGAGTATTGTTAGCTGTTCTTTTATATGTCAATTTATTTGCTCGTTATAATTAGTTCGAATTGTTTGAACTTTCTTCAATTCTTCACCCGTTCACTGTTCACTAAACTGATAAAAATGTAATAATGTGAAACATTTAACCAACTCAACCATCATCCATATACGTATTAATAAACAATACGGATCATAACGGGTGCCAGGATGAAGCCAAAAATATGAAACAAATGAATATCCATAAGGATTTGGTGGCATGATACGCATGCGCCATGCGCTATTATAGTAGTCATCAAAGACATGCGTTTCGGTGGACAATGACGTTTACTAGCCTTTCAATCAAAGCAGTATGTGTCTGATCGTTTCAAAACTTTTCCTTATGGATAGTCATTTGTCTTCAAAAATCGGCTTCATGTTTCGCTATGGAAACATATAGAGATTATCCGTATTGATTATTAATACGTATATGCCATCATCGTTACCAACAGTGCCAACACTTTGTCATTGACAAGTTTGACTACAGCTACAACAATCTGAATGCAATGTAGTCTATGCACTTTATCCATAGACAACAGTTTGTTTTCCCCCAGTTTGAAGTTCGTATTATGTAAACCTAGATGTCGCCCACTTCGTGAATCTCGCGAATAGCCTATGATGTTGTGTTGACACTAACAGTGTCATTTCTGTGTCCGAACTCTTATCAAACTAATACCATCCAGTGACTCTAATAGGAAGCAGTGAATCAATCCGATTTCCCTTTCAGTTCGTGATGGGCGACTACCGATGGAAGACCTTCGCCGAGGTGAACATCCTGGCCGCCCACTTCGGCAAGGGGCTGCGCGAGCTGGGCAACGCGCCCACCAAGAACGTGGCCGTGTTCGCGGAGACGCGCGCCGAGTGGATGATCGCCGCCCACGGCATCTTCAAGCAGAACATCCCGATGGTGACGATCTACGCCACGCTGGGGGACGAGGCTATCGCGCATGCTATCAACGAGACAGAGGTAGGTGATGAACGAATTTTTTTTTTCAATAATAATAATATTTATTCCATTCTTTGCTATAAACATTACATTGCATCTCATATAAATATATTATTATCCAAGAGAATATTAGCTATTATACTCGAGTAGAAGACTATACTTTCTCTACGACTATACGATAGTCAGAAATTTAATTTAATCTAATTATTATTTATGAAAATAATATACTTGATGTATGAATTTTAATGATATGATAATACAATTGACAGGAATCTTTAATATTCAATGAACTCAATGATGAAACAACACAATAATTATTAGGTCAGTAAATTATGTTTCTCGTACTTAGTGACTGAATTTTCAGTGATATTCTCACAATTCGTGAAATTTTACTGTTGATGTTGCATTTAAATCAACACTGACATTTTTATTCATATTGCTAGTTGATGTTTTTTGTGTGAAGGAACTGTTATTTGATGATGATGATGAACATTGTTCGATTCATTGAAGAATTCGAATCTGCCGTTTTTTTTATTCAACATGGAATCTTCTAGAAATCCTTCTGCCACCGATGTGCTCTTCCAGCCACCATGTCTTTTCAATGCTGTTATACCTCCACCTGCATTGACAAGCAAAGCAATGCCCGGTAACATCTCGGGATTTGGTAGCTTCAAAAATGTAACTATTTGTTTTCCCATTGCTGCAAACTTATTAATTCCAATTTTCTAAAGAGTACATTTTCCTTTTTGGTAATTCATGAGAAAATTGGAAATCCCAACATTTGCTGCTCGTATATCAATGTACTTTTTACAAAATTGATAAAATTTCCCGGTTACAGTGAACCTCCTTAGAATTCTTGTTTTGGTCTCAGGAATAGTTATCATCCATGGAGATCCAAGATCTTGAATATTTTCAATATTCATAGAGTACCTACATTTCTATGGAACGGCAAGCCTCCATTATATCCTCCAGATATCGAAGTTAAAACTTGAAAGACTCTATAAGTCAATCTGACATTCGCGAAAGTCAAGCCGTGACGTGACCCGTAAAATGAAGCAGGGCCTTCTTGAAAATTTTGTTTTGTAGATTTGCTGGTTTTTCATTAGCTTTTCAGTTGCTGTGGATCTCGCTGTGGATCCTGAAAATTCTGAATCTGTGATTGGTCGAGTGCCGTTGAATAATGAGTTGGGATCCACGGTGTCTTGGAATCATCTTCATTCATCAATTTTTTTTTTATCGCTTGGAGCGCACGAAAGGGAATCCCTATATGTAATCAATGTAGAATACGATAGTCGTAGAGAAATATATTTTATCAACATTAACAATGAAATAACATGAATAGTCGAGACAGATTCATATCTGGTATTAGATTATTCATGCGTCATTAAATCCAAGTTATTGAAATAAACAACAGATTCAAAAATAATGATAATAATAAAAAAAGCTCATGGAAAGTACATTATGACATGATGAAATGAATTAGTGAATGAGAAATCATTCACTCAGGTTTGATTTTCTCTTTGCAAGAGGATATGTTTCTAGACTTTTGAATTGGGTGACATTTGTGCAACTTTTGATATCATCAGGTGATTTATTGAATTTTGAGATTTTTTTTGACCAAGTGTAGAATTAGCAGCATCAAGATGAAGCAAGTCATATTGTCTAGTATGACGTTCATGGATTTGAGAAATCTTTTAATATGAAGTTAGATTTGAGGTGTTTGTTGATAATATCAGAAGAGATTTTGAGAGTATTTATCAGGTAGTGCTCTTTCAAAGAAAATGTATTTGTTTCTTCATGAAGTTGATTTGATGAGGTGTCACAATGGATGAATGCTTTTTTATATAGTACAGATATTTTGTTGAAATTATTCTTGGAACATGAACCCCAAATATTCATGAGATAGTTCATTTTACTAAGGATGTGAGAGTATGGAACGGCATTTGCTATATTTGGGATAAGTTTTGGACATCTTAGGGCACCAACTATGGGAGAATTTTTTTCTTTGAGCATGCCAATATGCTTGTCCCATGTTAACTTTTCATCAATCCAAATACCAAGGTATTTGGTAAAGGCACTTTGTTTCAATCATCCATTTTTTATTCTAATATTCAAATCAATATTTTGTTTATTTCTCTGATGGAAAATTAAATGAGAATTATAAATATTAGAAATTGGAATTATAAATATTGGAATACCATATTAATTGACGATTATGATATTGTGGGCATGTTTTTGAGTTTGATCATTCTAATTTGAATTCATAGCTTATGTTTCTTTCCTTTTCCGTTTTTTTTAATGAACACTTTTGTATTTTTTAATTTAGTTTACTTGCTCTCATATGTGAAATAAGTGAATTTGAATTTGAATTTGAGGTGTCGACGATCATCACCAGCTACGATCTGTTGCCCAAGTTCAAGAAGATTTTAGAATTGACGCCTAAGGTCAAAACTCTGGTTTATATGGAGGATCAACTGAAGAGTTTGGGGAGTGTGGAGGGGTACAAGGAGGGGGTGGATATCGTGAAGTTTTCTGAGGTGTTGCAGAAAGGATCTAATTCGACCATCGGTGAGCACTTGATATATACGAATGTTTTAAATAGTATTTGTAGTTGAACTTTTATGAAGATATTTGGGAATTAAGGCATTTTATTAAAACAATTTTGGTATGCCCATATGGTCGTGATTTCGATTCTTTATTGAAGTACCTCAAAGGTGTTTCCAATTTTGATTTCCATCTGGATGATGTTGAATAATTTCAAAAATCCGACATTCGTATCCATTTCATATTTGCTCAGTTTCTCAGTCCCTTTTACATCCGCTATTTCCTAATGTCTTGTCGTCAATGGAAGATTATCTTTCATTGACTAAGAACCAGAAGTATCATCTAAATCAATTCTATAATTTTATGATCATACAATTAGTTATATACTCCAAGTGACTATGAATTCCAAACTGAGTTTCACTACTAACCTCAATTTGAAAAAGGTTGAAATGTTCTACATTTCTTCTCATTTATTGTTCACATGAAATATTCCACAGCTATAATAGTTACAATGCAAGACATACAAGTGAATTATAATAACAAAAAATTACAGTTTAAAAACTGCAGTAAGAATTTCCTCAAATTAAAAATGTATAGTAATGCACCTAGGGCCGTCTTGATACGTTTCAAATGTGCAGAATTTAGGTTTCAAGTATTTTTGTTTCTTGTATCATTGTCATGATTATTTTGCTGAGTCTCATGTAGATGTAGATTTTTAATAACATACCTTGGACATTCAAGAATTCAAACAGGGTAACTTCAAAACTCTATATCTCTAAATATGCTCGCCTACAGTAATCACGATAGGGTAAGTCTGTACCAACTCTGACTGCTCGTCGTTGAGTGTTTAAAACCTCAACAGCATTCGCAGCATGTCTCCAAACTAGTATCGCATAAGAAATTTGGCTGTGACAGATGACAACCATTCTATCTATTCGCGGTCGCCAAAGTCATTAGATGACGTGGCGATGTCATTGACACTATGGGAAAATATCCTAATCCCTGGCCAATCCCTGGCATAGATTGAAAGTTTGATTTGTTTTCACGTAGTTTTTAATGTCATCAGAACGTCATCTAATGGCCTTGGCGACACTTTGAAAGATTTCTTAGAACACAAATGTTTGTGTTGAGTATATTGCATGCTTTTTCTCCATACATGGCATCCAGTTTAACTAAAAATCTAAGAGACCTCCCAGAAACCCTACAGTAGGTGGATTCTCACAGTCAGATAATTCCTTCAAGTCTTTTATTCTCGTTCAAGAACAAGACGTTGAGAACCAATTTTCGGCATTCAACTATGCCTCTTTTAAAACCTCTACTACTTCATTATATGATTTAAAGTATAGCTAATTGCAGGGGGATCTACACAGGGAAGGTCATTGAAGTATATTAGAAACGGCACTGGTCTCAAAACTGACCTTGGAGGACACCGCTCCTTCATTTTTCATTATCTTAATCGACAGACATTGATCCAAGGTGATCCTCTACTACTTCATTATAGGAATCTATACAGGGAAGGTCATTGAGGTATATTAGTAAACGGCAGTGGTCCCAAAACTGACCCTGGAGGACACCGCTCCTTCATTTCTTATTACCTGTATCGACAGAAATTGATCCAAGATGATTCTTTTTTGATAAATTCTCACCCGATTTTCCAGAATCCCAGCTACCCAAACCGGAAGACACGGCCATCATAATGTACACCAGTGGCTCCACCGGCGTGCCCAAGGGCGTCATCCTCCTCCAGAAGAACCTCATCAGCACCCTGCGCGGCTTCTGCGACTGCACGCCCATCTACGAATCGGACGTCATGATCGGCTTCCTGCCCTTGGCGCACGTGTTCGAGCTGATGGTGGAGAGCATCTGCCTGTTTGGGGGTGTGCCCATCGGGTATTCGGGGCCGCTGACCATGATCGACAGTTCCAGCAAGATCAAGAAGGGGACCAAGGGGGACGCGAGCGTGCTGGGGCCCACGGTGTTGACGAGCGTGCCGGTGAGTCACAGATTTCGACGATTCTGGTGTAATCATTCATTTCTCTAGATTTTTTTGGGAGTGTCTGCTTGTTTCTAGAAATAAAAATATGAGTTATCCCTACTAATATTTTAAGTGTGAATGTAGGTTCGTTTGTCGAGCTTTGACACCAAAACTACTCAATCGATTATTATGAAACTGCGTATAAATATTCTTAGATGTATTAGAAAGGGCATATGATCCTATTTTTCTCACGACGGATGATTAAAAATATTTTAGCAGACATGAATATCCAACAATCGGACATGAAACTCTATACGTCGGTATCTTGGTAATTATTACAACTGGGACTCTTGAATCTCGGATTATTCAGATGATGAAATGATAATGACAAATATCTTACCTAACATCAGGTGGGCACTTCGAAGGTACAAATTCATTACTGCATGGGATAAACCCTTCAGATTTTTTGCTATTCAGAGACTGGAATTCGAATGACATTGCCGTTCGCTTTCTGCGCCAGGTTTCGTCACGTCATCAGCCTGCTTTCACAGAGAATAGCCATTGTAGCCAAATTTATAACCAGTAATTACCTTATGGGGTTCAATATCACCAATGACCAGAGTATTTTCGTTCGCAAAAGCCAATGTGGTTTGCGAGAGTGAACTAGTTCGAGTTAGTACTTCGAAAGAATGAAATAAAATTTTTCACTGAAACAGGCCCATTCCTACTGATATTATAAATGTGAATGTAGATTTGTTTGTCGGGCTTTGACGCCAAAACTACTCAACCGATTATTATGAAACTGCGTATAAATATTGTTAAATGTATTAGAAAGGAGATAGGATACTTTTTATTTAAAATATATGTATATTTTTCTCACGACAGATGAACAAAAATATTTTAGCAGACATGAAATATCCGACAATCGGATTTGAAACTCTATACGTCGGTACTAACTATTAGAATACGTCTTCTGGGACTCGTAAATCTCGGATTATTTAGGTGATGAAATGATTATGACAAATATCTACCCTAACATTAGGTGGGCACTTCGAAGGTGCAAATTCATTACTGCATGTGATATACCCTTCAGAATTTTTGCAAATTCAGAGACTGGACTACGAATGACATTGACGTTTGCCTTCTGTGCATCCAAAATGCATGAATTCAATACTACCTGAATTGCCCTTCTAGAGACAGGGCTCAACAAATAATCCATGCGGAAGCAATACCGAGTGAAATACATTTCAACTTTTGTTGTAGTAAGTTATTTCAATAAAGCGTTTTTTCAGTTTTGAAACTTCATTGTATGTAGTTATTTTCAAATACTGAATCACATTGGTTCATTTATTTCTGATAGAATGTAATGATCTTTGCGGGTAAAAGGTAGTCTGATACATAAAAGTCTCCTTTCCCTGTCACGGTGTTTGTTGCCAAACTCCTCCGAAACGGCTCGGCCGATTCTCATGAAAATGGTTGTGAATCGGTCGTAAACTATTTTTCAAATTGGAAATTCAAGATGACGGATCCAATATGGTCCAATAAGTTTTTTAATTACGATACGATTCTATTCAAAATTGGTATCTCGGAGTCGGAGATAATGATTCTTTCGTCAAAATTTGGAAATTCAAGATAGCGGATCCAATATGGTGGACGTGTTCGAGCTGATGGTGGACGACCGTGTCGGTGAGTCAGACATTCCGACGACACCTTGTTTTAAAAAATGTTTTAAGAGAAATATATTGTATATCGAATCTTCTACCGTTTTTATCATAAAAAAATGAGAAATACCATTCTTGCCAAATCATCTTCGGATTTCAGTGTTGACACTCTCAGTGACAGATGTTGATGCATACAAGTGAATTACAGAATGTTCTCATTAATTGATATTGAATTCACCATTTCCATGGTCAGATCAGTAGTGAATACCATCTACTAGTTATACAGGGTGTTTCATGAGAAGACTCACATAGCCAAATGGTCAATAGGGGAAATCAAGACGAGTTGATGTATATATATGAAAACATTTTTTGACCCTCCATAACGAAGATACAGGGTATTATGTGAAATTGTTATATAACTTTGATGGCCGATATTACAGAAATGATTTATCGTAATCTGCTGAAATTTGGCAGCGACGTATCTATGCTGAAACTATTCAAGATAACATATTATGAAAAAAAATATCCAGGTCCGGACTTGGGAAAATTTCATGTTTCATTGTTATGTCAAAAAAGTTAACTTTGTGACCACTTTTCTCGAAAAATTCCATCAGATTCAGAAAGATCAGACAAAATGCTATAAAAACTGCTCTTTAATTCACACGGCACACTTTGACAGGTTCAATAAAAAATTTGAAACAAAATCGTTCAAATGAATTTTAAATTTCTACCTAGCTGATAACTGTCAACTTCCAACTGGTATCATGTGAATTGATTTTTCCTACATTTTTGTTGAATAGTAATTGACAGGAGAATAGATGAGAAGAAAAAACACGATATTTTTTTATCGAAATTCCAGATAGATATTATTATTCCTGACTTTGTTTTATGGGTTTCAATTGAAGTAATGCTAAGATATCTAGTAGGCCCTCTTTTCCATTTGTGTGACGAGACGAGACGTTTGTTGATAATCCGAACTGATAGGCATAGGTACTAGGCTAGTTCTAGGGTAGGTACCAACTGATGAAATTACGACATGAGGATTCAAGTGCCCATATTATGGAGATTTATCTAATTAGTTATGCCATCACGCATAAACTCAGCTCCATTTTTTGTTATTGATACATTTCTGCAAGTGATAAAAGGATGCATCTGCTATTTATTCAAAATTACTAATGTTCATCCTCGTGAAGGTTTTACTGCAAAGTATTCTTGGGTCTGGAAATATTTTATGATATTGAACATAGCACAGCATTTGGATTCTCGTCTTGTTCAGCATTTGAAATATGAAGTGGCACCTAGGTGCAAGAATATTCCGATTACCAGTGTTTACCTATATCAACAAACGCCACGTTACATAAAATAAAATCAGGTCCTACTTTATAACAAATTTATAATATAGAGTCACAAGTAATCATATCCATCTAGAAGTTCGGTCAAAAACTAACATGTCAAATCATAAAAAAATCAGAACTCATCTCTTCTGTCAATTTCTATCCCATGAAAATGTACAACAAAATAAATTTACACGAATCTAGTTGAAAGATAAAAGTTATCAGCAAGGTCAAAATTGAAAATTCAATCGAGCGTTTTTGTTCCATACTTTTTTATTGAACCGGTCAAAGTGTGCCGTGTAAATTGAAGGGCAGTTCTTATAGCATTTTGTCTGATATTTCTGAATCTGATGGAATTTTTCGAGAAAAGTGGTCACAAAGTGAACTTTTTTGACATAACAATGAAACATGAAATTTTCCCAAGTCCGGACCTGGATATTTTTTCTCATAATATGTTATCTTGAATAGTTTCAGTAGAGATACGTCGCTGCCAAATTTCAGCAGATTACGATGAATCATTTCTGTAATATCGGCCATCAAAGTTATATAACAATTTCACATAATACCCTGTATCTTCGTTATGGAGGGTCAAAAAATGTTTTCATATATATACATCAACTCGTCTTGATTTTCCTTATTAACCATTTGGCTATGTGAGTCTCCTCATGAAACACCCTGTATATCAACTATTGTCTCCGTTCAAAAGAATGCAAGTGGATACCTTGACTTTTCTCTTTCTTTGTTGTTATCTTCTTTTCCTATGATTTTGATGTTATTCCACTATGTCATATGTTAGTTGTGAATCTAGTAGGTGCCCCAATATAATACATTTAACGCTGCTCCAAGTTGGTAAAAGATATATAGGTCAAGCTAAAAAATTCGTTAGTACTAGGTTCAAAGAACATCTATCATATTAAGAAGCATGGTAGATTGGAATAGTGCAGCTTATCATCTAATCTACTACAATCATAACATACTAATCAAGAGACTAAAAACTGAACAAAAATTTGATGATTTAACAATTTTTCCTGAAATTCGTGAATTATGCTAAAATTACCTTCAATTGAACACTGATTTCAAGTTTATACATCATTCTGCTTTGTTCATTGAAAATAGCGTTCAATTCAAACCATGAATTAGCAACCGCAATCTAAACTGTTTTTTATTTGGTTACAGTTGATATTGGATAGGATATCGAAAAGTATTCAGGAAAAGGTCCAGAAGAGTAGTAATCTCAAGAAAGTGATGTTCAAATTCGCCTATGACTACAAAACGAGTTGGAAGAGGAGAGGATATTCTACTCCACTTATCGACAGGTAATTTAAAAACAATTGATTGACCTTATCTATTGTTACCGTCCACGAGACTTTGGAATTTAGAATTTTGTTCAGTTGATAAATAAAAATCGGTATCTTGACATATAACTAAGTTATTATTAAATTAAATATAAAAATGTTTTTTTTTTTTCAAGTACCTATTCACTTGAAAATATTGAATTTGAATCTATGAATATATGCAAATATGCATTTTTTTTTTAGAATTATAAGTGTGTTAAGATCTATGGTTATGATCAGATATAAGGTGTTGGTTTGATATGAATAGAAATTTATGGAGAGATTTCTTGCAGGAAATTCAGTGAAAAGTTTTAGAAATGTTTTTCAAATGCCCATCGTTTTTGAGATACAGGTTGTCAAAGCTTCATCAATTTCTAAATATAATATTTTACGATATTTTATTTTCTTGAAATCTTGTAGATTTCTTTGCAATAACAAATACTTCTTCTGATGTTGCTAGAATTTATTTTATAATACCAGTGGCGTCCTAGAAAGCAGCTCATTTCATTCTACTGTTTGTTTTCACGAGTTGAAGATCTGTTGAAGGTTTTGAATATTTCAAAATACAACTAATTTCTTGAATCTTTCCCTAATTTGATTAATGAAAATTCTCTGTATGCCTTCATACCAAGTCACTTATTCCCTTAAATGTTTGTGTCAAATTATAAAACACAATTGAATGAACCCTATCTTCAAAAAATATTTTTTACTCGGTCAGAAAAAAAGTAGTATAGCTATTGATATCTTTTTTCCTTCGCTTGTCTTCCTCAATAATTATTGTATTGTGGTTTCACGTTGTGTACCGGAATGGGACGACAAACGTGATACTACAATGTTATTATATCGGAAGACAAGCTCGGAAAATTTATATCAATCTTCCTTCGGGTAAGTGGATTATATGCGTTCTAAAATATACTTAGATTTTTTTCAAGTAAGTTTATATTCAAAATTGAAAATATTTGGACTTAAGAGAGGTTGTTAGAAAGGATGGCATTTCTACTAAAAAACCCTATACCTTATACTCATATATCTTTGTGAGAAACTTTATTAAAACTCATTCATTTGCAAGGAATCCACCTCCAAAATATTTCAATACCATGTATGGAAGATCATATTTCGGACTATTAAGTATTCATTATCAGCTCGAGTTGAACTTTGTGCCCCTTTGTCATTCATATTTTTCATTTATTTATTCATTTTTAAAATAACATACATATCAGCATACTATATCAATAATAATATAAACATGATCAAAAAATTGAAGTGTGGGTGTTGTTCATTTCCAGAGTGATATTTTCGCCTGTCAAACAACTGATGGGTGGAAAAATGAGACTGATGATATCCGGTGGTGCACCGCTATCGCCCGAAACCCACGAACAAATCGCCACTTGCCTGTGCGTCAACATAATCCAAGGTTATGGACTGACCGAGTCGACTTCATGTGCTTGCGTGCAAGACTGTGAGTACCTACTTTTCCACAAAATGATAAGGAACACGCGTAATAGGCTACTGAACTGCTATTGAATTTTTCACATTCAACAATAGGCAGGAACACTGATTTCTAGAAAGAATAATATGTTGTTCATCACCATGTGAAAAGGCACGGAGATTTTTTTTTAATGTTTATTCCTAGATTTCCCCAAATACATTCCAGAAAAATCGATAATCAATAATTTCAAGTGTTTTGAGAATTTTTCGGCTGATTTTTAGGTGCTGAAATCAACAACGATGCCATGGTAATTTTCAAACGGATATAAATTTACCGCGAGTAAAAACTTACGTCATGATTTCGTAAGTAAGGGTAGACCATAGCACAATGCGATTGGGAAATATTAGTTATTCCATGATTCATAAATTCGGAATTATGTTTTTGTAATATTCCTATTCAGCAATACAAAATTGATTGTCCCTTATGATTTGTGGTTTATTGCTTGTAACAAATTCGTGTAAATAGAAATTATATTAATTCACACTAGAGGACATTTGAAGTGGTAAACTTGACAGCACGGCGCACGAATTGTGGGCGTGGTCTTGTCAGTTCTCAGCATTCAGCACAATGTTGCCAAATCTCGCAACATTTTCATGACATTTTGTTATGGAGTATAAGAAATATTTGGACACGCTGGTTGCTTGATAAATTCAAGAATGAACTTTGATTTTATAGGTTCCTCCTATTATGTTTTATTCAACGACAGGACTCTTACATCTTTTTGATAACTTGATTATAATTGGTGACTTGACAACTTTGCTTCGTGAGTGGGAATAGAAGATTATGTGACCGATAAAGAAACAGCATAAAAGCTGACGTCACCATTTATTCGACGTATCGCCAAATGACGACTATGACGGTACGTTTGAAATGAGCTCTGAAATTCAACAATTTCAAACAACGCATAGACTTATTATTTACCTATAAAAAGTGCGAGAAAGTGATGCAAAAACGGCAACGCTGTTCATCTCACTAAATAGTGAATGAGCGAGTGGATTGATGATAAATTAGTGGCATTCAATTACTCCACTGTATCGTTAGGGACCAAAATCAATTCTTGGAACACTTCGCACGGGTTTTTTAATAATAATAATAATGTGTCCATGGTCCATGCGTTGTTCTAGATTGTGGAATTTTAGAGCTCATTTCAAACGTGACGTCGGTTGTTATGCTGCTTCCTTATTGGTCAGATATTCCTTCATTCCCACTAACGATGCACGGTTGTCAAGTCACGGATTGTAATCTAGTTATTAAAAAGTTGTTGAGAGTCCTGTCGTTGAACAAAACTTTTTTTTCGGTTCTCGTTCCCACGAAAAGGGATATCCTGTAATGTTCAGAGAACATCGTGAGAATCAAGGGAAATAAGGTAGGAATTGGTGTTCCTCTTATTTCTGGAGGTTATATGCCTCGGGGAACACCTGTCTACATCCAAATTAAATATTTCGTTCGACCTGTTAGTTGAACAAAACTACATTCAAAATCAAATATTTCGTTTGACCTGATAGGAGTAAGCCATGATATTATAGTGGTCAATTTAAGACTTTTTCGAGCAACCAGTTTTGTTAAAATATTTCTTATACTCCATAACAAAACACCATGTGAATGTTGGCTAGGGACTTGGCAATGCTGTGCTGTCTGTTCTTGCTGTTAGTATGAACGAATTGGAATTTAATATAATTATTATAAAAACGAATTTATCATAAGCAATAAGCCACAGCACATAGGAAACATTTTGAAACAATTGATTTTTTATAGTTTATTAAGAATATTACCAATACATTATTAAGAATCTATGAATAATTGAATAAATACTGAGCTTCTGCCTGCCCCCACTTTCAAAACCCGTGATATCTGTTGGTATTTGAAAATCACCACGGCATTATTGATGATTTTTGGCCCGTGAAATCGACCGAAAGAAAAGGGCATCACGAACGCTAAAGTTGATTCACTCCCCTCGTAAGGGTACCGTACGTGCAGAAATATGGAATTGAAAGATAGTTGAATGATGATTCTACTTGAAAAACTTGAAAAAAAATCCACTAAGCTATTTCCTTTTCTCTTTCAGTATACGACATGTCCTTCGGCAGAGTGGGCGGCCCTTGCACCAACTGCGACATCCGGCTGGTGAGCTGGGAGGAGGGCAACTACCGGGTGACCGACAAGCCGTACCCGCGCGGCGAGATCCTCATTGGCGGCGACAACGTCAGCGCCGGATACTACAAGCTGCCCGACAAGACCGACGAGGAGTTCTTCGAGGCCGAGGGCAAGCGGTGGTTCCGAACAGGGGACATCGGGGAGATACACAAAGATGGGGCCGTGAAGATTATCGGTGAGTGATTTTTGCGTTTTTGGAAACATTTGGATGCCCAACATATCTCATTCAGTGTTGCCCCGAGCTATTTTTCCATCGAGGTAGACTTCTGGAAGGGAGCGGGGTAGAATCGGGGTAGATGCCTCATGTTAAAGTTTATAATATTGACGTATCTACTTATGATTGTTGTACGTGAGAAGTATATATGATACATGATACTGAATAATTTAGGTAGGCCACACTAGGGTCTCTTGATGGAAATTGCCGTTAAAGTCATCTTAACAGGCCACTCTAACAGGCAGGTGATCACAAAAATCGGAAATTGGTATGCGATCATAATAGATCATTTCCAATCTACTTGGTTACACGGTTCAATTGACCATCTGATAGGTTTACTGAGTTTTGACAACCCGATTCATGTCATCTTATCTATCACAGAATGTGAGATGTCCTTATTTTTCTGAAAATAATTACCGCCGTACTAATTCGTGAAAACACTTGTATCTCGCATAACGTTCAAATGTGATGTCCCATCCATGGTCTCGTACCATATGGGCATACAATTTACAAATGCCGCATCGAAAAATTGACGAATACTCAACCTTTTAAAAAGATATCTACTACTTTCTTGACACCATATAAAAGAAAATCGAAATTGAGAAGATGAGTTACCTAGCATTCCCTATGCTTGACTAAAACCTTCGAAATCATGGAATAGGGCAAGTGGAAGAGAATTGCATAAGCAAAGAAGGGAGGAGAGGGAAAAAACCTTCTGACCACCGTCAGCCAATCAGTCTGTCAAACGTTGCCAAGGGATTACGATCGTGTGCCGCGGGAGATTCAAAACCAATCCTCAAATTCCTCCATTTCTTGAATTTTTATTTTACATTCTATTGCCTTAGCGGGGTAGATTTGCTTGAGGGGAGCTAGAGGGTGAAATTATGTTCCAAAGGGGTAGAACTACTGTGGCAACGTTGTATTCTCATTTGGTAATAAACCTTGAATGTCAAGACTAAGAGATTCTAGGGAAATTTCGTGAATCGATTGTCAGCTGAAAAAGACACTGTTTCGACTTGCCATAAGTGTCATCAGTTGCACTGCCCAGCTGACTATCGATTCACGAAGGGTACCTCCATATATCAAACAAGTCGAAGCCCTGAGGGGGCAGAAGGACGATCTAGCCTTCATAGCCATCTAGTGGCTCAAGTGCAAAGGTGTATAGGTAGATTCATCAATCATACCTTTCGAGTGAGTCGTGCATATAGACCCCTACGTCTATATGCTTACAGAAAAGACACCATGTCAGAATTCTGTAGACTATCGCAACACCTGTATTTTTCAAAGTGGTTTAATGTTCCACTAACAGATGGTAATCAACGGGTGTTGCGATAGTCTATAGAATTCTGACATGCTGTCTTTTCTGTAAGCATATAGACGTAGGGGTCTATATGCACGACTTACTCGCAAGGTATGATTGATGAATCTACCTATACACCTTTGCACAATAAAAATATATCTCACGTATTGACGTCACATAGTAGTCCAATAATTTGAGATGGGTTGAGTATTCGATATTTAATTACACGAAAACCAATGAATATTGAGCTACGCCACTTTGTGAGATCATAGAATATAAGAATATTAAGTCCTTTAACGAAGTATCTCAAATTCCGATTTTTATGAGATACGTCATTACGTGAGATGACCCACGATAAGATTCATCAATTAATGCAATTAATGAAAGAAGATTATATTTCTAATTAAAATTTTCATAACAATCATCATTTTATTATCATATCCATACAAATACTATCTATCAAGCATCAGACATATATTGGTCCTTCGAGCCGGATCTATTCAAATCAAACATTTAAGGCTGCCAAGCAGTTTCAAGCAAAGAACAAGAAAAATATGCGTTCGATGAATTCTCACGAACTATACAGAGGAGTTAAGATTTGAATGTGTCTCTTTTCAGACCGAAAAAAAGACCTCGTGAAACTCCAAGCCGGCGAGTACGTATCCCTGGGCAAGGTCGAGGCCCAACTCAAAACCTGCACCCTAGTCGACAACATCTGCGTGTACGGTGAATCGTCCAAGGACTTTTGCGTGGCGCTCGTCGTGGCTAACCACCCCCAGCTGCGCGATCTGGCGGCCAAGAAGGGCATAACCGACAAGTCGTTCGAGGAGTTGTGCGTGGATCCTAGGGTGGAGAAAGCCGTGATGCAAGAGTTGGCGGAGCACGGGAAAAGAAGTAAGTATAATGATCTTATACCAGGAATTACTGTCTGATCATAGAAATACATATGTACACATTAAATACAATGTATATTAAATATAAAGACATTACATTAGGGTAAGAATGCGTTTGGCTCTTTCAGTGCCAGTGTTAAGAATGTCCCAGTTCACTCTGTTACTCAGCGTCATCATTCTGTTTATCGGGTTATTGTTTGCATATATAGTTCTATGAGTTTTTAAATTAAATGTGCTGCTATAACGTGATCGTCTTTGAGGAACATGAAATTTTTGGGAGGCCAATAATTCAGGAGTATCAATCTGATCCTTACATATTTTTTGAATAGTTATGATATCAGTGTTGCTTCTACGCTCTTCTAGGCTTTTCATGTTCAGGAAATTCGAAATATTGTCATAATTAAATTCCTCCATAGGAATACCGAGCTTGAAGCCAATTTAACGCAAAAAACGTTTCTGAACTCTTTCTATTTTCATGATATGAGCTTGGAAGGCAGGACACCACACAGAGCTGCTATTTTCAAGTTGAGAGCGTACAAATGAAAAGTAAAGGGATTTCAAGGCAACAATATTATGAAAGTCCTTTGTTGATCGTTTGATAAACTCTAGCATCTTCAGAGCTTTGTTACAGATAAATTCAATATGAAGAATAAAGCTAAGTTTAGAGTCAAAACGTATACCTAGATCTTTCATAATGTCTACATTTTCAATGACCACATCATTCATGTCATTTCTACTAGAAAATTAATTATACTTCATATATTATTTGTATGAAATGTATCAATGAAGAAGAGAATGTAATGCAATAACGTCACAATTTACTCATCACTATCACTGACTCAAACTACTATGTAGACCGCTAATGTCATAAGAAAGAGGATTGAACTGAAGAAAATGAATCATGTGAATTTAGGACCTGTCATATCTTACTCGCTCTTACTTATGTTTCCGAACACCAAGTGACATGACTCAATATCATCTATGATAGTATGGGTGTTCCTGCGCATTGAGCGGAAGCGTTTCCAGGCGAGCAATATACCCGTGATTTTCGGGTATAAGAACTAATAAACTGTAATTATTTTGCTTTCGGAAATAGTGTAAGGAAAACAGTTCACTTATTGAGATTGGTGTCCAAAACATAAGCATAACGTGAGGTTAAATAAGCAAAAAACCAGAGGACTGTGTATTTGACTTCAGGCAGGCTATGTTATGTCTAGAAACGACATCCACATATTGACATTATTTTCATTTCTCTGATACCTCTAAGACCTGGTTTCATGATATAATCTCAGTTCAGATAAGCTTCGTTTAAGTTGAACCAAGGATTTTATTTTGATTATCGTCGTAGCCGTTTCTTCAACTCTTTTTCATCTTTCCGAGGGCAACGTTTAGCTAACCTTAATTGAAGCTTAGAATTGACAAGGCAACAGTGTAGAATGGCCATGGATGACTAGAAATTTGGCGTTCTGTGTGTGCTCTGACGACATATTATGAACAGCTCTCTCGAGTTTTATCACTATAGTGGAAAAATGTATGAACAAAACAAATTAGGAAAAAATATTTCGATTGAGAAAAACGAGAGAGAAAAGAGAAAGTGACCAATTTCAGTATTGCTGAAAAAACTTATTTCGTGGACATGGTTGAAGCTCCATTCAACATTATTGAAAAATGAAAACAAGCGAATCGTATCCAACGAGGACGCCATACCAAAAATTAATTATCTTCATAGTCTTCGGAAGCAAGATCATAATATAATCGATATAGAGCTGCCACTATCTAATACCTGCATTAAAAGAAATCTCATAGGTCGCGTGCACGATGACCGACCCTGGAGGCAAAATATTGAAACACAACCTCATTTTTTTATTTGTTTACAGAGGATCAAAGGATTGAAATAGTTTTTCAAAATATTTTGTCATACAAATCGTATTTTTGCGCTATTCATTAATTCAAGCATTCCTTCTCATTGTGCTGCATGCAGCGAGAGACGAAGGAATATGATTTTTCAGGTAAATAGTAATTGTTTTCATTATGAAACTGTCATTTCACGAGTATTTCTATTAGTTCCTATTGCAGGAGTTCCGATGAGAAATCAGAGAAATTACTAAATTTCATAAATGAAAACTATGTGAGTGTTCATAGTTGGTACTTACTTTTAAATCGTAATGTACCAACCGGATTCCTTCGTTTCCCGCTGCATTTTTTGTGTATTGTATGCTCGAATTAATGAATAGCCGTAGAACACGATTCGTATGCCAAAATAATTGTGAAAACCTATTTCAATCACTTGTAAACAAATAAGAAAAGTGAGGTTGTGTTCCAATGTTTCACCTCCAAGGTCGGTCATCTGACAGTTCTTTCACGCAACCCATAGGTCGCGTGCACGAAGACCGACCCTGGAGGCAAAATATTGAAACACAACCTCATTCTTCTGTGAATTATTGAAACACAACCTCACTTTTTTATTTGGTTACAGAGGAATCAAAAGGTTGAAATAGTTTTTCACAATATTTTGGCATGAATCGTGTTTCTTGCGTTATTCATTAATTCAAGCATGCCTTCGCATTGTACATCTGCCTTCTGCCACTTCTGCAATACAAGCTAATGCTGCTAATAGATTGAAAATGTCTACAACACACACGATCGTCAGCATGTCAGACCAGTCCTACCGATTGATTGCATGAATCCAATCTTCTTGCATTATTCTAGAAATTTCAGGTATATTTCTATTAGCTGATCCTATTGCAGAAGGAATTCCGATAAGAAATCAGAGAAATAACCAAATTTCAAAAATGAAAACTATGTGAGTGACTATAGTAGGTACTTACTTTTGAATCATAATGTACCAACCGGATTTCTTTATCTTCCGCTGCAGTTTTTGTGCATTTTACAACAGCACAATGTGATGGCATTAGCGAATTGATGAATAGCGTAAAAGTACGATTCATATGCCAAAATAATTGTGGAAAACTATTTCGATCACTTGTAAACAAATATGTTTTGCCTCCAGGGTCGGTCATCTGACAGTTCTTGCACGCGACCTATTCAATGCATAACCTTGCTTTTCATTATACATGACAGATAACGCGCGGTTATTTCCGTAACTGGTGAAAAATTGCTAGGTAAGAAATAATCTGGATTAATCGAGTTAATCGGTGATTTTGGTATGCTGAAACGATTTGAATTATTCATGGCAATTAAATTTGTCAGTTAACTCCAAAACCGAAATTAGATCCGTTGGTGAAGCCGGGCCTAAGGAGTAGAAAATCAATAGTCGTTTATAAAACTGAATAAACAGTTTCAAAAAAAGCGATATAATGAAACAATAAAAGTGTGTTGATCAATACACATTATGGAGGTGATAATATTTTCTATATTGTGTATTTTCAACACACTCATCATTTTATTTTCCACTTCTTTTCAATTTGGCTATCTATGAACCGTGTTTATTTCTAGTTTTAAACTACTATTGATTGACAATTTCTTCCAGGCAAACTGGAGAAATTCGAAATCCCTGCCGCAGTGAAGCTGGTAAAGGAAGCTTGGTCACCTGACATGGGCTTGGTGACGGCAGCTTTCAAGCTGAAGAGGAAGGACATCGAGGAGCGCTACAAGCACGAAATCAAGAGGATGTACGCCTCCTGAAAGTCAGCCTGGGAGTGAGTCCCCCGCCCCCCCCCCCTTTCCTTCCGTAAGTAGAAACCACGTTATGAGATTTTATATGGAGGTCCTGTAAAGTTGTAAAGTATTTCGTATCCAGCCTTGTAAATATCAAAGAAACTTGTCTGGTTGGTGATATATATATATTGTAACTGATATTTTTATTTATATTAGCTTATATGTTATACAGTATTGTAAATAAGTACCAATTTGTACGATATATTCATGATTCCTAGGAACGCTTTTTAATATTGTTCGGTGGCAACTACAAAATGTTGTAATTTTGTAGCATTCATTATCTGGGACTCTTTTAGTTCGGTTGTTGTTATTTTAATTTGTTGTTTTTATTTAATTATTTATTGGGTATTGTTTGTAGACCCTATGCAATACTTGTCATTCATTTTTGTAGTATTCTAATCCACTGTCTTGCCAACGAAATCGAGACAAGTACTTAAAAATTTGTCAATTCTCCGTTCCGAAAAATAATCCGAAAATACTGATGCAAATACTCAATATGCAAAATACTGTCATCTTTCAAGAACAGGTTTTGTACGTCTTTAATTTCATTCGAAAATTTTGAAAATCATAGTTCTACATATATTCATATTGTGGAGGGAGGTGAATAACAACAAAGCATATCTCTGTCAGCAATATTTCTACACCTATAATACTTGTTTTTATCAATAACTTCAGTACTTTAGTTGCATTGAAAAAAATTAAATTTATAATGATTCTCTACATGATCCACTAGGATAACAATTTAAATATGTCAATTTCCGTAGAAAACTATTGGTGTAGTAGTATGCTATGAATTTTCATCATTTTAGAATGAAAAACATAATATAGTAATCAATAGTTAACAATAATGTTTCCTATAATGGGCTGAACGAATCATCACTAATTTATATTTTGAAGCATAATCATTAAGTTTCTGAAATCTGTATTATTTTTTTTATATAAGATGTCCTTATATTCAATCTATTTTTGAGCCGTCTATTTGCTTTATGCATACTTTGTTATGGTTGTGTATGTTTTGTACATATTATATATATATAGGATTCTAATAAATAATGATACTGTTGAAATATTTTTTTACACTTATTAAGACCCATTCCGGCCATTCCTGATTAAAGTCATACTAACCAAAACATTTATTTCACTTCGTGCATAAGAGGTGACATTTTTTTCAAAGCCTCTTTGATGGTGGTGGAATAACTCGAACCATGATTTATTCTTAATTTTTGACTCACCCTGTGCAGCCCTGTGTGTTAATTGAGTAATGGCATAGAAAGTGCTTGTACCCTATACGAAAGAGGCTTTTTTCCGAGCATTTTGTTTTTTTATTCATTGATTTATCTCTAAAATTTTCCGAATTACAGCTTTTTTTGCTGAATCCTTGCAGATTACCAACTTTCTGAATTTATCGATAAACAATTTTCTAATGAAATAAACTGATACCAATAATTTTGAAAAACATTCTTATTAAACACAAAATTATAAATTGGGATGACTGCTTAATACCGTGTATTGCCTCCTCTAGCAACTCTAAGAACATCTAATCTACGAGGCATACTGGAAATTGAGTTGCTTATCGTTTCCATTGGTATAAGATCCAATTCTTCCACTAATGCATCTGCCATTTCTGCGAGACTTTCCGGAGACCTCTCGCGAGAACGTACCCTTCTCCCTAATTCATCCCATAAATGTTCTATAGGATTCATATCGAGGCTTCTCGCAGGCCATTGTAATGTGGTAATACCAGTAGCTTCTAAGATGTTTCGCACTATTGCTGCGGTGTGTGGTTGGGCATTATCCTGCATCAATATAAAATTATTGCCCACTAACTCTGCATAAGGTAAGACATACTGCTCTAAAATGTCAATGTAAATTTGGGCATTCATCGACTGCCTCACCGGAAAAACATGAATGGGTGTCCTTCCATTCATTGAAATCCCTCTCCACACCATAACGGACCCACCATTGAAACTTTCGCATTCTGTTATTAAATTTTGATTAAACCGTTCACCAGTTCTTCTCCACACTCTTTTTCTTCCATCCACCATGTTGTGGCAAAACCTCGACTCATCCGTAAACAAGACCTTCGACCATTCAGGAATATTCCACTGTCCATAATTTTCAACAATATTTCTTCTAGCAGCACGATGTTCGGGCAATAATTTGGGAAGTTTTGCAGGTCTCCTAGCTTTTAAATTAACTTCTTGTAGACGTCTACATACCGTCTGCTTACTTATTGCAACATCACGAATTTGGCGAAGATCTTGCTGAACATTTACCGCAGTATTTGATCTATTCCGTAAAATCCGCAATCTCAAGAAGCGATCATCTCTTGGAGAAGTTTTTCGGGGGCGACCAGAACCGACCCTCCGAGCGGTGCTTCCTGTTTGTTCGTACTTGCGGATTGCTCTACGAACAGTTGCTTCATGAACTCCCACTGCACGAGCGGCGTAACGTTTACTACGCCCATCGTTTACTAACGCAACTAATCTTGCTACTTGTTCAGGATTTATTTGAGACATTTTATGTAATTTTAGTCAATAAAACAAGACACTTAATTAATGAAAGAATGAGAAATGGTCAAATATGGAGGCATACTACAAATTAGTTGATATGGCAACGGCATTTGTTTTTTTATCCTTCAATAAATTTAATTTGTGGGGTAAGCGTAAGGTATCAGCAAAAAAGCTGTCATTCGGAAAATTTTAGAGATAAATCAATGAATAGAAAAACAAAATGCTCGCAAAAGTTGCCTCTTTCGTGTAGGGTGTAAGCACTTTGTATATTATTACTAACACACAGGGTTCGAGTTATTCCACCACCATCAAGGAGGCTTTGAAAAAATGTTCACCGCTTTGTTTTTTTTTTAAGACAAATACATTACCTACCAACAAATTAAAAAATGAATAAAAATTGGCCTACTATTTTTTGTTTTGTTTTTTAAGAAAATAGGTCAAATTTCAAGTGCTTCACATTTTTTGGTACTGAGTGTATATTGCACAAAAAAATCATGATAATTACTAGACTAGGAACATGGTGACAAATGTAGAAGGCAGATCAAATATAAATGCAAGGATGCTAATCAGTTTACGAAAAAAATCGACTTTTCCCCAGTGTTTCCGCTAACCATGATACTATCTCTTTCAGATCTGAGGTCCTAGCTGTCTCATTTCATATTGAAAAAATTGCCAAGATACAACTTCGCAAATAATATCTATCCTACAAACTGCAAATATCAATAATTTCTCTAGAGTTTTGTGTTTTTCTCTCCTAGTTCTAAATGAAAATACATACATACATTTCAATCATAGAAATAATAATTATTTCTATGATTTCAATACATAATATGTGTAGCAAGGATGAATCAGATGATTTGCCCCTAAATGTCACTGCATTCATTTTTTTTTCTATGAGTCAGCCTAGAAGAAAAATCAGTTGATAGTCAATACCTTCAGGAGAATGCAAGTGGATTCTTTTTTTTCTGGATGTTATCTGCTCTAATGATTTTTGTTATTCCACTCCGCCTGTGTATATTTTGAGTAATTTAGATTTGTTGATATGCATTGCCTTGTTTTCATGTTTTTTCTTATACTTATTGAGGGAGAGGTCTCTTTGTTTCACCTGTATAATACTTTCCATGGACGGGGGTTAGTTGTTCGGAGAGGTACACTGTAGATACTATTACTTGATGATTGTCTTTCATTTTTCGAAACAAAGTGTCACATCTCCTGATTTGTCCTCGCTACACACATTCAAATAATACTCGTATTTCTATTTTTAGACATGAGGAGAAAAAATCTTGGAAAATATAGTGAAATGAATATTCTACCTCCTTAAATCACCTACAGATAGTATTTTGCATTAAAAGGCAATGATATGCGTATTCTTTTGTTTCCTTGAATTCATTAGTATTTTTTGTTGATATTTATGGAAAATCCATTGTAGTATGAACTAGAAATCACTTTCACTAACAAAAAGAATATTGTACCAGTTTTTCGAATAAATGGTGTTAAAAAAAAAGCTGGCTTTGTTGCTAGAATGGAACAATGCAAAATAAGTAAAAAAATCTCGTAACTGCAGCTATATTCTAGATACAAGGTGTTGAAAGAATATTGTACTTATTTACATTTTTTGCGATTATGTTGAACCTACTGGCAACAGTGTAATGAAATTTTGTATGATTATGATGCTTTGGAAGCTGGTACATCGTATGAACATGTTTTCTATCTCTCATAGAGGTCGCTAGTTACATGATTCGAGTAGTTCTCAACAAAACTTCTTTGAAGTTAGATTTTCTAATCCATATTTTAGCCCAATCACCTTAGTATCAAATTTGACGAATATAGCGGGAATCGAACCCAAAGTTTTGAAAATTGGTGTACATGTTCCCTTTGGCATGACTTTCAACCAAAAAAAAGTCACCACCTGTACCTGTAGAGCTAACTCCGCCATCTTGAAAAATGTGTGCACTTTTTCATTTATTCGGTTATATCTCAGTATCTGTTAACTTTATCGATATCAATATGCTGAGGTAAAATGAAGGAAATTGAATTTATAAAAAAAAAGTTCTCTACATAAATACTCGTTTAGTGCATGGTTTATCAGTAAATCGTAAAACAATATGCGATATTTGAGAAACTTACTCATAATTATTCTGATATACATATATTCCAACTACAAGTAACTGTCAGAGAGTCGGCGCTATATTCAAGGATCCTCGCAACACAAAACAGCGATCGGCCATTACAGAATACCAGTGTTTTTTTTTATTGCTTGGAGCGCACGAAAGTGTATCCCTATAATGTTCAAAGAACATCGCGCGTTCCTAGGGAGGATAGGGACAGGAGGTAGGTATTGGAATTTTTTTGAACTTTTGTAGATTATATGTTGTTGGGAATACTTCCACAGGCAATTCATTCCAGAGCCTAGCCGTTCTATGGATGAAGGAGTCTTGATAAAGTGCCACATATTAATGGTTTTTTTTCTTTTACATCGTATGATTTGGCAGTAAAATCAAACGTTCCTGTCAATCTGCTCCAGTTACATTGCCTACGTCAGGAAACACTATGGCTCTAATTCGGTGATTGTTTTCGACGGGTACTCTGATGATGCTGATGGAACTAAAAAGGCTGAACAGCATAGACGTGCTCTTAAAAATACATGTGCAGACTTTTATTATGTTTTGTTTGATGAAAACATGCCGGTCACTGTCGCACAAGAAAAATCACTAGCTAACCCGAAGAACAAGAAGCGATTGATTGCTATATATTATCAGAAAAAATGAAGGGTTCATCACAAAGCCAGCAGTGGACGATGCGGATTCGCTAACAATACAGACAGCTATTGAAATGTCTTCCTCTACCCAAGTCACCGTTGTTGGATAAGATGTAGAACTACTTATTCTACTCATAGCTTTGGCTCCAGCAGAACGCAACATTTACTTTGTGAAACCAAAAAAAGGCAATGTATAAAGGCAAAAAGGTATACTGTTCCCGCGAACTACAAACCAATATTAAATAACAGGGAAAAAATGAAACATAGATGAAAACCCAAAGTCATCTCCACAACTTTTAAAAGTTGTGGAGATGACTTTGGGTTTTCATCTATGAACTACACCACTCCACTTTGAGTTACCATGGACTTCTTCCAAAGATTAAAAAAGGAAAGTTGAAATGCTTCAAACTCATGAAGGACCGGCCATCATTACGAGAAGTTGCGAAGGCTTTCAACAACCCGGAAGCTAAGAGTGAAGAAGTATCTACTACATGTGAAAGATTCTTTCTAGCTCTGTATGATGCCCATAAAACGAAAACATCATTGAAGAATCTACGGTACAATCTGTTAGCCAAATCTGCTACAAAAAAAAGTAGATCTGGCTTCTCTGCCACCGACGGAAGCAGCTTTGAGGCAGCACTCCTTCAGAGTCAATCATCAGGTACAAGAGTCGTTGGGTAGTCAAAAATGTTCTGAGCTTTGGGAGTGGAAGAGGAGTGCTGTTGGTCTGGTTCCTGTGCCAACTACCCTACCTGCTGCTCCAGATTCTTTGCTCCAGATGATTTCTAGCGATTGCAAGAAAGGATGCACGGCAGCCTGCGAATGCCGAAAAGCGGGTCTTAAATGCTCGATTAGTTGCGAATATTGCCTTGGAGCATCGTGCCTCAACGCACAATACTGTCAGGGCAACACCGAAACGCTGGAATCCGAGGTGAAGTTCGATTTTTCCGTTTCATATCTTCTAAGTAATGAATACGATGTTCCGGACGAACCCGACCCGATGGTTGTATTTTCAAATAACGAAGAATACATGCCTTATTCTCCATGTTATACCCTGCGTCTTCGAAATGGGTGATATACCCGAAGCATAGAGTTATTGTCCCAGTTGTCAGCAGAACGAGAGCGGCTGATGAGACCTGGTGGGTAGAAACAGTACTGTCTTGCTCCTGCTGACAATTGGGGCAACTCTGTCCATCCTGAAACTCTTGATTATGAGATCTAGCAGCTTTTCTACTGGTCACCATGAGCGTATACAACTAAATTATAGTTTGTCCAGTCGGTTTGCAGTAGAATTTTATATTTTGCCAAATCGTTGTGGCGACATAAGTCCAAAACCGTGCATATTTCGGAAATAATCAATAAATACTTTTTTACGATAAATTTTGTTAGCTTCCTTTTACCTCTTCACCTTTATCGCGATAAAGTTGACAGTTACCGAGATATACGTGAAAAACTGAAATATTGCACCTATTTTACAAGATGGCGGCGCAAGCTCTACAGGTATGAGTTGTGACTTTTTTTTGGTAAGATGTAATGCTAAAAGGAACACGTACACCAATTTTCAAAACTTTGGCTCCGATTCCCGCTATTTTTTCTAAGGTGACTGGGCTATTTTATGTGAACTAGAACATTATTCAATTTTACACCAAAAAGGTAGGTTAATTTGGTAAAACTGTTATAGTGTGTACCGTTTTCGGAATATTTTGATTTGAAAATGATGAAGTAATAATTCCTTATAATGCTGGTATAAAAGTAAGTATTATAAAAATATTGTGTCCAATGATTTCCGGTGTTTTGATAAGAATTCGACGTCAAGTCCATGTGTCATAGACAGTCGTTCGTCACCGTCACCCAACTCATCACAGTGTTTTTTACTCCAAAAATCTTTGATTTTTAAAACCTGGATCAGTTTTTAAACATTGGCCCCCTGTTGCTACGTCCCTGCGTCGTATTATTACTTTGAATAATTCTTTGAAACTTCTATCAAAAGTTATCTCCGCCAATGTATGGTGTTCATTTATTCACCAATTTCGAATTATATTCTAGCTTTGAAGACGGTGAAAACTCCCATCGATACTTTGGCAATCAAAAATCTATTACCAACCCTTTGGACAAAAAAAAATCAACTTAATATCTATGTAATTATGTAATTTAAGATTCTGTGCATTAGAACAAAGTTGAATACATCATGATATTGGCTTCTTCTTCTCTATAATCATTATTGTATTGAACTGGACGTTCCAAATCCAATTACAGGGAATATCTAGTCTGGATGATATAATACTCCTCATAATTTATTCATAAATTTTCCCCTATTCCGTGCGGTTGAAATAAGTTCATGAATGACGTGGTAGAAAATGGAACATCAATAGTTCGATCTCTCAGACATTTCACGTTTCACGGTATATACGAACAGTTGATACCCAGTGAAGTCTCTGATTCTTTGTGTGTTTACTTGGTCTGGTTTTTGAACCCATGGGTCAACAACTCTAGGTGCTAATAGATCACGGGTTATTAGTAAAGAAAGTAAGTAACATACATTCAACTAAATTTTCTGAAGCAAAATTTTGTCATAGTAGCAGCTTATTGTGGAAACTATTGAAAGTACTTCTTAATCGTTTTTGGAATTGTACAGGGTGATCCATCATAACACCATAATAATTCACCACCCTGTATAACATAACTTCTTTATGGAGATATTTAAAATTTTCAAGAAGCCATTTACTATTGGAACTTTCTTCAAATATCAATAATGAAAACCTGAACGAACAAAATAATAGTTATTTATTATACAAGGGAAAAAAGTAGTAGATTTTAGCTCCAGGTTGTGTTGTCTCCCGACGCGTAGCGGAGGGAGACAAAAAACCGTGAGCTGAAATCTAATATTTTTCCCGTGTATAATACACTATTTTTTTCTGTGACAGAAGGAAGGACGATTCAATATTGGGAAGATATTACATTATTTCGAAATCTGAAAATTATCGACGTGAAATTTCAAGTTTTTAACAGTAGGGACACCTGCGTTTTATAGACATCTTTATCATTCTTTTGAAGTAATCAAATATCTGATATCACTTCTGTCAGTTCAATTCTGTGATTTGATTTTGAAAAATTGCGAATTCAGTAGTTGTTTAGTAATATACGAAACCGCGAAGTCGAATGGAAGATAAAAGGACTTGCAGTTCTTTCTCGGAGACGGTTTTATTGACTTATTTTTCGGAACTATAGCACAACAAAAGCCATTAACAGAGTATATATATGTGATATATATCCGGGAAAGAAGTATTCATTTTTTTCCCACGGGAAAAATGTAATTTATGAAAAGTGACATTTTATAACCTGCCAACAGAGATGATAAATGCCAAACTTTTTTCCCGTCACAGAAAAAAAAGATTTTTAAGACGCCTATACATACTCATATTATATTAACTGAGTTTTCAAGCGACAACTCAGAAAGTATACTCTAAACTATATATATTTGTACTCAGGAAGGAAAATGGCATCTAAATTGTATAGAATATACAGGTCGTGTCCTACTGTTTATTTTTTTATTTAGATTTTCTCATTTCTTTTCGGTTTTTCATAACTTTAAACTATGAAGGTATAATTGAAAAAATGTTTCACACTAAGTATGACTTGAAATTTTCGAATATCTTTATGAACAAGAAAGTTCCAGTGGGGAATTGTGGTGGATTTACCTGTACAGGGTGGCTGGAATTCGTGCCTCATCGGGATCTTGCATTTAAACAGTGAGAGATACAGGGTCGGTTAAATTCTGCACAATTTTATTCCTAACAAAATGCTGTTCTGAAAATTTCGGTTTCTTCCAAATATTCCGAATATCATTTTCATTATTTTTTATTACTCCATTTAAATAGATATAACAAAACAAATCACACATTCTCATTTCCACTTTTTCTGTTTTACAAGATGGTTTTATCAGATTTTCAAACCGCGACGACGTTTCGTGTTTGAACTGTTCATCAGTTACTTCGTTTTTTAATACGGCTCTAGATTTTTTATTACGGATTTCAAGACCTTTTTGATCTCCTAAAATCAGCGCACTTATTCGAAAAATTCATATTAATGGCATTGTACAGGGTGGCCAACTAAGACTCCAGAGTTCGATTTCTCTGTTATCTTGAGAGATACAAAAAAAAAAGTCATGTATCAAAATTGAAGTAATAATCTAGCTTCACATTTCGAAATTTCTTTGAAATACACAAGGTGTTCCGTAAGGTCACAGTACATCAAAGCTATGTTTTTTTCATTGGAACACCCTATATTTTATTTCATTTTTGAATTCTCCCTGAAGATCTGATTTCAACGACGTATCATACTTAGGGTCTAGCAGTGAAAGTTACTGACATATAGGGTGTGCAAAATCGAGATTTTCCAAGTTCAGGATTTTTTTCTGTCGAAACTGTTCATTATTCGTCAAAACAGTTTACATGTCCCTATCTCAACTTTTCACTCACTATCAATTGGTGTTCAATTGACATTTAATTGAAACAAATTATAAATTCAGATTTTTTGACCATCTTGTATCAATTTCAATTGAAATTGATACAAGATGGTCAAAAAATCTTAATTTATAATTTGTTTCAATTAAATGTCAATTGAACACCAATTGATAGTGAGTGAAAAGTTGAGATAGGGACATGTAAACCGTTTTGACGAATAATGAACAGTTTCGACAGAAAAAAAATCCTGAACTTGGAAAATCTCGATTTTGCACACCCTATATGTCAGTAACTTTCACTGCTAGACCCTAAGTATGATACGTTGTTGAAATCAGATCTTCAGGAAGAATTCAAAGATGAAATGAAATATAGGGTGTTTCCATGAAAAAAACCTAGCTTTGATGTGCTGTGACCTTACGGAACACCCTGTGTATTTCAAAGAAATTTTGAAATGTTAAGCTCGATTATTAATTCAATTTTGATACATAACTTTTTTTTGTATCTCTCAAGACAACAGAGAAATCGAACTCTGGAGTCTTAGTTGGCCACCCTGTACATAAAAACTCATGTGCTAGAGAGAGAAAGAAAATAGATTTTTAATAGGATTAAAATAGTTATTTTTGTATCTAGAGCGCGAAATGCTACTTTGGTGATCGAGATCTGATTTTTTTTACGAGGCGTAGCCGAGTAAAAAAATAGCCGAGATGACCAAAGTATTTCGCGCTCGAGTTGCAAACAAAATTTTTTTCTACAAACGTAAGAAAATATATTCCTAAAGTCGAAATATGCGCAGTTTGATATAAAAAATAGTATTGAACTGGCTTGAAGGGCCCCCTCCTATCCTCCCTAGGTACGCAAGATGTTCCACGAACATAATAGGAATTTCCTTTCGTGCGCTCCAAGAGATAAAACAAAGTTATTGTTGAACATTCAGAAATAGATGATTTCGTGGATGTTTGCTCGATTGAGGACCGTAAAGTTGAAATATAGATATCTCATATATTTTACATATAACAATGCGCGAAGTAGGTACTTCGCGCACTGTTTTACTTCGCGAATTGTTAGGTGCAAGGTATCATGGTAACGTAGGAAACTGAAAATAGTGTCACTTCGCAATTTGTTTTCAATGCGCAAACCTTGTCATTTTTTGACGTTTGTAGAAAAATACATTTTCCGAATAAGTACGATCGTTGACTGATATATTACGCTTATGCTAAGCGTAACAATCAATCAACGGTACGATACACCGTTGCCGTTGATTTTATAGTAGATAGAACTTTCCTGAAATCCATAATAAAAAATCCAGGGACGTATTTAAAAAACCTCAAAGACCATACGTCGGTTTGGAAATCTGATATAACAAAAATGATATCGCAGATATTCGTTTTTTTCCAAAAATATTTGGGAGCATTCCGAATTTTTCTACATGTCAATCTAAACTGATAGATTACCTTTACCTTATCGTATTCCAAACCTATCTTCTGTGAGAAAATCAAGAAGAAGAGTTTATTGATTTTGAGTTTTTGATAGTTTTTCAATCGTTTTGCTTCCTTGTGAGGTATGTGAATCAACGAGTATAAACCTCTTAGTTCAAACTTACATGTATCGCTGTCAATCTTGAATCCCTAATCATCATTATCAATTTTATTATTATTATCATCATCAGTATCATTATCATCATCATTATCATTATCATTTCCTATTAATATTATTTTACGGGTCCAAAGATTGTAATTTATTTACTGTTGCACAGGTATCTATTCTAAATTTACTGTCAATGGGTCTCGAAGATGCCTATCAAATAATCCAGAGCAGGATCTGAACAACATGGGAGCACGTTGAACTAAGCCATATCACCTGGTATCAACAATCGAATAACAAATAGATGGCTTACCCTTCAACAACAGAACCACAGTCTGGATATATCTAGCTATCGCATATCATGTTTTAATTATTGAGTGATGGGAATAAAGTCCTCAGAGATCTATGTAAATAAGAGTGGATACGGCCATCTCTTATCAGTCGGCCTATGGTAGATAGTGATGTTTATACATCTGAGTCTGAAGGATTCAAGACTATCATCCACCATTTGATATTGTTAATTTATTAAGGCGTCATATTATGCAGAAACAATGACCAGCGGGTAAGTAATATTTTTTTTTTTTTTAATTATTCATCCGCATCAACCAATATGGTTATTAGCGGTGGTACAATAGTATTATAGTACATTTCATATATACTCAAACACGTCTACGTTTCTGAGAAATAGTTCAAGCTTTTTAAAGTTTTTTGGGTTTAAAGCACTGGTTAAGAGTTTAGGCAACTTGGTTTGTTCTCTGTCCAAGTAATATTGATTATTACCTATTCTATTAATTCAAGGTATCTGTATTCAAGCATTTTCTATATCTTTGCGAGATCTTTAGGTACATTCACCTTCATACATCTTATGAGTTCAGGGATCTTATTTTTGCTATGCAGCAATAACATTTTTACCTTTTTCTATTCTATTGAATAATATAGCCTCTACCTTTTATATTTATATAAGTACTACCGATTTTTCACGAATATTGCTGGTTTTATACAACTTTCATTCAATATTATTAATTGAATTTGTTCAGCAGTTACTTGATGGAAATCCGTATAGTACAGTTATATCCTTGATTTTACGTGCTTCACGCCGGGACCGGACGAGGCAGGAATAACTGAAAAGCACGGATAATCCGAACATTCATTTCTTACATAATAATATCTGTATGTATGTACAGGGTGATTCATCATAAATGTCCCCCCACTAGCTCACTTATTCTTGAACCGATTTAAAAATTTGAAAAATAATCTAAAATGATTTTTCCTAATTTTTTTCCTGTTGCATCAGAAAATACAGAGTGCCCGGAAGAAACGATCTACAGAGTACTACTTGATTTTTTCAAATGGAACACCCTGTATTTCATTGTATTTTTAGATTCTTCCTGAAGAGCTGATTTCATCAATATATCACTCAAAATCGAGATTTCACATCTTTAGGATTTTTTTTTGTGTCGAAGCTATCCATTATTGGTCAAAACGGCTTCTATGTCCCTATCTCAACTTTTTCAAGATTCAGAATTGTGATCACCTTGTATCTGTTCCAATTATTAAATGTCAGTAGATAGTAAATCAAAAGTTAAGATACGGACTTGAAAGCCGTTTTGACCGATAATGAATAGTTTCGTAAAAAAAAATCCCAAAGTTGGAAAATCTCGATTTTGAACACCCTATATCTCTGTAACCGTTCCCGCTAGACCCCAAGTGTGATGCATTAATCAAATCAGCTCATCAGAATACAATGAAAAATAGGGTGTTACATTTAAAAAAAATCAAATAGTACCTTGTAGATCGTTTGTTCCCAGCACTCTGTATTTTATGATGTAGCGAAAAAAACTTCATCGAAAATCACTTAAGATGATATTTCAAATTTTGAAATTGGTTCAAATATAACTGAGCTAGAGGAAGGAAGACATTTATGGTGAATCACCCTGTACATATATGAATAAGTACTGGATGTTTCTCAAAAGTGACTCACCCCCCCGTAACTTTTTTGTTTCTATAAATGAAGAGATGAAATTTGGTGGTGTGAGTATAGTTCATAAATATGCATTATTTGAGGTATTCAATTGTATTCTGTCAATTCCGGTTTGACCGGAAATGATCCATATTTTCTTATTCTGAATGAGACACCTGGTATATTTTTACTTATTTCGATATAGAGAATAACATTGTCATTTCGGGCCAGGAGCTATTTCACTTCCAGTCAGCTGCTTATGATCTTTAAGGCACAGATCCGACCTGTCCTGAAATAATGTTCCCATATTTGGAGTGCAGCACCCAAACATACCCTGAAACAGTTGGATTCTGTCCAAAAAAGGGCAATTCGTCTCCTGGGTGATGCCTCGCACACAAACTCACTCACTTCTCTTGAACACCGTATAAAAGTTGGCGATCTGGCTCTACTTTATAGATATTTTCATGGACGATACTCTTCTGAAATATCAACAATTGTTCCTCCCTTGGCAGTCCCCGTGAGATTAACCCGTCGAGTTGAGGCTTCGCACCCCTTCGTGGTCACTTTGGAGACCTGCAGAACATCTATTTCCAAAGACTCGTTCATCCAACGAACAGCGAGGCTCTTGAACACATTGCCAAGGGAGGTGTTCCATTGGTTCTCACGATGTTCTCTGAACATTACAGGATATCCCTTTCCGTGGGAACCAGAACATAAAGAAAATGACACCCCATTTGCTTGTTGTTGACATTTATCATCCTGAAATTATGTGGTAACAACGTGTTCATAACAAAATACCCTTTTCATATATGGTAATGAGCCACTCTCATTCTCTATTTCGAAAAAATGAGTTATCATCCTAATGATTACGATATTGTAAATTTTGAATGAGCCTATATGGAACAAATGAACAGTAAAACTTCATCGAAACTATTTCTCCTAGGCAACATGATTCGAAATCAAATGTTTTTTCTGTGACGGGAAAAAAGTTTGGCATTTCATCTCTGTTGGCAGGTTATAAAATGTCACTTTTCATAAATTACTTTTTTCCCGTGGGAAAAAAGTGAGTACTTTTTTCCGGGATATATATCACATATATATACTCTGTTAATGGCTTTTGTTGTGCTATAGTTCCGAAAAATGAGTCAATAATACCGTCTCCGAGAAAGAACTGGAAGTCCTTTTATCTTCCATTCGACTTCGCGGTTTCGTATATTACTAAACAACTACTGAATTCGCAATTTTTTAAAATCAAATCACAGAATTGAACTGACAGAAGTGACATCAGATATTTGATTACTTCAAAAGAATGATAAAGATGCCTATAAAACGCAGGTGTCCCTACTGTTAAAAACTTGAAATTTCACGTCGATAATTTTCGGATTGCGAAATAATGTAATATCTTCTCAATATTGATTCGTCCTTCCCTCTGTCACAGAAAAAAATAGTGTATTATACACGGGAAAAATATTAGATTTTAGCTCACGGTTTTTTGTCTCCCTCCGCTACGCGTCGGGAGACAACACAACCTGGAGCTAAAATCTACTACTTTTTTCCCTTGTATAATAAATAACTATTTAACTCCAGTGAAAATATTATGGATGTCCCATTTGAAATAAGAATATATGACTTATTTCTGGTCAAACCGGAAGTGACAGAAAATAGTTGAACACGTCGAATAATGCATATATATACAGGGTGATTCAAAAGTAAGCGGCATCCTTTCAGAGGCGTATTCCTTGCATGAAAATAAGGCAAAAAGTTCCTATTGATAAGGATCCGAAAATGCTTCCTAAGGGAGCTACGGCCCTTTGAATAGGACACCTCAAAGACGGTTTTTTCTCTATAACTTTAAAATCCTTCACAACAAATTTTTAAAAATTGGTGTACGGCATAAACATTCGATGGTAAATAGGACTCCGTATTCGAAATAATTTCCAAACGAAATCACAGTAACCTGAATATCCGGAGAAGAAGGGATATTTTTACACTTACCCTCTCCCGCATGTGACGCCCCTGAATGAAATTCTGAAATTTCGAATACGGAGTCCTATTTACCATCGAATGTTTATGCCGTACACCAATTTTTAAAAATTTGTTGTGAAGGATTTTAAAGTTATAGAGAAAAAACCGTCTTTGAGGTGTCCTATTCAAAGGGCCGTAGCTCCCTTAGGAAGCATTTTCGGATCCTTATCAATAGGAACTTTTTGCCTTATTTTCAAGCAAGGAATACGCCTCTGAAAGGATGCCGCTTACTTTTGAATCACCCTGTATATGTACTATACTTACACACCAAATTTCAATTGCTTATCTGTATAAACAAAAAAGTTATAGGAGTTATAGGTGTATGTATGTATGAACATACGAAGATGGTAACAGAAAAGAAATATAGGTATCTCATAAAAGTTTGAACTCGCGATGTATCAGAGAGTTTCCGTCAAGTGATTCATGCGTAAAGCTATTTCCATAAAATTTCAATTACCTATAATTTCAACATGGTAAATCATGGCGGGATTCTACTATAATTGGAAAATTTCACAAACAATAGGATTTCCTCAAAATTGTTGAAAAGAGGACATGTTTCGATACAGTAATTTCTTATTCAAGTGAAATAGTTCTTGATTTATTACATCCATTCATTATTATATCTTTGTTCAATCCATCATTTTTTTGATTCCCGATAAGTTCCTGATTTCAAAGAAGAAAGCCAGAACAAATTTTGAAAATAATACCGGAATAGTATCTATTTACCTATCATATTCTTCACAAGAATAGTTTTTGATTATGGCGCTCATTTTTCTATATTGCAGTAAACTTTGTAGGTATAAATAGGTACCTACTGCCCGAAATTGACTTGTATTCTTGAGTGTTTCGAAACAAATGTTTACATTGAAAACCAATTATTGATATCAGTCTATAAAAATTTTCTACGTTCAATAGCCATGATCTCATGAAATATGATAATCTATTTAAAATTTTCCATCATAACATGAATCCAACAATAAGAATGCGTATAGTGCCTGATAGATATATAGGTACCTACTGATAGTCTGATATACTTATGCCTCTTATTTTATTATTTTTTCAGAGACATTACTGGTTTTGATCTGAATTTGGTTCTATTCATAATCAAATCATGTGCCACAGTTTTCGATTTTTTGACATATCCTTTTTATTTTCTTCTTCAAAAACCATGGAGAGCTACCAACTTGTCCAATATGCAGAAGGTAAGCAGAAAATGCATGATCTTTCCCCAAGATCTTTTGATTGAATAAAGAGGCGGATAATGCTCCTCCAAAAAAATAATCAATCACTGAATTTGCCATTGAATGATTCAAATGATTGAAATAGTGTAGGCGATATAATCGCCACTAGTGAATATCGAAATCTCCCTGTAAATTAACCATCACATAAGATTTTTTCTCTACGACTATCGTATTCTACATTGATTACATAATATAGGTTAGTAATTGATGAATGGAGATGATTCCAAGACACCGTGGATCCCAACTCATTATTCAACGGCACTCGACCAATCACAGATTCAGAATTTTCAGGATCCACAGCAACTGGAAAGATTAGACTAATGAAAAACCAGCAAATCTACCAAACAAATTTCTCAAGAAGGCTCTGCTTCATTTTACGGGTCACGTCACGGCTTGACTTTCGCGAATGTCAGATTGACTTATAGAGTCTTTTAAGTTTTAACTTTGATATCTGGAGGATATAATGGAGGCTTGCCGTTCCATAGAAATGTACTCTATGAATATTGAAGATATTCAAGATCTTTGATCTGCATGGATGATAACTCTATTCCTGAGACTAAAACTAAAATTGTAAGGAGGTTCACTGTAACCGGAAAATTTTATCAATTTTGTGAAAAGTACATTGATATACGAGCAGCAAATGTTGTGATTTCCAATTTTTTCATGAATTACCAAAAAGGAAAATGTACTCTTTAGAAAATTGGAATTAATAAGTTTGTAGCAATGGGAAAACAAATAGTTATATTTTTGAAGCTACCAAATCCCGAGATGTACACCGGGCATTGCTTTGCTTGTCAATGCAGGTGGAGGCATAACAGCATTGAAAAGACATGGTGGCTGGAAGAGCACATCGGTGGCAGAAGGATTTCTAGAAGATTCCATGTTGAATAAAAAAACGGCAGCTTCGATTTCTTCAATGAATCGAACAATGTTCATCATCATCGGATAACAGTTCCTTCACACAAAAAACATCAACTAGCAATATGAATAAAAATGTCAGTGTTGATTCAAATGCAACACCGACATTAAATTTCACGAATTGTGAGAATATCACTAAAAATTCAGTCACAAAGTACGAGAAACATAATTTACTGACCTAGTAATTATTGTGTTGTTTCATCATTGAGTTCGTTGAATATTAAAGATTCCTGTCAATTGTATTATAATATCAGTAAAATTCATACATCAAGTATATCATTTTCATAAATAATAATTAGATTACATTAAATTTCTGACTATCGTATAGTCGTAGAGAAAGTATAGTCTTCTACTCGCGTATAGTAGCTATTATTCTCTCGGATAATTCCGAAACTCGCCTACGGCTCTTTTCGGAATCATATCCTCGGGAATAATAGCTATCATTATACGCTGGTTGAAGAATATACTATTATTTTCCAGGCGATTGCTATTCATCGAGATGAGAAGTCGATTACTCTCAGGTGCACAAAGCAGCCAACTGAATTCCACATTGAACTTCTCAAAAATAACATTGATACTATGGCTAAACTTTCGGTATATGCAGCAGAAAAACACAGTGAGAAACGGTGTCTGGGTACAAGAAAAATTCTAGGCGAAGACGACGAAGTTCAACCAAATGGTAAAGTATTCAAAAAGGTAGGTCTGGATGCGTTTGTACAGGGTGATACAATAATTCAGTGCCGATCTTTCTGACAAGAATACAAGGTGCTTCCGAAATTGCGGCAATAAATCAAATGAGGTGTACAGGGTGATTCACCATAAATGTCCCCCCTCTAGCTCACATATTTTTGAACCGATTCAAAAATTTTGAATAACATCTGGAATGATTTTTCAGAAACTTTTTTATCGTTGCATCAGAAAATACAGGGTGCTCGGACCAAACGATCTACCGACTACTACTTGATTTTTTCAAATGGAACACCCTGTATTTCATTGTATTTTTATATTCTCCCTGGAGGGCTGATTTCATCAATGTATCACACTTGGGGTCTAGCGGGAATGATTACAAAGATATAGGGTGTTCAAAATCGAGATTTTTCAACTTTTTTTTGTGTCGAAACTATTCATTATTGGTCAAAACGGCTTTGATGTTCCTATCTCAACTTTTGATTTACTATCTACTGCCATTCAATTGGAACATATACAGTCTGATTCAAGATTCAGAATTCTGATCACCCTGTATCTGTTCCAATTATTAAATGTCAGTAGATAGTTTCGTCACAGAAAAATCCTAAAGTTGAAAAATATCGTTTTTGATGAAATCAGCTCTTCAGGGAGAATCTAAAAATACAATGAAAAATAGGGTGTTCCATTTAAAAAAATCAAATAGTACCCTGTAGATCGTTTGTTCCGAGCACCTTGTATTTTCTGATGTAGCGGAATAAATCTCTATCGAACATCATTTAAGATGATATTTAAAATTTCGCAATCGGTTTATAAATAATTGAGGGGGGGACATTTATGGTGAATCACCCTGTAATATTTGACATAATGACATTTAAACTCAATGAAATTATTGGCAATCTTCTGGGTCCGATTTGGGTATGGAAAATATTCTAATAATATCGTCTAAGTCATGATCTTAGGATTTCTAAGCCTATCAAGAATCGAAATGTCATTGCATTCGGGACACAGCCAACTTCATATATTTCAATAAAATGCAATTTAACAGGCAATTAATGAACGAATATCAAATTGTGATACATAGTTGAATAGAGAATTTCAAGGCAGATAAGATAGGCTACAGAAATATACAGGGTGCCATTCGAAAAAAAAAGTTGGGTCCACTCCCGATCAAACAGGTGGTTGGAGAAAATTGCATTGGGTTCAAGGGAAGCACCATCATCGATAATATAACCCTCGTGAATTCCAAATTTTTATCTCTTCAAATGAAAAAACTACAGGCTGTTTCATGTCTCCTTTGTCACCCGATATATGCCATGTGGTCAAATAATGGTTTGACAAGGACACGGAAAACCAAGCACAAAAATACAAATATCTTCATTCATGACGCTTCATACAGCATATTCAATTGTTTGGGTTTCAGTTCCACCTGGGAGAATATGAATGGAAGTCCTACAAGGAAGTTAATCTTCTGGCTCTGAACTTCGGGCAAGGTCTCCTAGAAATGGGAAACGAACCCGGCAAGAACATGGTCATCCTGGCTGAAACCAGGGCCGAGTGGATCATTGCTGCCTACGCCCTCTTCAGGCAATCCATCCCTCTGGTGACAGTTTATGCCACCCTGGGGGATGAGGCCATCGCGCATGCCATAAACGAAACCGAAGCCCAAACGGTTATCACCACTTTCACTTTGTTGGCGAAATTCAGGGGTATTTTGAAGCTGACGCCCGGAGTCAGGACTTTGGTGTATATGGAGGACCAGTTGGAGAGAGTGGGGAGTACTGATGATTTTGATAATCGTGTGAACATCGTCTCTTTTGGACATGTTCTGGATCTGGGTGCAAAGTCCGAGAAAGGTGAGCATCCAGCGAGCACAAAAACATCTCAGAGATGTTAAAAGTACGAGATTTCGAGACATTGAACATCCACGGCGATGTTCTGTTCACACATGAATAGAACTATTATAGAACAGCCAATGTTCGCCGCAGGCGGCAATTATCGAGATGTCCTTGATATGTCACAAAACTACCTTCTCCCTAGTTCTTTTTAAAGCCTTTTCATGGACACAACAAAACATTTTCAACGCGTCTTGCGCACATTAAATCGCTGTAAAAAAACATTTTCGAGGTACTTTTCTGAAGCCTTTTTGTCAAAATGAACTTTTGCATTAGGATTCCATTTCCCTTGAATGAAAAAATGCATTAAAAATAGATTGAACATAAAAATATTTTCTTGATATGAAATTACCTTCTTAATCGGTTTCTGAGTAGTGCATACTACACACAGACATATAATTGGAAATAGGTTTCCCAATTTTTTAAATGTTCTCCACAATGCATAATTTTGCAACTGCGGAGAAGCTGTGTATTGATGAATTCGTACTTTTATATATTGATTACACTGAGGCACCGAACAACACATCTTGCATCTGATGGTCATTATCACAAACTAAATAAGTCTTCTAACACAATAAACTTCACCAAATTCCTTTCTGTTCGTTAGCAGCGTGATGTGAGAGTGACACGCTGCAAACGCGAATGCCAATTGCGAACAAGAAGAACAAAATCGAAAACAAATCAGAATTCATCGTATTATGACGTAAGCATGAGACGTTGTGGTGGGGCAAACAAAGAAAGGACACAAAAGAACAAAAACAATACTTTCAATATCCTTCTAAGACCTCTTTGGGAAGTGCATATTACGCCTCAAAAAAACATCCTCATGCCTACATTTCTAAAACATCCCAAAACATCCCAGGGATACCTCTCAGTAGGCAAACAAAGAAATGCCACAGAAGAACAAAAACAATACTTCAATATCCTTCAAAGACCTCTTTGGTCAGTGCATATTACGTCTCAAAATAACATCTTCATGCCAACATTTTCAAAACATCCCAAAACATCCCAGGGATGTTTGTGCTCGCTGGGCAAAACCTACTTCGTTTAAGCCTGAGTTGCGTTCTCCAGAAACGTTTAATGTGCCATCCACCGTGATTCAGCCTGTATAGATTTGATCGTTTGTTCGGCGTTTATATTGTTTGTTTGATTGTTTGTTTGTCTGTTTGTTTGTATCGAATAGGCTCCGAAACTACTGGACTGATTTGAAAAATTTCTTTCACCATCAGAAGCCGACATATTTTCCCTGATAAACATATACCACTTTTTAACGCGGGAATATGCTCCATTCCTATATGGATATTTCGATGGTAAAAATGGGTATTTCGATGGTAAAGATGGGTATTTCGATGGTAAAAATACAGTTGGACGCGGTAGGTGTCGCTGCTGTCGGTACGTCGACTACTAAACGGCTTGACCGATTGGGTTCAATATTTTTAATACGTAAAACAACATATAAATATACAAAAGATACTGAGAGAATGAAAATGAGTGTGAGTATACAGGGTAGGGTGCCCGGAATTTATGCGCAAAGAATCAATAAGGGGGTGATTCTGCATGAGAAAACATGACATTTATTGCATATATACGTGGGTCTGGAAATGCATAGTTTTCAAGACACAGTGTGTTAAACTTTAAAAATAATCGTTTTTTCATGAATATCTTGTAGGCATATTTACCATTCTTTTGAAGTAATGATGTCACTTCTGTCAGTCCAATTCTGTGATTTGATTTCAAAAATTTGCGAATTTAGTGGTTGTATCCTAACCGCGAAGTCGAATGGAAGATAAAAGGACTTGCAGTTCTTTCTCGGAGACGGTATTATTGACTCTTTTTTCGGAACTATAGCACAACAAAAGCCATCAACAGTGTATTTAATGTGATACTTATCCGGGAAAAAGTAATTTATGGAAAGTGACATTTTATAACCTGCCAACATGAAATGCCAAATTTTTTTCCCGTCACAAAAAATATATTTTTTTAAATGTACACCAATCGTGCGAGGTCGGGCCAGACAGCTAGTATTTTAATAAAATAGTGTTCATAACTCGCTGGACTGTGCATTTTCAACTGTTTCAGGGGAACATCACCCAACGCCACAAGACACTGCCATAATAATGTACACCAGCGGTTCTACCGGTGTTCCCAAGGGAGTAATTCTGACCCATGAGAACATGATGACTGCCGTTCGCGGATTTTGCGACGTTGCCGAATTGTATCCGTACAAAGACGTCCTGATCGGTTACTTGCCATTGGCCCACGTCTACGAACTGTTGGTGGAAAACGCTTTTCTTTTCATCGGAATTCGGGTGGGATATTCCAGTGCTTTGACCATGTTGGATTCTTCGAGCAAAATCAAAAGGGGCACTCTCGGAGACGCCTCGATATTGCGGCCTACGCTCATGACCTCTGTGCCGGTGAGTATACGGGATGGGATCGAAAATAATAACCTTGAATTTGAATTACTTGAATTTTTGTCTGCATCCCTTTAACTGCTTGAACTTTAAAAAAATGCACCGTGAGAAGAATTTGTTAGGTCCAGATCAAATGTTGTATCCAGGGATCGCAAATCGACAACTTCACATTTTGTACCATCCAACAAATTATAAGAAAATTGTTGAAATATATAACAACTAACAAGTACTTTTTCCAATTTTGACATGTAATGTGACACTTTTCAGAACTGATGGAAGTTTTGAAACGTTGAAATTAAAACAAATATTGTACCTAATACACGTTAGGAAACGCTTTTACTAACTGGTTTCTCAAATATCTATTCTGGTCAATACCACAGAATATTGAATTATATCTGTTATGTGTCGAAATATAATTATTCTCTTTATATATTGTATTATATAATTTCTGGTCGTCTGAATATCATTTCAAGCTTCTGCTCTGGACAGGAGGATCAGTACGGGCGAATTTAATTTATTTTTATACATTTTCATTCTTTGATTGATGAAAAAAGAATTGTTTGAGATACCTTGCTGGCTTCTGTTTGTTAACCCCGTCGATTTATTGTTTCGTCTTCCACCAAGTGCTGCCTGTCTTCTGCACTACTTTCAGCGTACTGATGAGGGCCAAAAACCCCGAAACACACATGTCTGCGGTTGACTCTTCTCGAGGGCTATGTCCAATAATCTTTTCCTAGTTTGCTTAAAACGCTTCCCTCAATATTCCTTTCATCTTGATATTATGATATACCTACACAGTGAATTGTTTGTGTTATAATATCTGATTGTGTATGGATATAATCTGATGCTTTTTTGTTTCAGTTGATTTTAGATAGAATTTCGAAAAGTGTACAAGAAAAAGTAACTGCTAGTAGTTCTTTCAAAAGAATGATTTTCAATTTTGGCTGTGGCTATAAACAACATTGGACAAGTAGAGGATTTTCTACGCCAATAATAGACAGGTTGGTATTCCAAAAACAACGTTACCATCTTCAATATACTCATTTCAGAAACATTTCTCTAGATTTTTGTGTTATTCGCTTCGTCTTGATGAATGAAAATGGATATTTTCTAGGGTGATTTTTGGACCAGTTAAGAAAATTGTGGGTGGACGACTGAGGATTATCACGTCCGGTGGAGCCCCTCTATCAGCAGATACCCAAAAATTGGTCAAAACTTGCTTATGCACTGACATTATCGCAGGCTACGGTTTGACAGAAACTACTTCATGTGCAACTACTAGTGAAGGTTGGTATCTTCGAGGTACTTGTTTTTTCAAAGTGTTATTTTTTTAGTATACAGTATTGTGTATTTCGTCCAGAAAATAGATGCGTTCACCGTTAGGAAATAGAGACATGAGTTGAGAAACCATTGTCCATCTAAAAGGAAATAAAGCTAGTTAGTAGGCGTTATGCGTAACAAAAAAATACAAAGATAATAATGGAAAATTGAAATCAATGATATGTTCCAATCAACTCAATTATTCAAGAAAATATATTTGTTTATTATTCTCCAACGTCCAAAAATATATTCAAATTGCAACGTTGGGTATGCTCCAAGGGTCCATACTTGGTCCCATTATGTATGATTATGTATGATTTTCGTGATTGATTCACTTCAATGTATTTAGTTTCCTGAATTCTTTACAGATTTTGATTTATCTTTTGGTCACGTTGGCGCTCCGATCACTACGGCTCAAGTCAAGTTAGTGAATTGGGAGGAAGGTCGATATTTCGTCACGGACAAGCCTTATCCGAGGGGGGAAATATTGATAGGGGGACATTGTGTCGGTAAAGGGTACTACAAAATGACGAAGAACATGAATGATGACTTTTTCGAAGAAAATGGACAGAGGTGGTTCAGAACAGGCGATATCGGAGAGATACGAGAACGTGGAGTCCTCAAAATCATAGGTAAGAGTGGAATCGATGAGTTCTTCACAAATATTTTATTGAAAAGGAATATTCTCAGATAAATTATGAACATACAAAAATGGATATATATTTATATAAAGCAATACATTGAGGATTCGCATTCTCTATGTGATGAGAATATTTACTCTTTATCAGTTAATTCAATAGAAAACAACTACTTTCCTGGCTATATGCCACGACGAACATTGAATTATATCTATTGAACACACACGATAAGAGTTTGAAAATAAAATATAAAAATTTCTGAAATTGAGAATTTGCATTCTCCTTCAGACAAAAATATATATATACACACATCATTCTGAATATTCAATGTATTGCTTTATATAAATATATATCCATTTTTGTATGTTCATAATTTATCTGAGAATATTCGTTTTCAACACTTTCATACCCAATCAGGGGGTTCAAACTTGAACGATGGAAACTTGTGATTTTTATAGACCTCTAATCGCAGATTCGTGATAGAGTCTCAATTCAAAATTCATTTCCACGCCCTGTATGATGAATGTCAATTTATCATACACCCAAAAGCAAAAAAAAAATATTTTATTATTTTCTGACTTGTTCAGTTCATGCTAGATTGAGAGAGAAATAATTTTGACTTGACATATTTCCAGAACTAAAGAGATAAATCATCTAAATACTTCTTTTTCACAATTTGATATTGAATTTTGATACCATACCAACTTGCCTCATTCTTACGACGGCTCTAAACTGCCAATCTTTCCAGATTCAGTTCATCTCATTGAAAAATATTTGATAATCATCACGTCGAAAATAAATAACTCAATTCGAATAGATTCTGTGTGGCACTAACAAATCGAATTCAATTATTTCAATAGATGATGAGAAAATGATTGACCTCATTGTCAATTATGCATATTATGAAGAAATTAAAATTCTAATGATTCTCATCTGGTTTATTGCTTTTTCGTCAATTTATTATTATTAGAATAGTCAGCTGAAGGAGTGCGTATACGGGGAACCGTTGAAGAACAGCTGCGATATTCTTTGGAACTACCTCAGTCTTCAGTGCTCGGTGTCTTATATTATTGACCTACAAAATGCACATATTCCTTTTTTTTTTCTTGTTTCTTTAACGTCGGCCTTTTTCTGCTACTGAGTGCTATATATGATTTCAAAATTCCCGTTTTATTCAACTGTGAAATGCTGACATGCGTGATAAACGATTCTGGCCTCTCGGAGAGTTGAAGATATATACCCTCTTTGTTTAATATTGGCTTATTTTACACGTGGTCTGAGCTTGCGCCATCGTAACTACTGTTTATATGTGGTTAAAGGTCATTTTCATTTTTTCTCCAGTAGATTTTACTGAAATTTACTGGCAACGTTTTCGTGGATCATTGCAAGGAACCCTGTTAGAGGCTAAAAGTTTACTGTTTAGGCTAAGCGTTTGAATGGTTAGGTATGAGTCGATAGAAATGATATATTATTATTTTGAAATACTTTGGGAAAATGTATTAAGTCGAACTGGAAGATCTCACAGAGGCAGTTGACGTTAAAACTACCAGTAATTTACAAGATGGTTCGTTATTCCCACTTTTGATATCAAATATTTCACGACTATGCTTCATTTCTTCAGTTTGTTAATCTGAATTGCTTACTCTGTGGCCAGTATAGTATCAGCAATATCGGAACTTGACCTGTAGCTATATGATTTCAAAATCCCCTTCTTATTCAACTGTCGATCCTCGCTTCTGAGAGATATATGCAGATATGTTGCCCTCGTTGTTCAATGTTGGCTGATTTTCCACACAATCAAGAGGCATTTGAACGAAGCGAGATCCTATAAATGGTGATGGTCTAGAGCTTGCGCCACCGTAACTACTATTTATCTGTGGTCAAAAGTCGTGCCTCTACTCCGCTGAACTTGATCTCGTTTCATGAAAACAATTATTGTTATTTCTGCAGATCGCAAGAAGGACCTCGTCAAGCTGCAAGCAGGCGAATACGTGTCCTTGGGCAAAGTGGAGTCCGAGCTAGGCACGCACTCGCTGGTCGAGAACGTGTGCGTGTACGGGAAATCGACGAAGAATAGCTGCGTTGCGCTGATCGCCCCCAACAAGGCGAAGTTGGCGGCGTTCGCGGAGGCGAGGGGCGTCGTGGGCCGGACGTTCGACCGGATTTGCGCAGACTCCGGGGTGGTCAAGGCGGTGTTGCAGAGCGTCACCGAACACGGGCTGAGAGGTCAGTAAAACGTTAAACATCCAATGGATTTTGCAGTGCTGCCAAGTTCATCTTGAATTGATTTTCCTATTCAGTTATGTACTACACAATTACTAATAAGTTTATAATTGTTAGTCTTGCCAAGTTTCTGATCAGTTCACAGGGCTATTTTATGAGCAGAAAAAATACGAACAAACCAAACCCGAGCAAAATCAAAAAATCCGTTAGGCAGTTACCTCAGATCTAGTGATATTGCAAATATTTCCTTTGTTCAATTCTCACACTTACTGCGAAGATATTTTTTAAATATATCATCGTTTGAAAATCAGGTAAGTATACAATAATTATTATTTTTTTTAGGTAAATTGGAGAAATTCGAAGTCCCAGCTGCCATTACCTTGGTGCCAGATGTCTGGAGTCCAGAAATGGGATTAGTATCGGCAACCCTGAAGGTGAAGAGGAAAGCCATTGAAGATTATTATAAAAAAGAAATTTACTCCATGTATTCGAATTTAAATTGAAACAACGATTATTTTATGTTTATTATTTTTAAAGAATTATATTTTTTATTGAGATTTTATTGATAAAATGTTATTTACTGGTATCCAGTTTAATTTACCAATTCCACAGAGACTGTTATACCCATACCCACCATGGACGTATTACGTCCATGCTACCCACCAAATATGGTGCCATATGCACAATAAACTATGGAAATATTTCATTATTTTGAAGTAGTATTATTCACTGTCAGAAACCGCGTACATATTTTGAATAAATATTGACATCCACGAAATTTCATAATATGAAAAACGTTATAGGAAAACGCAAAATTGACCGGAATGACATATACGGTGTATGATCAATCCAGCTATATACGATACGACTTATGTTTGTTGTGTATCTCGATACACTCCTACGGTGGAAGTGAATAGTTGTTGAGAAATATGAGAGATTTGGTATTTGGTCGTGCTTGTCATCACGTCATCAGTTTTTAATGATGCCGACTTTCATTACCTATAAGAAAAGAGAGTATTTTTCATGATTTTGAATAATTAATGATTGTATCATTTATACTTTAATTAATGTGTACAATAACATAATTAATACTGTGGAAATTGGCGTATCATAGTTTCATCAAATTTTGTGGAGTATTTCACAAAAAAATGGGATCTAGGTGTCTCTGTAACAGAGATATATATGGGTCTAACATTAAATCTTGTATTTTTATTCAGATAATTATTAACTCCCAAGTGAATCCTTTAAGATATTTTTTGCATAATTGTAGGATATATAATTATTCCAAATTCCACTCAATTGATAATATAAATAATAAAAAGATAATGATCAATACAAGATACTGAATTACTGAACAAGAAAATAATACCGAAATGTATATACAGTATGATGCAAATGTATGGAATAAATTCATTTCAAAACAAGACGACTTTCGAAACCAAAAACTAGAGTTAAGAACTTTTTTTCGACGTATTTTTTCAACTAGACGACCCTTCGATGTTCAATTCTCAGTATAGCAGACCTCTGCAAGATTCAGTTGATCACATATGATAATCCATTTTAATTTCAATCTTCTTATGCAACATTTTGACTGTTGAATAGACGATCGGTAGACCTTTCAATCAAGGTGTCACATGACCCCTATTTGTATTTGAAAAAATCGTCCATTACGTATTTACTCCAACACCGGTGACGTAACATCTCTCATATGAATATCATGGGATGAGGTATCAGAAATTAAAACTCACGTGTTTTTGGAATTTCTTCAAATGTCGCCCATTTCTGAAATAATGAATTTATTCCATACATTTGCATCATACTGTAGGTATCATAATGGGGTCAGGTAGCCGTGCGGACAGAGTGTCGGTATTCTAATTCGCATTCGCTTGCCGGTGGTGGGTTCGATTCCAAACGACTGCAGAAATTTTTCTGATGGCCCAAGAAAGTGTTTGGGATCACACGTTAAAAGGTATAGGGCCTCCGTCATTCCTTATTGCTCGCACAAGACTCTCGAAGACTTCTGAGGGTTGCTCGTAAGGGGGCAACCGAATGACGGATAGAACAATTTTAGAACAATTTTTTTTTTAGAACAAATTGCGTGATTTATCATGTATTTCCCTAATTTAAGAATATTCAAGTTTTCTGGAGGTAGGTATACCTATATAGGTGATCTGGGGAGAGGGAACACGAAAATTAAGGCTATGGTGCATATATCAATATAACATATACACTACACTGTTTTACCACTAACCAAAACGATTTTTTAACGCCTCGACACGTGTTTCGCTAACTATATGTTAGCATCTTCAGGAGAAGATTAATCTTCTCCTGAAGATGCTAGCGTTAAAAAATCGTTTTGGTTATTGCTATCGTGCCAAAGGTTCCAGAGCGAGTTCCAGAGTCTTCGATATAATATAGCATATATTATATATGTATAGCGTTCGCAACTTAATTATTCCTCGTGACATGATATCAGTTATAGACGATCTATGTTTTTGATGGATAAGTTATTTTGTTATTATACTCAGTATCATCAATAATTTTTAATATCATAGGTCAAAGTATATATAAGAGTTACATAATTTTATATTTACATAGATTAAAGGATAAAAGTATGAATATTACATGCATATATATATATACCTCACTTTTCAAAATATTAATCACAAGAAAAATAAATGCGGTCTAGAACTGATATTATATCTCTAGCTTCATATGTTATTCAGTAAAGTGTAATATGTTTCGTCATCAAAAGGATGACTTCTTCAGTCGAGTTTAATCTCTGAAAAATATTTCAAGTTATTCAGGATTTATCAGCTGATAATTTATTCACATATATAGGTATTTCACACGTGACTGAAGTGACCAATAACGTACTCATGGATCGAATCTTCTCAATATTTTTGTGGTTGTAATAATAGTTTCAAATGTGTAATATCGAAATTGTGATTCACATTATCCTTTTTATTGATTTATAGAGAGATCAGAAAAACAAAGTATATTCAATGGAAATTCTTGATTTTCAAACAAATTGTTGAACAGCCTAACTAATATTTTTCACGATTTGCAATAGCAATGCATGCATCATTTTTATTGGCTGGTACGTATATATTTATTCACTGTCCCTCGTAAAATTCATCTAGAATGTGATTAATATTTTTAATGTTCACGGCTGATTATTTTTAATCGGTGTTGTTTATTTTACATATATGGTACGACTTTGGCGTAAGTATAATGTACAATTTATCAGTGAAGTAAGTAGATATTTACACGACTGGTTCAATGTTTCTACAGTGTCCCAGGCTTAGATCACTTAATAAGTGAATAACATCGAATTCTGTGTTAAAATGACGGCTAGGTGAGAATATTTACTATTCCTACTTCCTATGATCGAAAATGGTATCATGAAAATTTCACACCTCTATTTTCTATCATATATATTTTGTACATGATGGGGCTTGGGAGAAAGTACGGCAAACTGAATTAAGGGAAGCTTGGTAGGGTGATTCGACCACCAAAATATTAGATACATATACATTATTATTAGATCATAGGTAATAATTGAAATAAAATCATTCCACAATTAATGACTTTTTTCTCATTATAATAATGACTTTTTTTCACTATTATTGACGTTTTCTAAAGGAAAATTGTTCTCAAAAATGGTTCTTATGGTGTCACGCAATCTTTTCCTTTTTCGAAAAGTCATGATATTATGACTTTTTTCTCATTATAATTATAATTAGATATATCTTGAGAGAGAATGTGAAAGATATAGATGAGAAAAAAGTCGTTATAATGAGAAAAAAATCATTATAATGAGAAGAAATTCGTTATAATGGCAAAAAAGTAATTATTATTAATGAGGCCAGGTTAGCCGCGTGGTTGAAGCGTCAGTATTCTATCCACTAAGAGAGTGTTTGGGATCACACGTTAAAAGGTAATCAGGCCCCCGTCATTCCTTGCTCGCACAAAGTCTCTCGAAGATTTCTGAGGGTATTTGCTCGGGTATTTGCTAGTAGGGGGGCAACTGGATGACGGATATGCATCAGGGTACTTTCGTACCAAAACATCCTTTTCAATCTGAACTAAACTGAAATCTACCATTGTTGTTCATTTTATGAACATTGTGTGGAAATGACTTTGAGCATTTTGTATTTATTTACCATTTCATTCCACTTTGAGCATTGTGGCTATTTCGTAATTGAAATATTTCAGTAGAAGTTCTACTAGTAGAACTGAACGCCGCATTCTCCTCTTTGTAACAGCAACAGCAGTATGCCGATGCCGTGGCAAAACTGGCAAAACGAATTCTTGCACCTGTGGCACAAACAGTTGGCACTGTTGGCAGTTGGCACGCACTCGCAGTCAGTCTGCACAAGTGTCAGTCACACTTCACAGTCTTCACACACACCACGCACGTGACTTTAGACACTGCTTCAACAACTGCTTGAGCTTTCAAAAAATTAAAATGTAAAAAATAATTCAATATCAATAAATAATATAATATTAATATTGTTATTCAAACAATACTAATAAAGTGATCAGTAAATCGTGAACTCGCGGAAATACAGAATAGTTTGTTATTTAAAAAAATATATATTGTTTACAACTCTGTACCAGACGTTGTTTCCATAAAATACAGCATCACAATCATACAGCATTCAGCCCATCATCAGTGCATCAATCAAACAGCAAACAGCTTTCGTCCTTCATAAACAAACGGTATTCTCTATGTACCTAAATAATACGTTATAAAGAAATAGGTGGAAATAGTTTGAGCGGCAGTCACAGAACTCAACAGTTCGCCAGTTTTGTTATACGACAATTTGCAATTCACACAATTCTTCCAAACATCATTAAAGTTCTCATTGAACTATTGAACATTCCATGCAATGAATCAGAAATATCTGAATTGATTTGGGAAAAAAGTATAGTGTTTGAACAATCTACAATTTCATGGTTATGAATTTCTTATCTTGGGGGTGAGTCAATTTTTTTACCACAATTATTGTAATATGTACATTTCTCAGCATAATGAAATCAGATTTATCAAGGTTATAATGTTCATTGTCCCCCATGTTGATGGTTGATGTTATTTTTGGAAACAGAAAATCTGATAAAAAAACTTATATTATTTCCATATACCTTTTGTTCCTGGGAATTGTGATTTGTGATATATATTTAAGCATTCCACTCATTCATGAAGAACATGATGACATTGAGTAGGTAGGTGTGTTATAAACATATATATCTACAGAAAAGGTTAATGGAAAAAAATATCATGTTGTCACAAAGAAAAAGTTCAAAGATTAAAGAGATTGTCTAGATAATGATTCCACCATCAACTGTACAGACTGTGCAAATGTGCAAAGATTAGATGAGCAGATCAACAAACTGAGATGTTTAAAAAACAATGACCTCTTGATTTTCAGAACATTTGACTGTGGCCAAATAGTCCTGCTAAATGCATTGAAGATCTTGGCAGTTATCTATGATGTTGTAACTCTGCCAGTGTATTTAATTATCCAAAATCCATGGAAGGCCCGTAGGCTTAATAGTATGAAAAAGGTAAGTCAATGAATTCTGTTATTATATCATAGAAGATCTACCATCTAATTCATTGGGCATGTGGTCCAAGCAGGAAAGAACATTTACTTCATTTTCCCTGTACAATCACTTCCTCATCATTATCCAATCTATACATACCACTTATTGCCCCAATGTCATGATGGATTATCTGAGATCATAAACATGACCTTCCATATTTAATATAACAAGTGCATAAAGATAAAGAGAGAAGTCATTCCTTTATCCCCCAATCAAAAATATATTCTCAATGTTAATGACAAAAATGTAAATCATTTATAAACTTGCACTAAATTGTTTCCATAACTAAACCATTATTGTGATATATAATTTCTGAACATGAACAGTCCAGTCCAACAGTCACTGATCAAGGTCCTTCTGCTTCCTACATAATTCAATATCATCAGATTACATAATGATATTATTTCATTTCATTAAATACTAGGTGTCTGGGATTGGAATGTAGATAGAGAACACTGGGGTGGGTCCAAACCAAATCACCCCCTAACTGATATATTTTGGCAAGTATTTTGGTAAATGTGATCTTAACTTTTCATCCACTTTGTATTGCCTATTCATACTTGATCAGTATATGTCACTGATATTTTCTATCAAAATCAAATAGAAATCCAATCAGAATCCAGGTCCCTATTCAGGAAAAAAAAAACCATGGAATAAAAAAAATGCAGGCGAAAATTTCTGCAAATCTAGTGATTTTCTGGTGGTTTCAACTTCAGTTTAGTTCACTAGATTACACCAGTTGAAAGTCTAGCTGGTGAACGGATCTTTTGGCTTACTGTGTGTTTTGTACACAGCCAAAATGTGGACATTAGAAAGCAATTTCAGTTGAAATTAGTTTTTCAAAAACTCCTCACTTAGTTTTACATCTTCAACATAAGCTTTTTTTAATGAAACAAGGGTAATTTGGATGCAGGTCCTCAACCACCAGAATTTACGATTTATTTGAAAAAATTCACCAAAATAAACACCATTCACTTGATGTCATATTTTGTGAAAAAACCTTGGAAAAAACGAAAACTCAAACCATCAAGCCACCATTTCTAATATGAAATCCACTAAGTTGGCAACACTGCTGATGAATATACTTCTTATTTTTCTGTCATTTGTCATTATTCTATGATATCTTCTTCTTCGTCAATGTAATAATTATTGGTCGTAAAGTTCCACATTAAGAAAAAAACCATGAGTCTGCTCAAGTCTTTCCATAACTTGAGGTTTTCTATTTGTTCAAATGTTCAACATAATGTTTTTCGAATATTCTCGATAAAACAGGTCATGTTGACCTCATGTTTTAGTAGCGCCAACTGCTGAGACTGAAAATGTTTCCCCCATGAAGGCCATTTTGTTCACTTTCCCGTTCTTTTCAAATATCTAAACAGTTTAAAACACATTTGTTAGTGTTATTTTTGAAATAGAAGAATTTGTCTGTTTTTCCTGAAGACATGCACATGCAAATTTTGCCAAAATCAAGATACTTCCCTTCATCTCAGTTATGAAAGATGGTAAAGGGAGATTTGAAATCACCAAAGTGTCTTATAAACAGTCATTGTATTTACATTTGAATTTATGATTACAGTGTACAGTGATTATATGAATTTATAAATATTATTGAACATATTACTTCAAAAATTGGTATCCCGTGGTGTTTTGGGATGGGAAACATGAATGCGGACACCTTTTTGCTGTTGCCATTAGAGGACGCTTATGGTTTTGAATGGCCAAAACTTTTTTCTCAGTGTAGTTTTCTACTTTTTTTTGGGGGAAATAATTTTCTGAACAATTTAAAGCAAACGAGGTACTCTTGTAAAACCCGCTAATGGAAGCAGATTCGATGCCGCACCGGAATATTTAAATTATTTTGGTAAAAAATGTTTGCTATCTTCATGGATGTTATTTGGTCATTGAATTAGCAGCGCAAAAATGGATTTTGTAAGTAAATACTTTCTTGGAGTGTACTTGTCGATTTTTATTTTTTAACTTCACCACCCTGTATCTCGGAAACAGAGTAATTCCGGACAAAAGTAAGTTGCTTTGGATTGGCTTATTTTGACCTCAGGAATATGTGCTTTTGTACAGAACTTTTAGGGACACCCTGTATAGATACTGAAATACGATTTTGAAGAAATTTAACGGAAAAACCGCAATAATGGAAAAAAGTGTTCAATTAATTATTGCCTCCATAGGTCACGTGATATACAGGGTGATTTAGGGTTTAAGTGACAAAAGTCTAGGGAGATTTTACTCACAAGATTTGGCAGAATTCAATGAAATTTTCATGGTGTATTTGAATAAGAAGGAGGAGGGGAGTAAATTCCGAGGAAAATCCATGAAATGATATTGAATCAATTCGAATTTCATCAAATGATTCGACTCCCGACCCTGGTAGTGATCAGATGGCGATCACGTGGTCTGGAAGTCAGGTTAATGTTTGTAAACGTCCAAAATTTTTCTAAAATTACCTGATCTGGATAAAAATCCAATATATAATGTGAAGTTTATTAAGTTTGTGTTAAAAAATAATCAGGCCCTTGTATCTCTACGCTGGTATAGAGGCCGGATGATGAAGGATTAATCGGATAAGGGGGCCATACTTGAAGTCAAACGTGCTCGATGATCTCTACGCCGGTAAACAGGCCGGATCAACAACGGAAGATGAAATATCAATTTCCACCTTCGGATAGGAACGGAGCCAAAGCGAAAACACTATGAAAACATTTTTTTCAAACGGAAACCAATAAATTTTTCACCTTGAACTATTGTATACAATGTGTCTCAATTCTCATGGAAGTACCTCCATACCAGACCTGGGATGCTTCAAGGAGAAGTGAGACAAAATTGAATTTGACAGAACTGAAAATTATTCAGGAAAAGTTGGTAGTTTTGATGTCCTCATCTCTAATCTGAAGAGATTTTCACTTATAATACCACGAGAGCTTCAATTCAAAAAATTGTCAGTGTAATTTCATGATCCTTTCCCCAAGGAAGTGAAAAAAAATCCGGAAATTCGTTTGGTTGCTATGGTAACGATACGAAATACAGGCTTCTATTTGATCGAAAATATTAGGTGTGAAATTTTCAACCTAATTTGCCTCCTGATATCTTTTTCTAGAAATTTCGTTAATTCCATAAAGCTGCTAACAAGCACTAATTTTCACTTTCTATTTCTCCTCATTTTCATTAAATGAATTGATTAGTCTAGCTGTAGACTAGAAAATGTTTCGAATTTGCAATAATTTCAAACTTGTTACTGACAGCTAGGTAAGTACTACTATTACATTCATGTTCATTTGTTGGTGCTAATTATGGAAATAAATGAACAATGTTGTCTAGCTCATCATCATTATCAAGTAGTTCATTTTCAAACCTATGTGGAAAATTATTGTGCTAAATAATTTATACAGGGCGTCATTCATAAAGTCGGTATCATATTTTTTTATCTCTTGGAGCGCACGAAGTAAAGTAAAGAAGTAAAAAACAAGTGTCCTGAAGATGAAACAATGAAGTTTCGAAACGTCGACAATTTAACAATTGGTTTTCTCCAACATTTCGACCGAATTCCCGCTAACTCAACACCAGAAATCATATTCAACGGTCGCTATTCTATTCAATTAAATACAACTTTTATATCTAACATTTTGTTGAGGGTGTTGACAAAATTTAGTCGACCTCTTTATTTTCAGGCTATACCCATAGACCAAGATGACAAATCCATTACAATTAAAGCCACAAAAAAACCGGGCCGTTTCCACATTGAACTTGAGGAGGCCAAAATCGATACCATGGCAAAATTACTTAACTATGCCCAACAAAAACATGGTGACAAACAATGTTTAGGTACTAGAGAGATTCTTAGAGAAGAAGATGAAATACAACAAGATGGAAAAGTATTCAAAAAGGTACCTGCACGGATTATGTCTTTTGATGGATAAGCACTGTATATCAGGGAATGCCCATGAAGGCCATTGGAAATGAATATTCTCAAATTTCAGTATATCATGGGGGACTACCAGTGGAAGTCCTTCAATGAGGTGAACGATGAAGCTTTGCGTTTTGGTAGGGGACTTCGCGAAATGGGAAATGAACCTGGCAAGAATGTCGTCATTTTAGCGGAAACCCGAGCAGAATGGATGATAGCTGCTCACGCCCTCTTCAAGCAAACTATACCTCTAGTCACTGTTTATGCGACGCTAGGAGAAGACGGTATTATACATGCGTTCAATGAAACTGAAGTGACGACGGTTATTACTAGTTTTAGGTAGGGTTAGAAGACGATTAAATGATTTTTGTTTTAATTCTTCATAGGTCGCGTGCACGATGGCCGACTGGAGGTGAAATATTGAAACACAACCTCACTTTTCTGTGAAACAATGAAACACAACCTCACTTTTTTTCATTTGTTAAATAATAATAATAATAATAATAATGTGTCTTTATTCATCATCAATAAGGAAATTACACAAACAAATTAGAAATATAATACATTAAGATGATGAAAAGGAGAGGTTCAGCTATCAAAGCTGCTTTTAAACCCATCCTCAAGAAGAAAAAAAAAAGATGAGTAGGTAATAATAACATAAAGTTTAACCAAAATAATAAAAATAATATAATAATAATTCACACGGGAATCAAATTTTTTCACAATATTTTGGCATACGAATTGTGTTTTTGCGCTATTCATTAATTCAAGCATGCCTTCTCATTGTGCTGTTGTACATGCACAAAAAAAGCAGCGAGAGAGGAAGGAATACGATTTTTCAGGTAAATAGTAATCTCGCATAGTTTTCATCAAGAAATTTTGTTTTTCATTAAAATTCCTTCTGCCACTTCTGTTATAGAAGCTAATACTGGTAGAAGATTGAAAATGTCTACAACACACACGATCTTATTTCGTCAGCATGTCAGACCAGTCCTTTCGTAAGAGGATACAGAGGTAAACAAATCCTCATATGCTCAGATAGTCAGGCGGCCATTCAATCTTTAACATGCAATAGAATCAGATTAAAACTGGTAAGGGATTGCCTTCAAAGCCTGCTAACCCTGGCTAACCACAACAAGGCAACTCTTCAATGGGTGCCAGGGCATAAGGGAATTGAATGCAATGAAGCAGCTGACGCTCTTGCTAGGCAAGAGTCTGCGGCGTTGTTTATGGGACCGGAACCTGTGTTCGGTATCCCCAAAACCACAATACGCGGCTGGCTGGCAATGTGGATGCAAGAAAGACATCAGGCATACTGGAACAATGTTCCAGGACAAAGACACAGTAAACTGATGGTTGGAACACTGTCCAAAACAGTGACTAACGGCATTCTGAGTCTAAACAGAAGTCAGATCAGACAACTGACGGGACTAATAACCGGTCCCTGCCCCTTGAGGAAACATATGCATCAAATGGGCATCTAAACAGACGAACCCATATGCAGACTATGCAATGAGGAGGAGGAAACTGCCAAACATGTAATATTGGTGTGCGAAGCACTAGCACGTTGGAGATACAACCTTCTGGGAGCAGTAAACTCTCAAGAGGCCTTTCCAAAGAATGATTTGGTGAAGAGGCTGCTAAACCTTATCAAGGTAGCGAACCTGTTCACCTCAGTCAATAGCATGATCAGGAATACAATAGGCACAAAGGCTGCAGTGTTTTGGGCTTCGAATCCTGACTGATCATTCTCCTATTAATCAATCAATCAGTCCTCCTGTTTGATTGCATGAATCCAATCTTCTTGCATTATTTCAGACATTAGTTCCTATTGCAGAAGGAATTCCGATAAGAAATCAGAGAAATTACCAAATTTCAAAAATGAAAACTATTTACTTTCAAATCATAATGTACCAACCAGATTTCTTCGTCTCCTGCTGCATTTTTTGTGCATTGTACAACAGCACAATGTGATGGCATGCGCGATCTAATGAATAGTCTAAAAACATGATTCCTATGCCAACATAATTGTGAAAAACTATTTCATTTGTAAACAAATAAGAAAAGTGAGGTTGTGTTTCAATGTTTCACTTCCAGGGTCGGTCACCTGACAGTTCTTGCACGCAACCCATACAAGACGTAAACATGAACCACACTTTTTCAAAACTCAGGGTCAGATGACAGCCAAACAGGATTATTTTTAGGATATTAGGACTGTTCATTTGTGTTTCCTCAACTTACTGAAATTGTTTTTTTTACACCACTCTCTGTTAACATTTTGTGATGGACAGAGAGAGATAACTGATGAAAAAAAGCAAGTTGAGCAAGCTAACCAACAATTAAAAATGTACCTATAATCATATTGGGGGTTACCAAATATAGAAAAATTTTGGAAAAGAAAACAGATCACAGTGACTGAATAATGACCATAAAAAAATATAAAATTATTGAGACAATGGAGTTCAGATTGATACAATTACACTTTTAGCAGCAGTTTCAAGACATGATGGCAGCTGTCTATATTTCATACCATTCAACTAAAATACTTGAATACAAATTCTTCTCTATCAACACACAGAGCATCACAAAACCCAGACAAAATCATAATATTTTCCCATGGGAAAGCTTGTTTATGCCTTAACCCTGTGTCTGTAACCTATTTTGATAACACCCGGAGCCAAAATTCACATCATTTACAGCTACAAACATTGTTATTATGTTTGTCTTGTGACCTTCGTCTGACGTTATGACTTTCTCAGTACATTTTCGGTTGAAAACATCCGGATAATCATGTATGTATGAATATGATTTATCAATACAGGGTGTTTGAGAAGATTCCTCATAAAAATGAGAACACAGTTCTAATACACATGATGTCCGAAAACGGTTCGTTTTCAAGAGAAGGTGTATTTTTTTACACGAAAACTTGACGGCCAGTAGGTTTTTTCAACTTTTTATTGTTTTTTTTAATATAAACAATGATAAACATGGCTTTTTGATATTTTTACCAACTTAATTTATAAACTCTGAGAGGTTCAAAAGGTACCTCAGAACATTTTCAAGGAAGCAACTTATCGGCTTATTTCTATGGAAGCAATATGTCCTAGGCTTTTGAATTCAGGAACAGTTTCATCAGCCGATTACAAGACTTAGGATAGATACAATGATTAATTTTCGTAATCCCATACTGTTATTTTGATTTAACGGTATTCAGATGACAATGGGCGTGTACACCTTAGTAGAACTTTTAACTCAAACCATGTTTATAATGATCCTTTTATACATAATTAATAATAATAATTCGATCGAAAAATTATTTGGAATGTTTTATTTTTGGACATAAATAATAGTACCTTCTGAAAACGGACCCTCTTATGACGTAGAAACCTCATCTCGCCATCCAAACGCCCGACGGAGACTGAGGCAACTGATATATTAATTCTTTCAACTGTGATCTCGCGCTAATTCACTCTGTCAGAAATCATGTATCATTCATCTCTGTCTGGAATAGTCTTGTTTCAGTATTAGGGTTTTGACGTCACATCATCGCCTTGTTTTCAGAGGTCCGAAAAATCGGGGATTTCAATAATTTTTTATAAAACTTCGGGAGCTCACAGCATGAAACGGTTTGCGGTGGTGAGCTAGTTTGGGTGAGCTCTATCGAATTATGAAATAAAAATTTTTTGTGATATAAGCCCATTGAAAAATTAAGGTTAACAATCTCCGTCCGTTAGGATTGTTTACCGGCCGGCAGCCGTTATTTGGTACATATCGGCCTTGTAACGTTAATAACTATACTCACATGGAGATGAATAAAAATGAAATTCAAATAATGTAGACAAGTGTTCTTCAATTACTTTCATTTTTGCAGCTTCATAAACTTATTGTATTCCAAATCATGTCGCCCATTTATTGTCTACATTATTTTAATTCCATCTATTATCATCTTCATGTGAGTAAGTAATCATTGTATCTTGTAATCGGCTGATGATGGGCTTATATAAGCCCGAAACGTGTAAATGCGTGATTGATCTCTGATCATTCAAATTGAAGTTGTAGACTTTGGGTTTTTTCATCTTTAAACATTTCTATTGATGTAGTTTGCTGGCCAAATTGAAAAATATACTGCCGTCAACTCCAAGAGTGGGTACTGTGATATACATGGAGGATCAGTTGGAGAGTTTGAAGACTACAGAGGGGTTCAGTGATGGGGTGAAGATAGTTAGCTTTGGCCATGTACTTAATTTGGGTGCTAAATCAACGATAGGTGAGTATCAAATTGAGAAATGACGTGGGTATTTTTGTCTACAACTGGTATATACAATTTGTTTTCACTCAAAAATATCTATTCGTTCTTAAAAAATATTATCTAATAATCAACAGCAGTATGCAAAAGCAGCTAATTAATTCCATAACATATTCTGGGTCTATTGTCTATTTCAAGTATTACTAATATACAAATTACTATTGGTCAAGTTATAATTAACAAACAATGGTAAATTATACAAGGAGTGAAACTATTAGTTCATTGGAAAATATGTTTGAAGTACCTGTTTTGTGTTATGAGGACTATTCTAGAATTCATAAAACTCAATTAGTGAAGATTTCCATTATTAATGAACTTAGTACTTGAAAAGATGAATGACATATCCTGTTTTCTCGAAAATGCTCCATTATATGTATTGGTGAAAGAAGTATCTACATTTAAAAAATCATTAGAAACCATTTGCATGAATTTATATTGATGGATATATAATTATTGTTGTATCTCCTCATGTATTTTCATCTTTAAATGAAAGTTCCAATAATTATAAAATCATCTGGATAATATAATAGAGTCACTATACATGACATGAATGTTGAATCACCGGAAATATTATGTTTTACAATTATTAGGATTTTTGTTATCATTAAAATAGTGAAATACCATTTGATGCTGAAAACCAGTGATAAGTTACCTGCTAAATTATCTCTGCTGAAAACTATATCTACAATAGTATTATAAAGAGGAAAAATTTGATTGTTTGTTTGTATAGAATAGGCTCCGAAAGTCCCAAACTACTGGACCGATTTTAAAAATTCTTTCACCATTAGACGCCAACATTATCTCTGATGAACATATGCTACTTTTTACTGCAAGAAAATGCTTCATTCCTACGAAAAAACGGGTAGTATCCTTCGGTACTTATCTTTTTCACATAATTTCTAAACAGCTGAACCGCCGATGATTTCCTGGATGATATAAAATTAACGCGGTAGCGCTGCTGTCGGTATTGAAATTTTCAATACGTAAAACAGCAACAAAAAAACAAAAGATACTGCGAGAATGAAAATATGTGTGAGTATACAGTGTGGAGATTTTAACTGAAATAAATTCGTTAGCGGGGAGGTGAATATTTTTTCTGAAAATTCCCCGCATACTTCAACGATTTAATGAATTTACCTACCTTTGACAAGCAATATCGAGAATATATCCCTCCAGGGGTAGCTGAAACTAGAGTTCCTAAATGTACTTGACACTGCTGTTTTGACGTTTTTTGTATATTAGAGTACGGACACTAGACAAGCAGTGACAATCAAACATAACAAACGATTTTGAAGCAAATCATATGTTTTGCCAGGCAAGGACAAGAATATGTTTTTCTCTTGGATGAAGGATGAGAATCAAAGGATTCAAATAGTTTTTCACAATATTTTGCTGTTGTACAATGCACAAAAAAATGCAGCGAGAGACGAAGGAATATGATTTTCCAGGTAAATAGTAATCTCACATAGTTTTCATTATGAAATGTTGTCATTCCTTATCGAAATTCCTTCTGCCACTCCTGCAATACAAGCTAATACTGTTAATAGATTGAAAATGTTTACAACACACACGATCATATTTCGTCAGCATGTCAGACCAGTCCTCCCGTTTGATTGCATTATTTTAGAAACTTCACGAGTATTTCTATTAGCTCCTATTGCAGAAGGAATTCCGATGAGAAATCAGAGAAATTACCAAATTTCAAAAATGAAAACAATGTGTGAGTGACTATAGTAGGTACTTACTTTTAAATCATAATGTACCAACCGGATTCCTTTGTCTTCCGCTGCAGTTTTTGTGCATTGTACAACAGCACAATGTAATGGCATGAGCAAATTAATGAATAGCCGAAAAATACGATTCCTATGCCAAAATAATTGTGAATATATATTTCAATCACTTGTAAACAAATAAGAAAAGTGAGGTTGTGTTTCAATTTGTGTCTCCAGTATCGGTCATCTGACAGTTCTTGCACGCAAACCATGGAACAATTCCACTTGTACAAGAGTGGCAAGTAATGAGTAATTAATAAATGAACAAATGATATGGCAACAATAACAGCTGATTTCAGTTAGGATAAATAATAAAGGTTCTCCAAGACATACGGAAGTAGGGATAAATGGACTTCAGCGCTCGATTCACCATAGATCGCCGTTCACATTGCTAAAGGGGAATGTTGGTTTGAATCTGTCGTTGAAAAATGTTCTATATCCTACCAAGAAATTTGAATACCTCGCAACTTTTGTGGCCTGAACCTATATTCCATGCCGGCCACATCATATTCTGTTTCCATTTTTGTAGAATTTCGATATCCGATGGAAAGTTGAATAGAGTGAATTGATTTCCCGTGTTCCCAGAGCTGAAAACTACACAAACTTGCATCTTTCTCCTAATTCTCTCAATTTGTCAAACTTTTGAAATTTATGCCATGTACGTCCGTGTACTGTCAGTTCCCGCTTTTTCCATCAATTTATTTGTGGTGATGTCTGATTGTCACTGCTTGTCATAGTGTCCGAACTCTAATATACAAAAATCGTCAAAACAGCAGTGTCAAGTACATTTAGGAACTCTAACTGATACCACCCTCAACATGATTTTTTCAAATGTAACCCTATGGCTTGTGACCCCTCATTGGAAACCCTGTGGAAAGAGGAATCCAGCGCAGTAGTCAAATTTCAGTTTTTCATACATTCAAAGATCGCATAAAATTGAATTATAATTTTAAAATACATTTTTCTAAACGTATTCACCCTATTCACAGGAATGTGATTTATTGATTACAGAGGACCGATCTCCGACCCCTGAAGACACCGCCATCATAATGTACACCAGTGGCTCCACTGGCATACCAAAGGGCGTGCGGCTCGTCCACAGGAACATGATCACCTCTGTAAAAGGTAAAAATTCACTACTTTCCCATGACTTTCGGTAGCGAGAATTCACATTACTACGACTATCGGTATGGATGCATTTTTAGACCGATATGGAGGGGCATTCGAATTGGATTCCAATCCAATTTTTTGATATGTTCTGCCACATTCTGTACGATTTTGCTTATGGTTGAATAGCTCTGTATCAATAAACATTTTGTATCTTTATACTGTTTACACTGAGACACGAAGCAATATCTCTTGAACTGGCTGGCCATCATATCTCACCCGCGAAGAGACATTCATTCAAATGCATTTGCATGTCATAAATTCATGTCAAATATAACTGACGTTTACTGACGGAACAATGGACTGAGGCTATATTCCGAATTCAACTGGTCAGTACTGTCAGTAAATCTGTGTTCCGAAATATAAAATCAAAAATACAGTGCTGTAATTCGGAACACGTTTTCATGGTAGTCAGCAGCAGTTTATCTGAACTAGATATTTAGCATCCTGCTTGATATGAATTTTGGAAATTATATATTTAATATGGAAGAGCAATCGATTCTTGTAGCCTCCATAGTTGCTACGATTGTTGACGATGACTATTCAAGCTCAAGTGATGAAGAATACTTGGACATTTTGTTTCTAATAATTTTTCATGATGCACCAGATTGAGAATTGAAAGATTCATGCAAAAAGTAATATGGCATTAATGATGATCAATTTAGGAGACACTTCAGGTTTATTCAGTTGTTTATTTAGCCAATCCTGCTTCTTCTTTTGTTGCCCCTACTACTTCATACTCCATATTATTCTCAGCGTTTATTATTTCAATAACAGGTATTTTCTGATATCGAGAATAATATTATCAACAACGGAAATGAATGTTACATTCCTTTCCTCCCTAAAATAATGACAGTTCACTGAAGCCACACTACCTTTTGATACTCAGCAATTTCAGCAGAATGTTGAGTCGAAATATTTGGAATGAATAGTATGTCTGCTCACAAGCATCTGTCACTTTCAGTGAATTTTTCGATTTCGGAATGAAAAATCAGCAGATTCAGTACTGTCAGTTGAATTCGGAATATAGCCTGAACGATTTGGACCATGCTTGGCATCATTGTAAATGAGACTACGTGGACCACGGTCTGATCCATAGTCTGACTACGGTCTGAACGAATTGACCATGGTCCGACCTGCCGCTGAACGTAGCCTGGGGCATCCATAACGAAAGTCATGGTTATCTGAATTGTCGTGTGCAACAGGCTTCGCCGACTCGACGGAGATGTACGAGCGCACCGAGGTGGTGCTCGGCTACCTGCCGCTGGCGCACGTCTTCGAGCTGCTGGTGGAGAACGGGGTTATCTTCATGGGCATCCGGATCGGGTATTCCAGCGCTCTCACCATGCTGGATTCCTCCAGCAAGATCAAGAGGGGCGTGCCCGGGGATGTGTCGGTGTTGCAGCCGACGTTCATGACCAGCGTGCCGGTGAGTGATCGTGACCATAGGACATATATATATGGAAATTCAACTGCTGTATTCACTGTCTATTTGCGATAGAAAATAACACGTCGCCTCACCTGACGGCAGCAACTTGACCACTTCTGAGCGGTTTGTTTCATAAGCACAAACAAAAAACAAATGGGAACCAATGAAAACAAAGTAAACATGCCGCTTTGACAGCTTTCAAGAACACCGATAGGTGGCGTATGCTTATTTTCTATCGTGAATGGGTTGCGGGCAAGAACTGTCAGATGATCGACCCTGGAGGTGAAACATTGAAACACAACCTCACTCTTCTTATTTGTTTGCACATGATTGAAATAGTTTTTCAATTGATGGAAGTAAGATATGGTGTAATTACTGATGCGCTTTTGTTTCAGAAATTTTACTCGACCTCTCGAGAACAGCGAGAGCAATGGTTCCGTCGATCTTCTAATAGATGGCGACATTGCACAATTATGACATCTGTCAGTTTTCAAATTGTCGCAGATTTTTCGAATTCAGAGTTGACCTAAAATTCCATTTGCCATTTTATTTCCACTCGTCACAGCAGCAATAGCAGCATCACAATCTAGCGGGAAAATGTAGAATCAACGTCTCGCTCGTTGTGACGTAGAGAAGTCATAGTAGGCGGTCGAGTGATTTTTCTGAAATTTTCATACGTAATAATGGCCGAATGCGCGCACCACATCTTACTTCCATCATTGTTTTTCACAATTATTTTGGCATACGAATCGTGTTTTTCGGCTATTCATTAATTCGCTCATGCCATCACATTGTGCTGTTGTGCAATGCACTAGAAATGCAGCGGGAGACGAAGGAATCCGGTTGGTACATTATGAAAGATTGTATGCGGTTCATGAATGAAAAACACCTCTATATTTCAGCTAATCCTGGATAGAATTTCGAAAAGCATAAATGAAAAAGTCGCCAAGAGCAGTGCTATCAAAAGGACGATATTCAATTTCGCATTCGAATATAAACTGAGATGGAAACAACTCGGATTTTCAACTCCTCTCATAGATAGGTAAAAAAATAACTTCGTTTCTATTACCATTGAGAATCTTAACATCGATTTTTGAAGGGTCGTTTTTGGGCCAGTAAAAAAAATAATGGGCGGCCGTTTGAGACTTATAGCAGCAGGTGGAGCTCCGTTGACCCCGGAAACCAACAAAATAGTAAAAATGTGTCTTTGTACCGATATCATAGCTGGGTATGGTCTAACAGAAACAACATCCTGTGCGACGAATCAAGACAGTAAGTTTTAACAAATAAGAAGTTCTTTTTATATGTATCAACTCATAAGATGACCGGGAAAAAATATGCACATGTCAGTTAAATTGATGTTTCAGTACATGAGAGGTTCCCAGGTTTTGGAGATGCTGGTTGACCCACACTTGGATTTCCCGGCACCTTGTATCTGTATTTCGATTAATTCAATGTATTCGTTCTTTAGCATAGACAGTTTTCGTCCTTGGTACATAAATAACTATTGGAATGATATTTAAAGTTCAGTTCTTGTACCGAATTGCATCATTTTATCACATAGCGTTTCGGAAATATTCAAGAAATATCATCTTCAAGAGCCTCCTTTCAGACAGCCGTAGCTCCCTTAGGAGACATTTATTGATTCATGATCATTCGAACTTTTTTCCTCTTTTTGGTCGTAGAACCCACGGCAGTAATTCGCCCAGCGCTTACGTACGGATCCATTGTATGGTGGACCAGTACAAATAAGGGCAAGACCATAAGAGAACTGGATAAAGTCCAGAGACTGGCCTGCCTGGGAATAACAGGTGCTCTGAGAACGATGCCTACCAGGGCTCTTGAAGCTCTGTTAGATCTGCCGTCTCTACACCTGTTCATACAACACGAAGCCATGAGAACTGCTTACCGACTTAACGGTGCAAACCAGTGGGTCGGAACAGAAGCAGATCATGGAATCAGGCAAAGGAAAACTGTCCCATCCTCATGATGAAAAGGGACAGTACCTTGCCGATTCTGAACTTCAACGAAGTCCCAAACATTGTCATCCCTACGAGGAAGGAATGGAATGACACAACACCTGCCGTGCCTCCTCCCAATGAGTCAATCTGGTACACGGATGGCGGAGGTGCAGGGGTATACAACGAAGGAACAAGAAAAGAAATCTTGGTTTCTTTAGGTGAATATGCCTCAGTGTTCCAGGCTGAAGTACTACCTTACCTGTGTCCAAGAAAACCTGATTATGAACGGTCGTAGACCAATCACTATATGCTCGGACAGCAAAACTGCAATACTGGCTTTGCAATCCAATAGGATCACAACCAATTTGGTGTCCTAGTGCAGAAAGGTCTTGAAAAACCTGGCAAAATCAAGAAAGGTCAGCCTCATGTGGGTCCCGGGACACTCGGGGATACCCGGAAATGAGAAGGCAGACTGACTGATTGGACAAGATCGTTTCAGGACGGACCCCGGTAGGACCGGAACCAATCTTGGGAAAACCAAACAGTCTGGCAATGTCCTCCATAGAGGAAGAGCTGCAAAAGCTATTCCCCAGAATATGGCAGGACACACCAAGAATGAGACAATCGAAGCTCCACATAAAGGAACCTTCGAAAATACTCACAAAAGAGGTTTTATCCCCCAACAGGCGAGACCTTGAGATGGTAGTGGTGCTCCTAACGGGACACAACCACCTCAAAAAGCACCTAGATATTATTGGGATCAAAGATGATCCTCTTTGCCGATGGTGCCTGGAAGATGACGAAACGTCATCGCATGTCCTCACTGAGTGCCCAGCACTGACACATCAGAGGAGGGCTGTCCTTGGCAACATAATTTCGAGGCCAGAGGACGTGAAAGAGATTCAGCTAAGGAAGCTGCCGAACTTCTCCAAGGAAGTCGGCATACCCAGCTGAATGTCGGAACATGTGGGCGCACAATGGGCCCGAATAAGGAGGCCTACGTGCAAGGGTGTTCACTCGCCCACAAGTGCTACGAAGAAGAAGGGAAGAAGAAGCTGCTGCTGAAGTTTGGTAGGCTAATTTCGGGACACTCTGTCGTAAAACAATAATTACGATCAGATTGTTTACTATTTGAATAAAGACTAGAAAAAAAAAAGATGAAATGGTAATTTTTTATTTTAGCTTTCGATCTGTCGTTCGGTAGGGCCGGCGCCCCAATGACCATAGCGAAAATAATGTTAGTGAATTGGGAACAGGGTAATTATTTCATCACGGACGAGCCGAATCCGCGGGGGGAAATCATGGTAGGGGGTGATAACGTGAGTCCGGGCTACTACAAGCTGCCCGACAAAACGAACGAAGACTTTTTCGAACATAAAGGGTGCAGGTGGTTCAGGACAGGTGACATTGGTGAGATCCACCATGATGGAATTGTGAAGATTATAGGTGAGAAAACCTTTTTTTCTTTTTGTTTCTTCAGAGAAAAACTGAACAAGATATTTATAAAATTAGATGTTTCATTCCTAAATGCACACATCTGAAATATGTATTAGGCATTCCTAGTTTGGAAATGATATATTTTGGGATTTTAGGATGGGGAGGAGATGCTTTTCAGTGTAATTGGTGTACCAAATTTGAATATAATCGGTTAATCCCTGTATGTGATATGGCGTATTGCATTTTTTGTCAAAATACACAAATCACTCTGTATCTCAGTAACGAAGCGGTTTTGGACATTCGTTTATGGCATTTTGCAATCATATTGACCGTCCCTATAACCCTATGAGTTTTGTCGGTTTTATCTCCGGACACCCTGTATATTTCCGACTGACCTTTTATACAAAGTATCCCAAAAGATGGATATAAATCAGCTTCATATTAATTGTTTATCAACTCACATGTTCAAAAACAGAAATGATATTAGACAGAGATTTTAACGTCATCCTATTTGCGTCCCATCGGGAATGATTTTTTACCAAATGTTGACAGTAAAGTTGTCATAGGTTCTCAAAAACGAAAAGTATTGGCTGAGCCAGTTTTACACAACTAGAACTAGGATGACGTAAACCTTTCTATTTAGTACTTGTACGCTTTTTTATTGAATACCAATGTACCAGGTGATTCAATAAGGATGATGAGGTGCTGGGTATCTCAAGAGCTAATAGTTTATATATATTAAAGACGCCCCCTAGCGAGGGCAGTAGGAACCCGAATGGGATAGATGTTGTTTTGTTTCATTCAGCAAACCTTCCTTTCTTGAACCAGATCGACCTTGTAAGCGAAATCATTAGTTCCTGAGATCAATATCTCGTCACCCTTATTGAATCACCTGGTACATCCAATTTTCTTGCCTTTTTCGATAAATTTTCTACATTCTAGGAATAATTAAAGGGCATATAAACTCAGTGTGAATCTGAAAAAAGGCAACACTATTTACCCCTACTGAGAAATCTTAATCCAGCTTTTTCTTTTACTTCTATACGTGTTCCCAAATGAGTAGTGGATATATAAATAATGATAGCGCAGAATTTGGAAGCAATAGTTTATAGATTATCATCTAATCAAGAATACAAAATGAAATGTTTTCCTTTATAACCATATCCATTCTGTCAAAATTATTGTCATACGACAAACGATCGTTTTTAGTGTTCAGTAAATATTTTATATTTAGGAATTGTGATATCAGATACGGAAATAATATTGATGACATTCAAAGTACCTCATTGACGTATTGAACATAGTAAAACGAGAGCAATTCTGTGTTTTAGCCGTAGAAAAAATAACTTCCCGCCATTAATGTATCTATCGGCAGGTCTTTGAACTAAAAAGTGGTAATAAGGTCAATTCATCCCTTCAGATCGGAAAAAAGACTTGGTGAAACTGCAAGCCGGCGAATACGTGTCCTTGGGCAAAGTGGAATCCCAGCTGAGCACCTGCCCTCTGGTGGAGAGCATCTGCGTGATGGGCAACTCGTCGAAGAACTCCTGCGTCGCCCTGGTCGTGCCCCACCACGACAACCTGCTGGCGCTGGCCGCCCAAAAGGGCATCCGCGCAGGCGTCGTCGACGTACTCTGCAAGGATTCGCGGATGTTGGATGCCGTCCTGGAGGAGATATCCGGCCACGGATTGAAGGGTAAGAGCTTTCATCATTCTTTTATTTACAACTATGGAGTCATTCATCAGGGTTGAAAAAAAACATGTATTTTTTAATTTTATACAAAACACATGTTTTTTTTTGTTTTAAGCGTTTTTTTTTTTTAAACATTGTTTTTTTTTGTTTCTGAATTTTATGATTTGAACAAATAAAACTTCTAACTAACTAACTCTCCAACTAAAAAGACATTGTTCAAATCCAATTTTTTCAAACATAATATTAATTCAGAGATTAATTCAAAATGTTTGATATAATAATCTTTAGTATTAGTCCACTAAATAATAGATTCCTTATTTGAAGTCAGACTCTGTATACCGAACTAAACTTTCGCGATCAGCTGTGTTATGAACGTCGCGGCATCGCTGTGAGGATGTGCCGGTGAATCCCCGAAATAAGAAAACCAATTGCGATAGGCATGTTCGCGGTCAGAATATAAACAGTCCGAAACTATCGGGAGCATGCGCAATTTCACAGAACAGTACACATTTTCCAAGTTCCGTGGAACTGCGCATGCTTCTGATGGTTTCAGACTGTTTATTTTTCGAACGCGAACAAACCTGATGAGGACTGTTGGCCTGGGGGAACCACAGACCATTTATAAATTCGCATTGCCAGTGGGCTATACAGTGTGTCCCACTTACCATGCTCACCATGGGTACCTTTTCAACGGTGAGTTGAACAAAAACTGTTTAAAACTAGAGCACATGTTTAAAACATGTTTGAAACATTTGATTACAACAAAATGTTTAAAACAAAACAACCCTGTCATTCATACATTGCTAACTAGATTCATTATTGTGATGAATCGAGTAATAAGAGTAATAATGACAGTAGGATGGTGCAATGAACTCAATATAAACAACTGGAAGAGAGACGGCCGTTCTCTCGAATAGCAGGAAGTGTGTCAGGGGCAGCTGCAACAAAGATAGCATGATTTACGGTGACCTGTCTCTTTCCTACGCGTGTTGTTTAATGGTGGATTGGTGTTTACGTTTTCTTTTATCTGATGATTGAAGTACTTTAGATTTTTTTCTCTCATCTAAACAGGCAAGAAAGTGAAGACATAACTTCATTGTCTTTGGTTATGTGAAATATCATTGAAATTTCCCGATTTCCACCACAGATTCGTTCATGACGACATCGAATTAGTCTATGTGATTTTTTTCAGATTTTTAATAGGCGAAATAAAAAATTTCATTTTCCCACCTAAGACGATATAGTACGATCTAGTCACCGAGCAATCTTCGGACGGCCGAAAGTGAGAAAAAATGGCGGGAATTTACGCGAATTATCACTTTTCAGTAGAAAATGACACGCGGAATCGAATGAGACCATAATCAGCCCGATAGGATAGATATTTTTTGAGATATCGGCGCTCAAAGTCAGCTTTCCGCTATTATTGCCTATAGGAGCACTCCGGTAGGCTATACGTCTCCATTTCCCAAAATTTACCGATTTCCACCACAGATTCGTTCATGATGACATCGAATTAGTCCATGTGGATTTTTTCGGATTTTTAATAGCCCAAATAAAAATTTTCATTTTCCCACCTACGATATAGTCACCAAGCCATCTTCGTACGGCCGAAAGTGCCAGAAAACGGCATAAATCCACGCGAATTATCGCTTTTCCAGTAGAAAATGACACGCGGAATCGAATGAGACCATGATCAGCCCGATAGGACATATAGTTTTCGAGATATCGGCGCACAAAGTCAGCTCTTCGCTTTTATTGCCAATAGGAGCACTCCGGTAGGCTACTACGTCTCCATTTTCCAAAATTCACCGATTTCCACCACAGATTCGTTCATGACGACATCGAATTAGTCTGTGAATTTTTTCAGATTTTCAATAGGCAAAATAAAAATTTTCATTTTCCAACCTGAGACTTCAGTACGATATAGTCACCGAGCCATCTTCGGACGGCCGAAAGTGCCAGAAAACGGCGGAAATCCACGCGAATTATCGCTTTTCCAGTAGAAAATGACACGCTGAATCGAATGAGACCATGATCAGCCCGATAGGACAGATAGTTTTCGAGATATCGGTGCTCAAAGTCAGCTCTTCGCTTTTATTGCCAATAGGAGCACTCCGGTAGGCTACTACGTCTCCATTTTCCAAAATTTCCCGATTTCCACCACAGATTCGTTCATGACGTGATCGAATTAGTCTATGTGAATTTTTTCAGATTTTCAATAGGCAAAATGAAAATTTTCATTTTCCCACCTAAGACTTCCGTACGATATAGTCACCGAGCCATCTTCGGACGGCCGAAAGTGCCAGAAAACGGCGGAAATCCACGCGAATTATCGCTTTTCCAGTAGAAAATGACACGCTGAATCGAATGAGACCATGATCAGCCCGATAGGACAAATAGTTTTCGAGATATCGGTGCACAAAGTCAGCTCATCGCTTTTATTGCCAATAGGAGCACTCCGGTAGGCTACTACGTCTCCATTTTCCAAAATTTCCCGATTTCCACCACAGATTCGTTCATGACGTGATCGAATTAGTCTATGTGAATTTTTTCAGATTTTCAATAGGCAAAATGAAAATTTTCATTTTCCCACCTAAGACTTCCGTACGATATAGTCACCGAGCCATCTTCGGACGGCCGAAAGTGCCAGAAAACGGCGGAAATCCACGCGAATTATCGCTTTTCCAGTAGAAAATGACACGCTGAATCGAATGAGACCATGATCAGCCCGATAGGACAAATAGTTTTCGAGATATCGGTGCACAAAGTCAGCTCATCGCTTTTATTGCCAATAGGAGCACTCCGGTAGGCTACTACGTCTCCATTTTCCAAAATTTCCCGATTTCCACCACAGATTCGTTCATGACGTGATCGAATTAGTCTATGTGAATTTTTTCAGATTTTCAATAGGCAAAATGAAAATTTTCATTTTCCCACCTAAGACTTCCGTACGATATATTCACCGAGCCATCTTCGGACGGCCGATAGTGCCAGAAAACGGCGGAAATCCACGCGAATTATCGCTTTTCCAGTAGAAAATGACACGCGGAATCGAATGAGACCATGATCAGACCGATCAGATCTTCGTTTTTATTGCCAATAGGAGCACTCCGGTAGGCTACTATGTCTCCATTTTCCAAAATTTCCCGATTTCCACCACAGATTCATTCATTAGGACTTCGAGTCTGGTTGCAATGGTTACATTTCTAACAAATTTATTTTTGATTGAATCCTTTTTTTCACCATGTTTGAAAAAATGCCATCAAACCTGGTATTGTCAAATTTGTAATAATGAGCTCTACTTGAATATGGAATAATATTCTGGGTGTGCCTATCCAAATAAGAATGTTTAGGTGTGACCCTGTATACATATGATTTATTCAATAGCATATCTCTAGTCAGCATTTGTATCTTTTTTTCTCAAGGTAAATTGGAGAAATTTGAAATACCAACAAGAATAACTTTATTACCACAACCTTGGACTCCAGAAACAGGCCTAGTGACTGCAACTTTCAAATTGAAGAGGAAAGCAATCCAGGATTACTATGAAAATGAAATTGAAAACATGTATGCCTCTCTGGATTAAAATAATTGTTAGTTCAAATAAAATTTTATTATTACTCGAGTTTTGCATCTCCTATGGTAAGTATTCCTTCTTCCTAAGTAGGTATTCTGTTTCTTTAAGAGTAAATGCCAAATGGGTGACTTTATTTTTTTCACCTCATGATTCTGGCCAATCCTTGACAAAACATTGAAAAGTCAAAATTAATTGGATTTACCTTTGGGAATGACAATAACATCTCATTCTCTTATTCTGTTTACTCTTGAACTATTTATGTGTAACAATCAAATCAATTATCAGTTCTCCCAGACAACAAAACATATTCTTTTAATCTTTCAGCATTAAAACAGCAAAGATTTCATATATCCCAAAAACACTCAATAAATAAAAGTTGTTTTGGAAAATTCAAGAAATTTTAGAGGACTCCTGTTATTAGCTTTGATGAATGTGTGATAAAACCATGGGTAATTTTGCACTTATCATGCGATGGGTTTTTTTAGGAAAATTTTTTTTGGTACTTACGTATTTTTGTCTGAAAAACACGAATTCGATAATGAAAATGTGAACAAACCACTATTTATCGAGATATTTCAAGGAAAAGTTCGAAATTTTGCCTTATTTTCCCCCTTGTGTTGGATGCATTTACAGGTACTTGCTCTTTTTATTTTGTAATTTTTTGGCGAGTTTTTCCTATTTAGTGAGCAAGCATACCAGATGACGGCAATTTAATCCATAGGCAATCCAAATACGAGATGTCAAATGTCAATAGATTGCTTTGGAATGACATTACACACGCCATTATTTCAAATGATATTCTTCCTTCTCTTCACTAAATATAGATAAATTCACAAGAAAATCATATTTCTAGTTGACTCATATAATAAAAAAATGTGTCCAACATTGTGTGATATATATAAATTGTTCAATGATGGAAAAAGAAGGGCAAATTGTTCTAAATGCGATCCTAAGACAGGCGGAAAAGAAGGCGAAATTTGTAACTTTATAGGGAAATATCTCAATAAATAATGGTTTGTTCACATTTTCATTATCAAATTCCTGTTTTTCAGACAAAAATACATAAGTACTAAAAAAAAACTTTCAGAAAAAAACCCATCACATGATAAGTGCAAAATTACCACACCATTAAAACATGGACAAAACTCAAGGACGTTTGATAACCTGATGTAGTTTTTCATCATTGGTACTGTGAAATCTTTTGCTATTTATAAAGGAAACTGATGAAAAAATAGCTGATAATAAATTCAAATCTTTAATAAAATAAGTGAATATAAAGTAAAATTGACAGGCTATGATAAAGACCACATGGAATCCTCAAGATAGGAGGAATTTGCTTCAACAGAATCTTATATCAGCTAGTCAATTTCCCAGAAAAATATATCCATTTGGCATGTGGAACTAGCAGTTATACTTATACTATTTTAGTCTTGAGTTTCATGGCATTTGTCATGCTTACTAATTTCATCCACATCACCAGTAAAATCACAAACATTGTTCTCATTAGATGAAGAGCACATGAGCCTACTGTTTTCATACAACTCTTCCAATGCAAAGCTTCTTGTACCAGTATAAGCAGCTTTGCAAGTGGGACACTCTGTCAACAATGATTTACATATGGTGCAAATTGTATGTCCTGTGGCACAAACAAAAATAGGAGGAACCATTATGTTGGTGCAAATGGGACATTCCAAGGCTCTCTGTACATTTCTGGAAAGTTCCACATAGGGACCCTTCTCCTTTTCATCTACTGTAGGTTTATTGTGAACAGTTATGTTAAATGTGACATTGTTTGTTTGGAATAGCCTGGACAATGTGCCTGATTTGAACTTTGTGATCACAAATTCATTGAGATCCACCTGAATGGAATAAGGTTTGTGCAACTCATTTTTACAGGTCTGGAACCAGCACTTTCTGCAGTGCTCTTTAGTTATGAAAGGTTCCACTCTTTGATCTCTGATGTCTACTTTCCAACAATCTGAAGTGAAAGTTAAAGTGTATGAAGTATAAGGTTTGCTTGGGAATAATGAGAAGACACTCAATCCACTTTGTTTGGGTGTTGAAGGTGCCTGGTTAAGGCAACTGGAACTGGTTGGTTGGGCAGAATTTGTTGATTCTGTAGATGAGGTATTTGAAAAAACTGGAGATGGGGGTGTTAGATTAACAAATCTTGGAGTAGTTGTTGGTTGATTTGTTCCAAAAATGGATGTTGCAGCAGATGATTTATTTCCAAAGGCTGAAGTAGGTTGAACTGTCTTATTTCTAACTGGACCTGCCCCAGAAAATAGATTATTTCCAAATGTGGGACCTGGTACATAAGATGGATTGATTGGCACAGAAGCTAATGAGTTTTTAACTGATGAAGGTGCTGTATTTGCAGTTGAAGCACTTTGAGCACCTATCCTTTCCATGTTTGATATTAGTTGGTCTTTAAAGGATAAAGTTGTAGTTGCTGGAACTGCATTATTTGCATTTGATGTTTTTGTGCCAGTACTTCCAAATTTGAACTCACCATTACCAGGTAAGAACATAACCACAAATGGTTCTCCTTCACTTACAATATAGAACAGCTTTACCTTTTCACCCTCCTTCAACACACTCTCTTTGGCTAAATTTCTTTTGGTGAGTTTGAGACTTTCATGTACCAAATTGAAATGATGTACAAGACCTTTTACATCAACTTCAGCATCACATGCAAAAGGACAGTGGATCATTTGTTTGGGGCAAATTGTTTCATGATCAGGAACATCTTTCCAAGGTGTTTCAGCTTCACAGTCTTGGTAAATACAAGGAAAATTCACACATTGTGCCATCTTCTCATACAGTTCTGCTCTGAAGCTTAAATTCTCCTTGACAAAGGAACATCGTCCACAACGATAATCACCAGAAGGTGTGTAGTATATTGGAGGAACAGAAAGGTATCTTTGGCAAACGATACATTTGAGGCTGGTTAATTCTTTACGGATTTCGTCCATTTGTACAGCAATGCTTGCCTTGAAATATACAAAAATAGGAAGATATTATATGTACAAAAAAAGCCCTACCTCTATTACCTCAATCTGCAACAGTTATCCACATATGCTCCCAACTGACTATCTGACTACTGAGATAACGTTTCAACTTGAACAGTACAAACAGTAACACCCAAGCTGTGACCAAAGTTTCAACAGGTTACAATTTCAAAACCACAGTAACAATAATAACAAAATAAAAACCGGTTAGGACTGTGAAGTTAGCTCTCAAAAATATCATAACCTACAAATCGAAGTTTTTGAAAGCTGTCAAAGTGGTTTGTTTACTTTGTTTTCATTGGTTCACATTTGCCTCTTTGTTTCGTCAGATGGAGCGACGTGATGATGGAATCGAGGTTGGTAGAAAATAGTCATCAGTTCTACCAACCTTGGATGGAATTTCAATATTGAGCATGGCCCACAGGCCACAATTAATAGTATTTTAAAAAAAAATTGTTAGGAGAGAACTATTTCTGATACAGTTATAAAAAGTGACCTACATGATAATTATGTTAATCAGCAGTCACTGAATGCCTAAAAAATTCACTATTAAACTATCTACCCTACAAAATTAAATGAAAACATGACCAATATAATACCTCAATGATAGGTATTGTACCAGAGGAAAGGAATAGTATCTTGCCCAATTCTGACCAATAATAAATGGCTTGGGAAACTCACCTTTTTTTCGTGATTATGAAAAATGAATTTATTTTCTGATAATTATGAATAGGAAAATTTTATTAAGATAAATGTATATGAAAAGTATGTTATTAACAACTCTTTGAAACTTATTACAATAATGTAACAATGAAAAAGTCATAAATGAGAAATGCATTAAATAAACATTGGAAGTAGAGGAATGATAATTTGAAAAAGTACAACTTATGAACTACTCCTACTGTATTTTCCCCAGATATGCAACATGAATACAGATGCAATGAATAACAGGGACATCACCAATACTGGAACTGGACCTCTGCAAAATCATCAGAAAATATTAGTTATTTATAAATTCTAGTTATTACAAATATATATTAGGATTAAAGAAAATAAGTCAACCCTTAATAGAATTCACTAATTTTAAACTACGCATAAGGTACTAAAGTATAAGAAATAATCAATAAAACAGAGGTGTATTATTCCTTATAAAAAGAGTAGGTTCTGTATAAGTAACAAGCATATGGTACTCACACTTTGATTCCTGGAGAGTCATCTGTGTAGAATCTCCACATACCCCCAGTCCCAGCTCCAGTATTCCTCCTAGCAGTTGTTGTAGTTGTAGTTTTTCGTTGCCTTACAGTGCTTCCAGTTGTAGACCTAGGAGCAACAGCTTTGGAAGGAGACCTACTTCCAGAACCCACATTTGTTGCACTCGCTGAAGCAGGCTAGTCCAGAAGAATAAAAAAAGTTACATTGACATGCAAAAAAATGAAATGATGGGACAAGTCCACTCACCATTTTAGTATATTATGGAATGTTTCACCCGTTAAATTGCAAACAGGTCTTCCAAATGTTCAACAACTGCCTGTATCTTCTGCACAACACTTCAACTAACGAACGTCAAATTTTAAAATTTTAACAAAACGAATGGAAATAAAGACAAATCCAAACTGAAAGACACGTAGACACAACGACACACAAATGATCAAGAAGTCAAACTCCCCACTTTCTGCAGTTTTTGCCAACGTGCTCGATTCTGTGACTCGTCATCACCGCACCTTAGATCATCAAAATTCACATCACAGACAGCCCACAGAACTAAAGCCCGTATGGCACCCAATGAACTGAATGTAAACAACTTGAGTTCATTGATGGTAGAGTCACTGGATGGTATTAGTTTGATAAGAGTTCGGACACAGCTGAACTTTTGTCCTTTTCTATTTTCTATAATACAATGGTTTAAGTGAATAAAAGAATAAGACATATATTCTGCTCTTTGTCTTTTCAATTCCCCTAGACGCGCCTGATTGTCAGATACGATTTCAGAGGTTATATTTTCTGTCAAATCATTCATAGCCGTAGAATCGTAGATGGACAATGGATATAGGGTACAAACACCCACTTCAATTTATAGTGATACACTTCTAGCAGAACAACTGTTATATAAATGAGAATAAGAATGCATGTGCCAACGTTTTAATATTAGAAAATATACACATATGGATAAACTCATAGCTATAAATCCTCATTGTATATCAAACTGTACTCCAGTGATAAGTATAAAACATGAAGTTATCAATATTTAATTAAAGGTAGGTATTCTCAATATACATCAGGAAGTAACATAAATACGTTCAAGTGAAGTATTCCTGAGACAATTTTGAGAAATAAAGTCTATATAAGCTTGGGTCCGGAAATGTTTCATTTCGGAGATACAGGGTGTTGAAACACAGAGAACAAATCATTTTTTGATAAACATTTCCTTGGAAAAGAGTAGTTTATTTTGACGAGACCTATCAAATACATTTTTCTGAAAAGTTCTCAGCAACTTCACTTAGCGCCCTAGGAGCTAAGCATCTAAGTAACATGGATCGATATAGAAAATATCTCCAAAACGATAACCTCCAGCGTAATAATTGAGGCCGTTATAATAATTCCCTTGATACATAAATAACTATGCACTTTTCACTGTTGAATTTTAAATTTGATCGGCACCAAATACGCCATTCAATAATATATCACGTTGTAGTTTCCTTGATTTTCTTAGTTTTGTGTTCAAATTTCCAATTTCATTATGTAATTTTATGGTCATTTCCTCTCTCCATGATTATTTTGTTCTGTATTTTGTGTGATGATAATAATGGAATTTTGAAATCGTCTGCTTTGTAAATTGATGGAATAGCAGATACTCTCAAACAGATTTTGAAATCTTCTGTTCGAAACTGGACATGAAATATAGTTGCATTCTGATCACATGCTGTTATAAGAAGTGAATTTCAATGAGTTCCTCACAAATTTCGCTCGTCTTGAAATTGATTTTCCTTCCATAAGCGAATGGTTGATATTTGTTTTGGAAAATTGAATAAATGATATCCATTTTCATCAGATTTGACACAATTTATAACACAGCAAGTGATTTCCATAGCTGCTTTTTTTTCGAAAGTATAATTATTGAATTTTATTTCAAATCTGACGTTCATAAAATTTATTGTCAAATTCAAACAATTATGAATAAAAAGCGCGGGACGACTATGGTGCTATTGTCACAATGCAAGGTGTGTAACTTAATGAATCTAAACATTCAAAAATCCTAACAGTTGTCATTTCTGTGTCCGAACTCTTATCAAACTAATACTAGGGTCCCTTGATGGAAATTGACGTTAAAGTCATCTTAACAGGGTACGGACAGATCATAGCTGCATTCTTTTTTAATGATGTAGAGACTTTAGTTTTGTCTACTGGCATCCCTGACATTGCTGTCACGTCACATCCATGGGCGCTACAAATTTCAATAATAGGTATGTACAGGGTGTTTACTTGTTGAAGATCATATGGCGAACGAGTTTTGTAATTATGATCCGATTCTATTCAAAATTGGAAGATATCTGGGGTTTTCCGGGGTTGGAGATAATGATTGTTTCGTCAAACTTGGAAAATTCAAGATGACCAATCCAATATACAGGCTGATTCACGGTGGATGGCACATTAGACGTTTCTGGAAAACGCAACTCAGGATTATTCTGAAAAGTTGGTGCCTTGAATAATTAGTTGTGTTCTATCGACCTGAAATATTCTCAGCGCTGCCACCGTGAATCAGCCCGTATAGCGAAAGAAATTTCTAATTATGATCTAGACAAAGTTTTATACATGATATACGTGATATTAGTCACTCCATAAATTCCTCACCGAGCTGGATTTCCAAAAATATATTGAGCACACATGAATAAGTACAGTAGTTTCGGTTTCCATCATTTCTCAATCATAAGGCTCAGCTCATTAAGCTGATAGATAAACTTCTGCTCAGCTTGAAATCAGAATTCATTCAGTCAATTCAGTCAACCCTATAGTATACAGTCTAAGAACAGTCTCTCTTAGTGAAATATATTAAGCTTTCAGTACAATTTATATGTTCCCTACCTCGCAAAGATTATGCTGGAGTAGTAAACTCTAAATCTAGAGGACTGTTCATCTATATCTTGGTATAGTTGAATCGGGAATTCCATATGGAAATTACGTATAATACGCCAGTGACCTCAATATAACCTAAAAAACAACGAATGTCAAAAATCTAGTGTTTTTCCCTAGAATTGAATAAGGATGGAACTATATAACTGTTTCACAAACACTTTAGAGTGAGAGGAGACGAGGATCTGTCCGTACCCTGTTAGGATGACTTTAACGTCAATTTCCATCAAGGGACCCTAACTAATACCATCCAGTGACTCTAATTGATGGCACCTCTGGCACCAGATATGAATGGCACTGTACTCTATTTTGTTCAAAAAGTTTGCATTTCAAAACGACATCCATCATGTATATACATATTTAAGTACATATTATATGTTGTAGTGATTCAACGATTTCAACGACATCAAGCTGACACTTGCCCTGCACTTGACATGGGATTACAGGATCAGTGTGACATTCGCTTTATGACATGACGGTGGACGGTCCTCAAGTCTGGTGCTCAGTGAAGGGATTAGGGCAATGACGGCTAGATATCTAGACTGTCTGACGGTGTATAACCCGTCAGTCTAGTTATCTAGCCGTCATTGATTAGGGATTTCAGGATTCCACTGATATGTCAGAATTAAGATTGGTTTCACTGGTTTCGTTAAATAAAGAAAAAAACGAATGGGGTTATAAATAATAAATAAATAATATATTAAACAATGTATTATTTTTCGAAAATTTGTCGAATTTGTATTCAAACTGATGTGAAACTGGTAGATATCAGTACTTTGGATTATGATGAAGTGAAGTTGAGCGACAAATTAGAAATGTGTACAAAATTGGTAATGAAAACAAAAATACTATACCTACTTATCTTGTAATTCAATTTGAATTGATTTTCTGTCACAGGTTATCAGGAAAGAAAATTCGTCAACTGATATATGTATGGCATGCATCACTAAGCTTAGAGTTTCTTATCAATTTCTGGAGATGTGCAAGAAATCTACAAAAATTTTACAGGGGTACCTCAGGGCTTTGATTTCTAAAGAAGTTGAAACGGTAAATCCCGAAGTATTCGTGAATGCAGAGCTCAGTGTTGTAGTAAATCCTCTGAAAGATCACAATTTATACAATATTTGTGATGATTTTGACAATGAACCCAATTGTGTTAGAGAAAAACGTAGAAGAATAACTAAAGAGCAACGTTGTTCATTATTGAAAAGACTGTTGACACCTTCTGAAACCCCTAAAAAAGATAGGGACAAAATCTCTCACATAAAAAAGTATGATATGTTGACAAGAAAGCATTATGGAGGCTTGAATAATATTATTAATTTCACAAAAAACTATGATTTTAGGGTTAATTTTCATAGAAGATTGAATTATGAATCTACACATTTAGAGAAACTTGAAGCCTTCTCAAATCAGTACTTCAGGAGAGATTTTTCAGATTTCAAAAATACAATTTTGTACATAATAGAAAACAAAGATAATTTATATGAAAGTTGTGACAGTGAAGATGAAATTGATGTTGATACACCTTGTGAAGAAAGTGACTCCAAAGAAGATATTCTCAAATTTGAGGAAGTCATAATAGAACCAGACATCAAGATAAAAACTGAAATAGATTTTGAAGATGATAGTCAAAGCTATAATTTATTCAGCAACCTTCATCAGTGCAAACAAGAAATGAGGGAAGAGGATGAATGTGGAAGTAACATAGACACTGCTTCTTCAGATCCCAGTACATCTTTTGTTTATACCAAGAGTAAAGTGAGTTCAATAAGTGATTCCATGCAATTTTTGAATAATTTTGTTGGTCAATTTCCACATAGAAGGACATTCTCTTCAAGTCATGTGCGTTGTAGAACTAGAGATAATCCATATATCAATCCAATGTTGAAACAGCAGTTTTTGAATCAAAGTTTTAGGTGTGAAAAATGTAGTAGAAATTTCAAAAGTCCAGGGTACCTGAAGGCACACAATTCAAAAGTTCATTAATTTATAATAATACTTGGTCCAGAATATTTTTGAAAGAATTATGACTGTAACTGTATGTTTGATGGGCATACTAATATTATAAGTTCCATTTCTGTTCTGCATTTTCAACATTTCAAATCTCATTCTGTGTATTTTTGCTTATTTTGATCATCTGTGCTGTGTCTGAGGTTTTCTGGGCCACTCTGATAAAGCCATTGCATTATGTAAGTTGAATTATCTTCACTAAATTAGTGGAGGTAAGTTACCTACATCATCCATGGCTAGTTCCATGGGACATAATTTTGATAATATGTGAGTATTTGTTACTTTTTTCTTTGATTCAAAATTGAGTTTGTAGTATTGACAACCATGGTCATTATATATCTCATACTGGATAAGAATCTGATGCAATCTCCTCTGTAGGTATGTCAAAAAGTTTGGTATTCTTTGAACATCATATGAAGATGGTTCCTTATTTTGTTTTACTGATATATTTTGAATTTCTCTCAACTTCTACAAAAACACAGTAGGTATGAAATGGAGAACTTGTGGTTTGTTTCTTGCCCCATTCTGAATGGAACACCCGCCAAGAATACCATCATGAGTATATAAAAAATATATATAAACTGTTGCAGAAATTGCAACATTTCAATCTGTAAAATCTCCATGTAAACCAAATTTTTTATTCATTCATACTTATTAATGCTTATTAGGAGAAGGTGAAATTGTGTGTATTGATTCTTATTTCTGTATTTCCTTTCCCTATGAAACCGAATTTACCATTGTGTATCATATATATTATATATATTCTCTATGAGATATTTTAAGTCATGTGCTTATTGCAATATAGACTTCTATAAAATAGAAGGTTTTTATAGACAAATAACTATTTTGTTATATTTTCTTATTTCATGATTTTTAGATGTTGGGTAATTGTTTCACCTTCATTAAGAAGGTAATTCAATGTTGCCAGATGATTTTCAATATGGATATGGAAATGCCTCATTTTGTGTAATGGTGGTGCAAAGAGTTATGCATGATCTTAGTTACACAATATGCATTGTATTTTCTAATAATGCAAATGGAAAAATTTATGAAAGTTGTAGAATATTTATATTTGAATCTCTGGCAGTATCTAAACCTATTATAATATTTATTTTACCTATATTGATCTTTAGGAAATATTCTGTACAGAGTGTGTTCATGTTTAATGTTTAAACATAATATAATTTTATAATAATTTTGAAGTTTATGAAGATATCAAATTGATATAAATAGTTGTGCACTTTTCTTATCTCATTGTCATTCTATACCAATTCTCCAAAAACGCTCATCTCCATGATAAAAAATGAAATCCTTTGAATAATAGTTATTTATTATACAAGGGAAAAAAGTAGTAGATTTTAGCTCCAGGTTGTGTTGTCTCCCGACGCGTAGCGGAGGGAGACAAAAAACCGTGAGCTAAAAACTAATATTTTTCCCGTACATAATACACTATTCTTTTCTGTGACAGAAGGAAGGACGAATCAATATTGAGAAGATATTACATTATTTCGAAATCTGAAAATTATCGACGTGAAATTTCAAGTTTTTAACAGTAGGGACACCAGCGTTTTATAGGCATCTTTATCATACTTTTGAAGTAATCAAATATTTGATGTCACTTCTGTCAGTTCAATTCTGTGATTTGATTTTAAAAAATTGCGAATTCAGTAGTTGTTTAGTAATATACGAAACCGCGAAGTCGAATGGAAGATAAAAGGACTTGCAGTTCTTTCTCGGAGACGGTATTATTGACTCATTTTTCGGAACTATAGCACAACAAAAGCCATTAACAGAGGATATATATGTGATATATATCCGGGAAAAAAGTACTCACTTTTTTCCCACGGGAAAAAAGTAATTTATGAAAAGTGACATTTTATAACCTGCCAACAGCGATGAAATGCCAAACTTTTTTCCCGTCACAGAAAAAATTATATTTTGTTTGGAATAATTAAGGTAGTTGTGAGTGGTGGTTATAAGTTTAATGTTTAATGCTATGCATGGACACAAATTGCACAGAAAAATATATGTATATGTTGTAGTAAATAGGTACTTAAATTTGTTATTAAAGTTTTTACAATAATTTAATAAAGTGTATGTATTCTGTTTATAATGAAGCTTTTTTTTTCAATATTACTAATCTAAATTTGACTTGCAAATGACAGTAATAATAGGAAATTTTCGAACTGGAAACTTGCAGAAATTTGAAATTTTATATAGTTTATTCTCATAACTCCTCATGCCCGAAATTTTTGTTAAATAATCATACAGTAATTCAAGATTGAATTTTATGGTTCTTTTCTTTCTTTAAATTTTTATAATGGTCGCAAACTTTGGAAAACTTGAGTTGTGACTTATAAATCGTAATAATTTGATAAATTTCAATAGGACTTAGTTTGAAAACGAAAACTTTCAAATCACACTATAAGTTTCCTTAACTTGTGTTGGTGGGGGGTAGATACTGAGTCCTCTCAATGGTTATTTCCGTAGAGAAAGAAAGAAGAAGAGGTACTAAGGAATAAGAAGAAAAATGAACCAGTGACCAGTATAAAAAAAGAAGAGGAATAATTTTTGTTTTGACTTTTCTCCACCAGTGGTGTAGTGAAGGGGAAGGGGCTTGGGCTTTATTGCTTTATTTATGGTTTTTCTGAGGTTTCTACTGATACACCCCAAGAAATAGTTGAATTTTCCCCATTATGGAAATAGCGAACGCAGTGGGGACCACTCCCGGGGCGGCAAGAAATGCCAGGATCGTAGAAGGCGTTGGAGCCCGAGTCATAAGAGGCCCAGACTGGAAGTGGGGAAAGCAGGTTAGGATATAGTAAACTAGATTACTGGATAATTTCCCTTCAGTCTTCAGTTCTTACTGATTGAAATGTTTCAGGATGGTGGAGAAGGCCATGTTGGCACTGTCAGAAACTTTGAGTCCCCAGACGAAGTCGTCGTTGTCTGGGACAATGGCACAGCAGCTAACTACCGTTGCTCGGGCCAATATGATCTGAGAATCCTCGATAGCGCTCCCACGGGCGTTAAACACGAAGGAACGATGTGCGACACATGCAGGCAACAGCCGATATTCGGGATCCGCTGGAAATGCGCCGAATGTGGCAACTACGATCTGTGTTCGGTTTGCTACCACGGGGACAAACACCAGCTTCGCCACCGCTTTTATCGGATCACTACGCCAGGTAGTGAGCGCGTTTGCCTGGAGACCCGCCGAAAAACAAAGAAAATCGCGATTCGGGGCATCTTTCCTGGTGCAAGAGTAGTTCGTGGGGTAGACTGGCAATGGGAGGATCAAGATGGTGGTAATGGCAGAAGGGGGAAGGTACAGGAGGTACAAGACTGGTCTGCAGCTAGTCCCAGGTCAGCTGCTTACATTGTTTGGGATAACAGTGCCAAGAATCTTTACCGTGTTGGATTTGAGGGGATGGCTGATCTCAAAGTTGTAAATGATGCCAAGGGACAGAATGTTTATAGGGATCATTTGCCTTGTTTGGGGGAGCAAGGACCAGGAAGGTCTGCCCCACCTGGTCTAAAAATTGGAGATCAAGTATGTCACTGGCAAAAATATTGGATATATAGGACTAAAATCATTGCTTCATTGTAGGTTAATGTAGATTTAGAGTTGGAAATTGTCCAGTCATTACAGCATGGACATGGGGGCTGGACTGATGGGATGTTTGAATGTTTGAATAGTATTGGAACTGTGGTTGGAATTGATGAGGACCATGACATAGTAGTGGCTTACAGCAGTGGGAACAGGTAGGTTTTCAAAGCAGGAAATACATTTTCATCTAGGGAGTCTTGATGGAGTCTTGGTTGGAATTGTTAACAGAACATCATAAGGTGTTCTAGTTGAAACCATAAAGCATTATGGATGACAACAGGTGACTAGAACATCAGGAAATACAGAATAATTGCAGACCATTTTGATTATAATTATTTGAAAAAATCAGCATCAGGTGTAATTTGCTGAAGGATTAAAAATTGTCTCTTATCTGAATGTAGCACAAATAAGAATATGAAAAGTAACTAAATCTGTATACAAAATTAGCATATCATTATGTAAAATATTCAAGGGATAGTTATTTAAAGCATAAAAAGAAACTGGGATAGAAACTGCAAATATTCCCATTAAAATTATTACCTTCTCACTAAGTAGGTAAGAATTGTTTTAATAATCAAGATTTGTTGAAGAAAATAGTTCTTCCTGTTTGTTTGATGAAGAAATCTTATTCTCAGTACTTATTGGATTCTCATAATTAGAAATCTCTTTTTAGATGGACTTTTAATCCAGCTGTGTTGACTAAAGTAGCTACTCCAACTAATTCTGCCAGTTTCAATGAAACACCTCAGCAACAGTTTGCAGTTGGAGATGTTGTGCAAATTTGCAGTGACATGGAAAGAGTGAAAATGTTACAGAGAGGTCATGGGGATTGGGCAGATGGAATGGCTGCAGTAAGTAAATATTGAATTACTAATGATAGTGAAAATGTGAAAAAACATTTTCTGTTTATTTAAACTTGAATATAACTTTTCTAAACAACATGTAGATTTGGGCTATTGCCTCTAGTTCTGATAGTTTCTTATGATTTTTAGCTTCATCCTGGAGAAGTATCAAAATTGTCAGTGAACTGATTTTTTTTTAATCTTTCATGTTTGACCTTCATACCACAGTAGAGAGCTTACAGAAAGCTCTCTACTGTGTTCATACTAATGCTTTCAATTTTATTGTTTGTCCTCCAAATGACATTGAAAGTGTCTTTTTAATGACACTTGACAGGCAAAAAAGGTGTCCTTTTACCTGGACTTTTACTGCATATGCAGAAAAAGTTTGTTGCTATGCAACATTCAAGTAATGATTTGAATTTAATTTGAAATCAAAATTGAAAATGACATTGGGTGAACACAAAATGATGGATTATTTGGACTTTGCATGAAATTGGAATGAATTTGGAGAAATAATTATGTTTCACATGGCAGAAAAAAAGATCCAATGCCTTGTTTGGTTTCCTAGCCTAGTAGCCTCCACTATGCATTGACTATGAAACGCCAGCCATTGCATTAAATCTTGTTCTTTTCAGCTTAGTGAAACAAATAATTATTTGAAACATTTTATGAACACAAATGAAGTCACAGAAAATGGCACATACTTGCAGAAATTGTCTGACTATAAATATCTATGAATCATTATTTATTGCTCTCCTAATCTGTAGAAAAAATCCTAGCTTTAGTCTTGAATGGATGATGATATCTCATGCAGGCCATGAATGTGTATGGGTGCATGAGACATAACAGATAATCACGTGGTTACATGGTTAGGTCTCGCCAGCGTACACATAGTCTGGCTCCTAAAAGATGACTGGCGGAAAGAATGTGAGCCCATAGCACAATATAAATGTTGCGATCATCAACTCACTGTCAATTTAAAAACGGAATCCCCAGCGCTTGCTAGAAATGGTGAAGGTGGTATCAGTTTAAACGTGTTGTCGGTCATATCATTGGTGACTAGATGAAAGCGATGTAGTTTGTGAAACCGAATTATTTAGATACTCCAAGCTCAGCCTACTGATCGTCTTCATCTCGCTAGCGTACATATAGTCTGGCTCGTAAAAAATGACCGGCGGAAAGATTGTGAGTGACGTTTCCTCGTCTTCCCCGCATCTGCGGCAAGTGGGGTTGTCCTCTATTCCCATAAGTGATAGGTGTCTGCCTAACCTGTTGTGTCCTGTGAGTACTCCTATGAGGAGGTGGAGTGCTTGGTGGTCTCTGCCAAGCAGCCACTCCTTCCTTGATATGCTTGGACCGGCCATGAATTCCTTGGCCTGTTTGCAACCTGTGATATTCCCCCAGTATTCTCCTAGTGCCTTGTCCGTCCATTCATCGAGGGCTGACGTAATTTGGCCCCTTGTTATACCTAGTGAAGGCTCTGGTCCCAGAAACGGCTCCGCGGATTCGGCCCTAGCAAATTCGTCTGCTGTTTCGTTTCCGGGCACCCCACTGTGACCCGGGACCCATACCAGTTCAACTTCCTTTGATTCGGCTAATATCTCAAGGGCATTTCCCCATTCCTGTACCAATGCTTTTGGACGGCTATATTTTGGCCAACTGTCCGATTGAGTTGATTTTTTTATGGTTTATTCTGAGATAGTTTGAGTTAGAGTCACTGGATGGTATTGGTGTTTGAATTAGTTTGGATGAAAATACAACCATTGAAAGAATATGAACAAATGAGCTTATTCTCCCTATTCCAGACCCTGGGCAAAGTGGGCCACGTCCAGCAAATCTACAACAACAACGACCTAATAAAGGTCGAGGTGGGCAACACCACGTGGACGTACAACCCGCTGGCCGCATCATATTCTGTTTCCTTTTTTGTAGAATTACATTATCCGAAGGAAATTCGAATAGTGTGAATTGATTTCCCGTGTTCTCACAGTTGGAGACTGCACCAACTTGCATCTTTCTCCTAATTCTCTCAATTTGTCAAACTTTTGAAATGTATGTCATGTTCGTCAGTGTACTGTCAGTTCTCGCTTTTTCCATCAATTTATTTGTGGTTATGTCTGATTGTCAGTGATGTCATAGTGTCCGTACTCTAATATACAAAAAACGTCAAAATAGCAGTGTCAAGTACATTTAGGAACTCTAGAGTTATTGGATGGTATTAGTGGTAGAATTAGTTTGTATGAAAATCAACCATTGAAAGAATATGACCAGATGAGCCTATTCTCCCTATTCCAGACCCTGGGCAAAGTGGGCCACGTCCAGCAAATCTACAACGACAACGACCTCAAGGTCGAGGTGGGCAACACCACGTGGACGTACAACCCGCTGGCCGTGACGAAGCTGGCCAGCAAGGATGGCACGATGCACGCCACCACGTCGGGCGAACGTTTGTCGGCACTGCTGAAGAAGCTCTTCGAGACCCACGTGTCAGGGGACGTGAACGAAGAGCTGGTCAAGTCGGCTGCGAACGGCGATGCGCAGAAGTGCGAGGAGGTGCTGAAGCAGGGAAGCGCAGGCGCAGGCATAGGTAACTCGACTAAAACGATTGTTTGTTTTGATAAATAAGAAACGGCCGTTGGGCCCACCATGTGCTCACGGCGTCGGGGTGGGGGTAGCCTCAGGTAGCCCCAGACATCACTGGTTAAAAGCTTGAGGTCCTCACACTTGTCATGGTAGTGGTACGTGGGAAAGGCCGCGAACTGGAGTATTCCGGTCGACATGTGTGTGCGTTTCGGAGTTTGGCACTGGTTTGAAACCGTTTTTCCCTTGAAAAATATCAGCACAGACAAGACAGATGTTTGAGTTTTTTACTGACATTCAACAACAACCTTCAATCACAACAAAATTATACAGAATGATAAAATTTTATATGAATCAACGTTATTCCAAAGAATATAAACTTTCCGCTGGAACAACATGGGTAGCTGGGCTTGCTCAGCGAAAATTGGAACTCTGGTGTACCTTGTGCCTTAGTTCGCCAGGGAGGGGCAGCCCCAAGCGATCCTACCGCCAGTTATCATAGCGAAAGCCGGGTCCTCTCCTGTAAACAAGGTAGAAGAACGTGTGAAAGTCCTCGAACGATCACGCATTCAACGGGACGAGAACATGAGTAGCAATCAGGCCAAAGCCTCTTGCGATGGCGACCCATCAAACGTAACAAGAGGAATCTTGTTGTCATGGGTACCTGGGGTAATAAGGATAGCTCCATCAGGCCGTACATATGGCCTGGTGCCTCACCAATTGGGTTGGACTTCAGGGGTCAGCGGTTCCAAAAACACCACCGGACTACGGTAGAGGAGGTGAAGAAGAATCCCACTATGGGTCAAGTGGGAGGATATCTTGCCTGCCTCGGCGGGTGAGCAGCGTTTCTGCTCGGGCACTGACACTGCAGAGCCAGTAGTCTGTCTTATCAGATGGCCTCACCATTGGTATAATGAAATGGTAGCAGGAGAACATGCCGTTGCATAGTGGAGATGGCTCTATCGCGCTGATTTTGCGTATCCAAATCCTCCATTTCTCCCTGGGGTGCTGTCGGTATAAGTCGAATGATAGGTGACCGGCAGTCATCCCTATGGGAGTTTTGTAAGAGGGGGGTTGGAATTGGTTCCACCCGGTTGCTACCCCGGTAATACTACAACAACAACAACTGATAAGTAAGAAAATCGTTATAGAAATCAACTACTTTCCTGGCTCATACCCCAGATTCATCATCCTCTTTATTACTCCATTAGCTATTATTCAAATGATTGGATTTCATTTATATTTTCGAACTAGAACTATAATTATCAACATATATTTGGGCAGAAAACGATGGCGTAAACGGTGAATCAAGTGTTAATATCAGTATGATACCGTTGGCTGTGAGATACACGTCTCTAAACAAACTCGAACTCTCGCCGGAACTGAAAGCAAAAAAAAACATGAACAAAACACAATCAACAATATATACGAATACAACGAAAACGGCGAATATATAATACTAGACCGTGGATTAAGAAGAAAGTAAACGTGAACAACAATGAACAATGGAAAAATGAACTTGGTGTACAACTGGTTTTGGGCGCGGTTGCTTGATTTAATTCCCTAATTTCCACGTGCTGTATGATGATGATGAATATCAATTCGTCAGGTCCTGACGTGAACGGCGTCTTCGCCGGCCACACGGCCCTCCAAGCCGCCAGCCAGAACGGCCACCTCGACGTCATCGGCGCCCTCCTGCGGTGCCGCGCCGACGTCGAAATCGAGGACAAAGATGGCGACAGGGCCGTCCACCACGCCGCCTTCGGGGACGAGCCGGCCGTCGTGCAGCTGTTGGCTCGCGCCGGTGCAGATCTCAACGCGCGCAACAAACGCCGCCAGACGGCGCTGCACATCGGCGTTAATAAGGGGCATGTGGGGGTGGTGAGGATGCTGCTCGATCTGGCCTGTCATCCTAGTTTGCAGGTGAGTACGCAAATTCAGACTGTATTCGCGAGATTCACGAAGTGGGCGACATCTAGGTTACATAATACGAACTTCAAACTGGGGGAAAACAAACTGTTGTCTATGGATAAAGTGCATAGGCTACATTGCATACAGCTTGCTGTAGCTGTAGTTGTCAAACTTGTCAATGACAAAGTGTTGGCACTGTTGGTAGTGATGATGGTTGAGTTGGTTAATTTTTTTACATTATTACATTTTCATTAGTTTAGTGAACAGTGAACGGTTGAAGAATTGGAGATATTTCAAACAATTCAAACTAATTATGACGAGCAAATCAATTGACACATAAAAGAACAGCTAGGTACAACATCTTTACAATATCCATTGTTCTACAGGAGTTCCTCTGGACCTCAACTTCAATTTTACTTCATGTGGGGAAGATTTCATCGCCGAAGTTTGTAGACAAAGTGCAAAAATGTGCCTTTTGTTGAAGTCTTCTGCCTCACACAAAATCACATGATTAGCACAGAGAACTGCTTCTCCTTCCACTACTGGTCGGCTTTTTCCATCTAAATAGAAAAAAAATATCTATTAATTTACCCTCCTTCTAATAGAGAGGTCATTCTGATTCAATTCTAAGATTCTAATTATCATTATTAGAGTAGAATAAAGAGAACTGAAAGTACTGTTTAATGTTCGTGATGATTACAACAGATGTCGCTATCGATATCGAATTATTGTGATGAACTGTTGTATCGTTACACATGTAATTCAATTTTACAACAAAAACAGTAAGCCAATCAATCAAGCCTAGGATATATTTTCCTCCATCTATTACACCAGTTTTTCCCAGATGTTTGCACGTGCCTATGTCATAAGATCTATTAGTTCCGGGAGATGAATAATAATAAACAATAAACGAAAAGAACCTGAGGATTGATTAATTTCGGAACATGGTTATATGTTGCAGAAATTCTGCTTGAAGAAGAAGTAATGTTGTCCGTGCACAAATTCCAAGTGGAACAATGAGATAACTTGTTTGCTGCTATATGTAATTACCCTAAGGCAACAATTAGGTGCAGATGCACTTGAAATATGAAGTAATTTCTACAACATCTTTTATGAGCAGATGACAGAACAAGGTTTTGATAACAGTAAAATATAAAGTCGCCGCACTAAACCAACTATCACACAATCATAACACAAAGTACTTTTCCAAGGCTATGGAAGTTTTTGTAGAAAATGAAAAAAATATTGATAAGATTCGCAGGACTTGTGGCATTACCTATAATAATTGTGTTTTTCTGCAACCGACACAAAAGTCGTCCATTTTGATACCAAAATTAGCTCTTGAATTGACGTTTCTATTACTGACACAAAAATAGGTATGTTGCTAGGCAACATATTTAGTTCCTAGGAGATAAAGTTGAATTTTAGTTCCTAGGAGCTAAAGTTGAACTTTAGCTCCTAGGAACTAAAAAAGATCTACTGGGACATCAAGAATGAACAACATTGTGACGGTTGGTTATTTGGGTTGAGACGCATACCAGATTTGTTTCCGATTCCAGCAGATTTGGCATTTTATACTCATGCTGGAGATATAAATACACCTTATTATAGTTTAGTATTGGAATTTAAACATCTCAGTTAAGTATTTTTGTTTTGATCAGGAAAACCTTCAAGATTCAAATACTTGCTTGATCTGTATTTCATTTGTTATTCTCGGGATGGTTAACTTGTTTTTGAATAATCACGGCAAGCAATAGTTTTTTTTTGTCTCAAACAACGATATTGTTTAGCTTCATTTGATTATCAAGTCAAACACAGTGTAGTATGGAGAGGAATAATTAATAACTATTAACAATATTTTCATTGTTGATATGCTCACTAACCTAACATTTTCCACGTCTTGTTCCTATAGCTGCACTGGCGCGGTATTTGCCATTAGAGCACCTGGTCCATACACAAATATGTCACTCTGTGGTTGTATTTATATTGAAACTACAATTCGAACATCCTAGAAAACCTAACCTGCTGTTAATGCAGGTAGAATATTCTCACCACATGGATTATTTGTCAATATTTGTTGCATTGCATACATATGGCACGGCATTGGTGGTTACTTCACATGTTTATTTGAGTCAATTGTTTCGGTTGCAGAAAAAATAGCATGTTTCATTCGGATCAAAAGTGACTTTGTTCGACTCGCAAATTTTGCTTTCGCTCGGCTTCGCTAAACGCTCCGCCTCGCAAATGCAAAATTCGCTTGTCAAACAAAGTGTCACTTTTGATCCTAATAAAACAATCTACTATTTTATGTCGCAGCATATCTCTCTGTGTCTTTCTTTTTTTTTTGTGTTATTAGGTTTGATATCGAAAATGAAAAATCATGCTAGTAAGAGGTCACCCTGAGATTTTTATCGCGGACGGATTTCCGTTAGAAAGGAGTTCACAAGGGCGGAAATTGAAACTGGTAGATTTTAATTAGATATGAAAACACAAACACACATACAGTGTACGCCGTTATTGTGAGAACTCGCCGCTAACGACGCCATAACTCATGGGGTCCAAGTCGAACTTACGGTGTGGCAATTAAAACATTCCATTATCATATATATTGGTCGAGTTTTTATCTCTTCGCGCCGCAGAGAACTAGAAAACGAGTTCACCATCTACTCCTGGCCGATGTTTGCAGTTTCATAATTAGGTTGGGTGTCTACACCGAATGGGCCAAGGTACTTACAATGAATTATTGACATTCAATTACTACACTGTGTCGTTAGGGATCTAAATTAATTTTTGCAGCACTTCTCACAGTGTTTTCATCGGTTTTCATCTAAAGAATGAGTGTATGTGCTCATTTCAAACACCGTCATGACCACTATTTGACGATACGTCGAATAAATGGGACGTCAGTTTTTATGTTGTTTCTTCTTCCATTCCCACTCACGAAGCAAGATTGTCATTTATAATCAAGTTATCAAAAATATGTAAGAGTCCTGTCGTTGAATAAAACATAATAGGAGGAACCCATGATATTATAGTTCATTCTCGACTCCTTCGAGCAACCAGCATGTCCAAATATTTCTAATATTCCATAACAAAATTTCATGTGAATGTTGGAGACTTGGCAACATTGTGCTGAATGCTGAGATGAGACAAGACCACGCACACAAGTCGTTCGCGCGGTGTTGTCACGTTCACCGCTTCAAATGTCCTCTAGTGTGGATTTATATAATTACTGTTTACACAAATGTATTGTAAGTAATGAGCCACAAATCATCAGAAGGTGCCGATTTCAATTATTGAAAATAGTATTTGTGATGATTTCAGATTCGATTTCAGAAAGCACATGATTGCATCGAATTCTATTCATACAAAAATGGTCATTTCAATATAAAATAGGTGTATGTGGCGTGAATTCGACTAGTGTGTTCAATTCCATTCAACAGGGGCCCAGAGGGTCTAATATCCAGCGTTATTCGTAGACGAATTCGATCTCCTATTTCACTTCAACATACGTCACACACGTAAGTGCATCTTTCTTTATTCGTAGGCGAATTGAATTCGAACGGTTTTTATACAAAAATGGTCATTTTAATATAAAATAGGTGTATGTGGCGTAAATTCGACTAGTGTGTTCAATTCCATTCGACAGGGGCCCAGAGGGTCTAATATCCAGCGTTATTCGTAGACGAATTCGATCTCCTATTTCACTTCAACATACGTCACACACGTAAGTGCATCTTTCTTTATTCGTAGACGAATTGAATTCGAACGGTTTTTATACAAAAATGGTCATTTTAATATAAAATAGGTGTATGTGGCGTAAATTCGACTAGTGTGTTCAATTCCATTCAACAGGAGCCCAGAGGGTCTAATATCCAGCGTTATTCGTAGACGAATTCGATCTCCTATTTCACTTCTACATACGTCACACACGTAAGTGCATCTTTCTTTATTCGTAGACGAATTGAATTCGAACGGTTCGAGAATATACCCCCTTGATCATCTTAGTTCTCTTAGTTATGAGATCTTGTTCAATGCATGACGATAAACTTCAAATTCTTGAATAATTGCGAATGGATATGGAAACAATTACAGTAACAATTACAACGTATTTTAAATTGGTAATTGCCAGGGTTGACCCAGCAATAAAGGCTTGTCAAATTACTTTTTCCCATTGCTGGAAATTGAGGATGTTCTTTCAGTTCCAAACTGTGTCTATATTGACAAATGGGCGTGTACACCTTAGTAGAACTTTTAACTCAAACCATGTTTATAATGCTCCTTTTATACATAAATAATGATTGACGACATAATTCTATCGAAAAATTAACTGGAATGTTTTATTTTTGGACATAAATAATAGTACCTTCTGAAAACTGACCCTCTTATCACGTAGAAACCTCATCTCGCCATAATTAAAACGGACACTTATCACTTGCCATATCATCCAAACAAAATATCCGAGAGATCGAAATCGAAATATCTTTTGATATCCACTACCACTACTGCAGAAAAATATATTCAAGTTGTCGATTGTAGGTTGAATCATTGGAATATAAACAATCTCTAGACAATGAAATGTCTCAATCTCAAAACCATTTGCACCATCACAATTGCACAATAATCCAATATATTTCATAAACGCAGCAACATTGCTTTGTTGATTCGTTTTACATGAAGCTGCAAAAAGTTAATATAGGTTAGAAGTGATCTTCTTCTTGTTCTTATTATCTTTGTCCCAAAAATCAACTTGCCGATTCACCAATCTTGGTGCTTTGTCAGGAATCATGTATCATTCATCTCTGGAATAGTCTTGTTTCAGTATTAGAGTTTTGACGTCACATCATCGCCTCGTTTTCAGAGGTCCGAAAAATCGGGGATTTCAATAATTTTTAATAAAACGTAGGGTGCTCACAGCAAGAAACGGTTTGCGGTGGTGAGCTAGTTTGGGTGAGTTCTATCGAATTATG